TAAGCAAACCCTTAGGGTTTAAGTTTGTCACTCAAAAGATCCCTTCTATTCAAAATAAAAAAGGCAAAACATTGATTCTAACACAACCTGGTTACGTTATCCAAAGAGAATATCTAAAAATAAGCGGCAAGCTAGTTGTTTTCTCGCTCCGTTACCAAGCACAATAAAAGTACTATTGAATAAGTACAACGCATAGCACCTATTTGTCGTACAAGATCAGACGATTACCTTCTTTAAATCAAAACAAACTAATAAGTTAGTGAGCATAAACGCGTTGTTGACGTGTGTCCCTCTACAACTGAGTCAGTAGCTAATAAGCTCCAGCATGTAAGTTTCGTAAAGATGCGTTCTATCGATGGATGGAATCTTTATCGAAGTTGACGCCCCTTTAGTCTACAGATTAAATTGAATATCACAGGGCTTTGTTAAAACAAATTATTATTATATTATTAAATTTTGACAAAATGCCTCTGATATAAAGTTATTGAACTAATGTTGAAAATCCTCCAGAACTAGTATTGAATATGAAAATACGTTTTCGTCATACTTCATGGTAAATAATTTTTCACGCCTTGTTAACACTGCAAAGAAAATGCTGAAATTAGCACAACAATTATTTTGGAAGAACATGCATACATTTTTAAATTTATCATTTACACCGATGTATAGACCTAATACATCTTCTATCTCACTATATCAAGCATCCACACAACGCTTATATACCTTTATTCTCCTTTACAAAAACTGACTTAATTAATAATTTGGACGAATGTCACGTATCTTTTCCGATTACGCAAAATCAATTAAATTGGTAATCGATTCGCGGCAATAGTCCGGGTGCCCGGTCATTGCTATTGTACGTGCCGGCTCGCGAGACGTGCCCTATAAGGTACAGGAAGTCATCATAATTGTAGAAATGGACCATAATGTCCAAATGCCCACCTGTTAACTGAGTCAACGTAGGTTTTGCTTCTTCTTGTAAACATTCTTCCTGGCTGATATCTCTTGTAAAGTAATGTTAAAAGCGATAGCGAAATAACTCTAAATTTCAATGGTTTACATACATTTAAAAGAAAGAAAAAATATCTTTCGTATGAAATATAAAAACAACTAAAATAGATAATTGCAAGTATTTATAAAATACAATTTTTATTTAAAGTTATCACTAGATATGATAAGGCTTGGTTAACATTTATCAGGATTTTCTGTTACTTACTAAATGAGGTTAAGCTCCTAATATTTTCTTATTAGCAAGAATTTTTCGTTGTTACATTATTTACTGGTGTATATGAAACCAACAAACACATTATCTTAAATTAAAACAATAATTTTGAACAATGGGTATACAGTATATAAATTTCCTAATGACTTGTGTATAAATTTCCTAGTTTACATTATACAATTTAAATAATTCTTATATCTTATAGTTTAGTTTTTTTGCGTATTTCTTATAGTTAAGTTTATGTTTTTTTGGGGGTAGAGAGCTGGTGTAGTAGTTAGAGCAAGAGACTTCAGTCCCTGGGGTCCTGGGTTCAAGTCCCGCAAAATTACCAATGGATTTTATCTAAGTGATAATGCCGCAACCCCTAGGTCTAGCCTGAAGTATTGTGAAAAACAATTTTAGGCTCGTGCCTAGCGTCTTAGGACAAAAGAAATAGTTTAGTTTTTAGGATGTTATTGCTAAAATATAAAAATTTAAAGTAATAAATTTTTACCTTTAAAATTACATGAAAGGATTGAGTTACGGGGTGTTGCTAATGACAAACACGTAATAGGTAAGATACCTAAGCTTCTGTATTGTTGAGTTATGAGAGGGTATACATGCGCTACAGAATTAATCAATTTATATATATGAAAATGTCTTCGATGAAAATGTAATTTAAATTGGGACTTATAGTCATTAAATTTAGATGCCAGTTTTATCTGTAGTTAAATAAAAAAAAGAATCGTTGTATGTAGGTGATATCCCACTCTAAGTGCGACTAGCGCCTGCCATGTGTGTGCAGCAATTTAGATACGGTATTCACATTGCCGGTTTCAGCCTTGCCTAGTAAATAGTAAAACCACTTCTGTAATAACTAATCCAAAGGAAACGTTCTTATATTTTTAAATGAAATAATTTAATTTCAAAAGATTATTTTATCTAATAGTCTTAATAGTGTAGGATAGACATGTTTTTTCTCTAATGTGCTATTGGTTCAAATGGTCTTTCTGGATCGAAAACGTATTTGAATCCCGCACAGTCAGTTAGTTTGTTTAAATCAGTTATTTGTGAAGTTCTACAGTAAATATTCCAGAACACAGGTTTAATATTTTAATGCCATAAACAACTAAGCCTCGTCTAGCACATATAGGTATTCTATAATTTTTAAATCTTTTTTGCTATACTTTTCGGTATTTATAACTTTAATTTGTTCATAATAATCCAGAGTTTTACTCAAGAGTTTAAAATGTCTATGCTACATTTCAGAAGTTCCGCTTGCATAGCAACTAACACTCTTAAGGAACCAAACTTCCAATTTACCTGCTTACAAAACCGAGCCACCATTCCATCAATCCCACACATTCGGCGGAATGGGCCGCTTCCTCGTTTGGTAAATATTTATGATTTTCAATCAGCAAGTGACTTAGCGTTGCGCAATGTGAAATCCAGAGCGTCCGACCAACGTTCCTGTTAAATAACCCGCAGATGGCCACGACTGGCCATCGCTGGCCATAAGTTCGACGCTGAGACCGCATAACTTTGGATCTTTACGCGTGTCGCTGCAGGTCTTCCTACGGTCACTATCTCGCTGCTAATTCTTGTTACATCACACATTAGAGGATCGTGCTCGCGTCGTTAGCAGTTGGCGATAGTCAATGGACCAGTTCCACTCTGGAGATGAAGTGGCCCACAAGTGTTTTGTGTCACAGTCGAGTCCGACCAGAATTTCCCACACTGGTGAAAGTGGTTTTGGCAAAACTAATCTTTGCACGTCTAAAGCTGAGTTTATTTAAGTGGGTGGACCGTTATATATATGATTCCTAGGTGGTCTCTAGTACATTTGTTTGGGTTTGAACGTGTAATGTAGAGTATTCAGAGAATTATGATTCAACGCACTTACTTTCTTGCTATTTGGGAAATTGGATTTATTGCTTACCAGAGTGCGAGGAAATAGTATATTTCATTATTAGGACCGAAAGTGGCATTTTCCGTCGCGTTTTAAGTTTTTTCACCAATTTCACGTGCGAGGCGAAGCCGAGTATGTGAGAATTATTTTCACATACGACGTGAAGCCGAGGACGGGAATAATGGAGCATGAGCCGGATAATTACTTTCGCTACGGGTTATGAACGATAATTTTCATCACGACGCATAAATACACAAACACAGAATAGCAGACCTCAGTAATATTACAACTATTTTATTTCTCAATCAATTTGATTGAACATCAAAATAAAATGAAATCCTCTAAAAGGAAACCTACGTATATTTCTCAATAAATTTGGTTTAAACATGAAAATAAAAGAATAAAACAACTTTTAACAATACATACAGCTGATTCAAATCATTAAATTAAACCGTAATAAAACACTAGCGCGCATAGTGAATAAATGGAGAACTAATTGAGAGCGAGGGAAAATCAGCTGATCGATTTTCCGTCGCCCTAAATTAAAGCTTGGGAAACGACTACTTTCTTTGATGTCAGCTGTTATCGAAAATAGTTACTTTCGTTGTGGAGTGATGAAAAAAATACACCCCAAAGCAGTTTTTCCTATTTATTTGCAAGAAAAGATAGAATACTACTCTAATTACAAAAAAACTAAGTACAACACAGTTCAATTAGGTAGTTTAATAATAAAACTACCTATATTTTCCTATTACCTATTGCCTATTTCCTATTTACCTATTATATTTTCCTTGAGAAAATGTTCCGAAAGCTGTTCAAGTTAATTTCAAAGTTCAATTATCATTATCATATTGCAGTACGAGGTACTTTCCTGTTAAAGGGAACATTCATTGATGATTTTTTCTCGATGTATCGATATTAACAAATTGAAACAAGCTGACAACTACGATAAATATTGTTCAGTATCAAGAAAAAATAACGAAATGAAACTATTCTAAAAATAACCTAACATAACTAACCAAACTTCCTGTAACATTTAAAAATTCCGTGTTTTGGTTAAACTTGCCTTTTTTATGTTATCAAACGGAATTTTTAAATGGTACAGCAAGTTTTGTTGGTTATGTTAGGTTAGCTTAGAACAGTTTAATTTCTTAATCCATATAATAGACTGTTTTAGCGTAATAAAGATCAGTTGTCAATTGGTAATGGATCGGAAAACAAAAATAGGTATCGATATATCGAAAAAAAATCATCGATAATAATGAATGTTGCCTTTAACAGGAATGTACCCAATACTAATATTAGTTATGCCAGTCCTTGCCTTATCATCAAAGAACTGGGGGCGGGCTCGTCTAGTGTTAGAGCTTGGGGCTTTGGAGGCCGAGGTCCCGGGTCCTAATCCCTACAATCACCAACGGGGTTTATTCATGTGATAATACCGTGACTCTCTAGGAATAGCCTGAAGTAATGTCTTAACCAGATCTAGGCTAGAACTATTGACTATTGGATACTAAAGTTGTATTAATAGTCAAAGCAAAAATGTAGCTTCCTGGGATGTGACGTTGGGGCATAAAAATGTATATACCAATGAACTAATATTGTCGTTCCCGTTATATTTTCAAATGACTCCTGGTTAAGTGTGCTGTTAGTGTTACATTTATTTTTTAGCAGTTTCTGACCTATTTACACAAAAAAACTACTACAACCACAATTTAAATGTTAACATATTTAATTTTATTACCATGATATAGTTAAGCCAATATTAGATGATATATACTATAACTTTTTGTTGGAGTAGAATGTTATTTTCAACAAACTGTTAGACTGAAGAGCATTCAAACAAGCTCATACTCATATAACATGATATGGGAGGAATAAGTAAACATAGAGTAACACAAAGGTAACGTTTATTTGTACTATACAACATATAAAAATATTTACAAACTATAAGTCATTTGAGCAAAGCGTCATCATCATATTAGTCTTGTGCAAAAATGAAAACTTAGTAAGAGTAAGAATAGTGGGGGGCTGTGACTGATGTTCTGGAGTAGCCCGATCCAGAGTAGGACTTAGGAGAAGAGTATGATGGAGATGGATAAGATGGGGCGGCAGAATAAGCAGGGGTGGCAGAATAAGCAGGAGCGGCAGAATAAGCAGGAGTGGCAGAATAAGCAGGAGCTGGTGCTGGGGAATGGTAGGCAGGAGCAGGGGCTGGAGATTTGTAGGCAGGCGCGGGGGAGTAGGCTGGCTTGGAAGAGTATGATGCTCCTGAGGAGTAAGAGCTTGAAGAGTGGGATGAAGCAGAGGAGTAAGATGGACCAGAAGAGTAGGAAGGACCAGATGAGTAAGAAGGTGCAGAGGAGTAAGAAGGTGCAGAGGAGTAAGAAGGCCCAGAGGAGTAAGAAGGTCCAGAGGAGTAAGAAGGTCCAGAGGAGTAAGAGGGGCCGGAGGAGTAAGACGGGCCAGAAGAATAAGAGGGAGAAGGTGAGTATGGCTTAGGTGCGGAGTATGGAGCAGAATACCCTCCCTTACCAGGTTCTTTGTGGACTTGAGCGACAAATCCGTACGAATCAGCGGAGTAGTCGACAGTCCTCTTACCACCGTCAGGCTCCACCAAGCTGTAGTATCCCTTGACGTAGTCTCCGTCGCGCTCCTCCTTCTGGCTCTTGATGTCATAGGTGTGGGGGTCGTTGACCTCGTACTCGAAGACGTACTTGGGATGGGAGTCGTAAGGCTCCTCCTTGTATCCTCCTTGTCCACCGTAGCTAGGAGCTGGGCTATTGTAGGATGGTTTGTAGGCAGGCGCCGGGGAGTTGTAACTGGGAGCGCTGTAACTGGGGGAGCTGTATGCGGGCTTGCTAGGAGCGTATCCCTGTGAGCTAGAGCTGTAGCTGGGTTTGCTCGGTCCACTGTAGCTGGGTCCGCTGCTGTAGCTGGGTCCACTGCTGTAGCTGGGTCCGCTGCTGTAGCTGGGTCCACTGCTGTAGCTAGGCCCAGCGCTGTAGCTGGGTCCGCTGCTGTAGCTGGGTCCACTGCTGTAGCTAGGCCCACTGTTGTAGCTAGGCCCACTGCTATAGCTAGGCCCATTGCTGTAGCTGAGTCCGCTGCTGTAGCTAGGCCCACTGCTGTAGCTTGGACCCTTGCCGTAGCCAGGACCACCGTTGTATCCCGCCTTGTACTCTGTCTTGGGATGGACGTTGTGGTGGACACTGCTGTGGCCCGTGGTTGTTAGAGAGCTGAAGCTGGTTCCTCCTTTGTACCCTGGCTCCTGGTACTGAGCCAGTGTACCAGCTGCCACTGTTAGGATGAAAACTGCGCTCTGTAAACATAAACAAGCATTACACTTTTTACGGAATATTAACAAAATAATGAGTTGAAAATTAATTCAAGAGAACTTATCGATTGTAGAAATATTTTAAGTGATATGTATATTTTTATTAAATTAGGGGCTTGGATTTGTTCATTTGATAAATTAATGAATTAGTTCAACTCACAAGAAGTTTAGATTATCTGATAACAGACATTTCAGACGACAACTGTGAGGTTTTAAAATTAATCAAAGTGAAAAGAAACCATCCCTAAACTAATGCTCTGGATAACGTAAGTCTAATAGTTACTCCAAGTTTACTAAGATAGTCATGTCTCCCTATTTTTGAACTATTAAATTCTTTTGTATGTAATTAATTTTTGTACCACTATTACGCTAATTGATAATCACAGAATTTTCTTAAATAACTGTACTTGATCACTGTAATAGACAGGTAATAAAATGTCGAAATATCGTCTGTCGTTTTACACAGTTTTATGCCGAGTTTTATGAGTTAACGTGTATCATATTGTCAAGTTTTTACTTATACCTGTTTGAGCTTCCAAACAATTTAAACCGGAGAAATACTTCATCGTAAGCTGTTGACTGTCTCTCAAGCTCAAAGCAATAAACGCATGTATAATAATGTAAAACATCCCTGAATGTAGACGTTTTATGAGGACATAAACAAAACCAGTGGTCTCCGTACACCGAACACAATAATAACCACCACATACACACAGCAAATATGTCTTAGTAATATTGCGTAGCAAAATATCTTTAGCAATTTAAATAGATTGAAAACTCATGAGGATTTTAAAAGAAAATGAAATTTAAGTACAAGAACATACTAATAAGTTTGATTTATTAACGATATATGCGAAAAAAATAGTAACAACGCCAACGATCGTATTTTAATAATTTGGTAAATTTGATAGAATAATGTATAATAAAAAAGAGGTAATCAACAATATTGTTGTACGTTGTTACAGTTCAGTCGTTATAATTTGTCACAAAATCATGAAACTATTTAACTTACACATTTTTTCTCAATAAAATGGCTTATCATTTTACAAACAATATACTAACATATTGATCATGGTGTTTGGACTTGTTTGTGTACTTTTATTTTATATCGACCACACTTCTGCTATTGTTTGGTTTGGCTATGTTAGGTGCCGCGTAGATTAATATCATAGAATCACATAGGTAGCGATAATTTAAAAATACATTTATTTTTAGCCTAGTATGAAAATAACCTTACAAAACGTGAATACACAAACGTGAATATTCTTGATGTAATCATTATAAAATGGAGGTGACTTTGTTTAATTGATTATTAAATAGATTATTAAGGTTCATTACTGAAGAACGTAATGACCGGGCGTTTATTATTATTGCTCCCACCTCCACACCTTAGTCGTTCTATTCAGTTAAAATTGGTGTATGATTATTTTCTACTTCGTATTAATTTGCACTTTATTGTGGAAACTAAATAATTTAATTTAACTTTAATACGAAATGTATGTGTGGAATTCCGGAGTGTTTAATGCTGACTGTTAACTTCTGAGTGTAGAATGTACACTGAGGTAAATAATAAAAATGCCTGTCAACATTGTGTCTTGGTAGTTTTATATTATACATATTATTTTTTATCCCAATAGTTTTGTTGTTTCTGAAAAATTATTTGATTATACTTTATTACGAAATGTGGAATTGCCAGTGTGTTAAGTGATCTGAGTATTTACTGTGTATAGTGTGCTATGCTCTGAATGTAGAGTGTACATTGAGGTACTCACCAGAAGTGTCATGTTGTCCGTGCCGGTGCTCGACCACGTTTGTGTCCTTGTCGGTCAGCTTTGTGTATTTATACTTAATAAAAATGTGGTCAAGCCGGCGGCGACGATCACCCGGGGACCAGGAAGTGCCTTTCCCCGCCTCACGCCCCCTCCTTTTCCCCCACGCCTTACGGTTCCTCCGGCCGAAGACACACATGGACCGTCTGGTTCGGCCCATTAAGTAAGGCAGTTATCTAATTGGCAGGATTCGAACTTATGTGGACAGATTTGACACTACGGGCGGTCGTGTTAACATGGGCAGACACTCGTTTTTTGCCTGGTGGAATTTAATTTGGAAATTAGTCACTCAAATCAATCTGGGTTGATTATATGGTCGGTTTCAATTTATTGGATTTACGGCTGCTAGTGAGAGGCTTAGTGCGAAGTTCCTTGATTGCGTTAGGGCACAGGCAAGAAAATAAGTATCATCTTGTCCGTGGATAGGGAGAATGTGAAATGGAGTAAAAGTCTGGTAAAGAGCAATTATGAATCATTATAGTGATCACGTAAATTATATCAACTTTGTCACATAGCCTTAGTATCCATATCCAACCCAGTTGTATTTTTCTAGTTTTAATTGAACAGTTTAACATATAGTTTAAAATAATGTTTTTTACGAGGTATTATTCAATGGGTTTACCCTTATTTCATTGATCTAACCCTCTACATATACACTTTTATTTATGTATACTTTTTTTCAATTTTTATTGGTTTATACTTATATATTAAATAAAACATGTACGATCTTTCATTAATGACTAATATAGGTCAAAAATACCACTTTGACTGAAGATGGTTTACTAGACTTCGAAAATCATCTAACGTAAGAAAAATTATCTGAAGGGTCCTGTGTATAAGCATGTAAAACTAGTGAGTTTACGACAAAAAATACTTTTTTAACTGATATAGAGAAAGTCCTTCTAACTTTGAATAACTAATTTTGTAATTTGTGATTGTGAGCATTTAAGAATTTACGAAAAACAATCATTTGTGTCAAACAATCGATGTCTAGTTACAAATAAAATGTAAGTAGATATAACCGATGACATTTTTTATAGCATGGCGATGAAATTTGTACATAATTTCCAAAACGTAACCACTACTATGTGACATGTCGCTGAAAATCGCCTTAATAGTGTACAACATGTTTTTAATCAATGCTACAGAAAACAAGGTCCTTAGATAGCTTGTATAAGCATAAGGTATGAGATTAAATTAATGGTTTTAGGAACTTTTGGTTTTTATTACTTTGACAACATTATAATCAATAATTTAGTAGTGATGAGAAAACAAATGATCTGCTGGAGCATGCTGCTCATGATGATGGTAATGTTGAGGATGGACGTTGTGTTCCCGGTGGACGACGGCGTTAAAGCCAGTGTGGTGGTCAGCTGTGTAGTGGACGACGCGCTTGGAACCGTCCGCCTCCACCAGCTCGTAGCTGCCGTGCACCACATCCCCGTCGCGCTCCTCCTTGTGGCTCTTGATGTCGCCGGTGTGGCTGTCGTGGACGCCGTACTCGAATTTGTACTTGGGGTGAGGGTCGTAGTAGTCCTCCTTGTACTCCACGTGGAACCCGTGATCATGATGGCCGTACTGTGGGAAAGCTGTCACTACCGCCAAGATCATTGAAACTGCCAATACGATCTGAAATCCGTAGTATAATTTTATTTTATTTTAGTTAACCAGTTTTCGGTTATCCAAGTAGATTTTCTTTCTACAGAGTGTCACAAAAAGTGTGATGGGCTATACAGGACCTAATTCTACATGCAAAAATAAGTCAAAAATGAAGAATATTTTTTTTTTGGATTTCGGCTTAGTTTAGCCGTAATCCGCCATTTTGTTTTTTGGGGAAAATATTTATTATTTCAAAATCCCTTTGAGATATTTTTACGAAACTTGGCATAATTGTTTACACTATAGTAAGTAACATTTATAAAAAAATATTATTTTAACTTTCCAAATTTCAAAATGGCGGCCGTTTGAATTTTTTTAATGCCAAATTTCATGAAAACCGGTACCTAAATCAAAATTTTGTAGGGCACAAAAGTTTTAGTATTTATTATGACCAATCCAACAAAACAAAAATGAATAAAATCGGTTCATAAATAAAGAAGCTGTGTTTATTTTAGTAATTTAGACTGAAATTATTAATATTAAAATGTATTAAATGTAATGTAATAGTTTATGTAACGTATTAAGTAATTTCAGTCTAAATTACTAAAATAAACACACAGCTTCTTTATTTATGAACCGATTTTATTCATTTTTGTTTTGTTGGATTTGTCATAATAAATACTAAGACTTTTGTGTCTTAAAAAATTTTGATTTAGGTACCGGTTTTCATGAAATTTGGCATTAAAAAATTCAAACGGCCGCCATTTTGAAATTTGGAAAGTTAAAATAATAATTTTTTTTATAAATGTTACTTACTATAGTGTAAACAATTTTGCCAAGTTTCGTAAAAATATCTCAAAGGAATTTTGAAATAATAAATATTTTCCCCAAAAAACAAAATGGCGGATTACGGCTAAACTAAGCCGAAATCCAAAAAAATTTATTCTTCATTTTTGACTTATTTTTGCATGAAGAATTAGGTCCTGTATAGCCCATCAAACTTTATTGTGACACCCTGTATATATGGACGAGTTGTTTCATAGTTATGTCAAGATAATTAAACTTCCAGCTCATTTTTTCTTTAAAAAAGGATGTTATTGAAAAAGCTACTTACCAAACCCACTACTGTCTTAAAATCTATTTTCTCCCTTAGTTTTTATTACCGTAAATGGTTGATGTAACGTAATAGAATATGTTGCACGTTGCCCTAACAATTTATCAGTTTGACTTGGATAAGAATGCATAATTGACATAACTCTTTCAGTGGCAGTTCAACTACTTTCATTTTGATTCTAAAACTAGTGAAAAATTATCCACAGGAATGGAATGTCAACTTCTATCAATAACTAATGATGGTATGCATCAAGAAAGTCTACTTTTCATTTTGCTTTAAGATGGATGCGTTTGCACATGGTACTTGGTTTTGTTTTTATTTAAAATACACTTAATTAATCCAGTAAATAAAATATGTTTATATTTTGTCATAATACAATGGTCAACAAAACAATGTTGTCAAGCTTTTACAATTTTAACATTTATTTATTTTTAGCTTTAAGCTTTATTTTTTAAGCTTTTATTTTATTTTTAAGATTTTTTTACACAGTGCTTTGGAACGAATAAACACCTCAGTTTGGTAAGGTGTGTCACCTTATGTCCATTATATTGTGATTATATGGGATGTGAGGAGCAGATTATGCATTGGAATTGTCAAGCTATCAAATCCTTAACCTCTTACATCTTAATAAATTCAATTTTAAATTACTCCGAAGCATGCAGATTGTTTATAAGTAGCTGCTATATGGATGGAGGAGTGTAATAATATTCACTAGTAGTACAGTACTTACTGAGCAACCAACTTTAGCTTATGTTTGGTCAGATTTTAATTAATATTTTACTCTTTGGATACAAAACGCGGATACTTCATAAGTAGCCGATTGAAAACTTAAATGAAATGTTTTTAAATAAATATAAACACCAAGGATAAAAATTTAAAATTGGATATAGCTATACCATTTAATTCCGCCCTATGTTTTGAAGGTTCGGGTCGGGAATTACTGTTTATAACTATAGTATTTAAAATCCCTGGAATTTGAGTCTGATTACTTTACTTTTATAGTATAAGAATCTACATCACTATTACACACGTACGTAAGTAATAAAAGTAATCAACAAACGTTGTGAGACCAGTAATGCGAACCATATCAGCATTGAAAATGTATTTGTTACATGTCTGTTTACATACACAAATTCTAAATGTACTAAATACATTCTAATATGATTGTTTGGAATAAAACACAACAATCCTCAGAAGTTAATTCCACTCTTTCATTGTAACTTATCCTACAGAGTTTAAAATACTTAAAGTGAAAAAAGACTGTTGAGCACGTACCTTGATCATCATTGTAGAGGCGGTAAGGAAGTGAACAGTGGGCTGATATCAACTAACTGATACACAACACCTGTCATTACACCTTATATACACTTGTCCGACACGCCGAGTGACCATCTACCATCAACCATCCATCGTACATCGTACATCGTTGATCGTCACTCATGTAACGGTCATTACGAGTATCTTCCTCTACCTTCGCGCGTTACCGCATCTGGAGTCGTTTAATTAACTCACAATACAACCAAGCCTGAAAGGTTGGGTTTGAATATGTTGGAAGTGACAAAATGAGTTGTAGAAGGAAAAAGAGTGTAGTGTGTGTAAAATCCTACCTTTATCTTAAGGATCGAAATTGGTGATGCTTCTTTAATACGGTGCAAAATGAACGATTAACTTTCCCATCTGTAAAGTAAACCCCCCCAAGCCCAGTAGAAGAAGAAGTAGTTCCCATCGGTCAAGTTTAATTACACTTTTTTTACGGAACATTTTATTCGTTCTTTGTTGGGTGAGTATTTAAATATTTTGAGCGTTCTAACGTTGGCGACGTCCTGTAATCCAGGTACTAGGAGGTCACGAATCGTGGATATTTATAGGCACACACAGTGGATACGATACTCCTTTGTGTGGATTAACGTCCGCACTAGTGAGTACTACGACTATCCGCAGCACTATCGTGATAATTAGACCAATTTGTTAATACCTAGGCAAAAATTTGGTTTGGATTCCACTATAAGCTGTAAGACCCTTAGTTGCCATTAGCTGTATGGGCTATTAATTAACAGCTGTGTCTAAGGATTATGTCGGCCTTAGTCACTAACAAGACTACAAGATCACGCCACTCATCTTACACTCATCTCTATTCATATTTGACTGAAAATACCTACTTTGTATGCTCGCCATTTCATTGAAAAGTATTTAAAGTATTTAACGCCTTTATAATTTTTCGTGGTTTTTGGGAGGATCTGCAAACCTCAACAGTATTACTTATTCAACGTTGTCCTTTGATTAAATAGCATTATTGATTGATAGCCTAAACACATTTGGCTCTAGAATCAACTACGCTTTGATATCGAATTGGTAGCTTTTGGATTTTAATACAATTTTCCAATCGGCTACCCAGGAAATTCTGTATTGTTGTGGCATCCTATTTTTGTTAATATTGTCTTTGTTTCTTTTCATGTGGGTATCTTATGATGAGAGTTGTTTTGTAAAAGAGTTACTGAGAAACTTTCAACCATTAAAAGCATTTTTCATTGTTTTTTTTATATATATTTCAAATGAGGTTTACGTCGTAAGGTCGATTTAGAATACGTGAATAGTCAAGATGATAAATGTGAGGATAGTAAAGGTGGTTTGAAATGTTATATTTTGGGTCTTTAAAACTAAACAAGCTTCAACAACTGAATAAATACTGAGGGGTGCAAGATTTAAAATCATTCGGTACAGTCATTTATTTGCCCTGTGACTTATTACATTTACAGGAGAGCAGTTCCTTCCCATCAGAAATTCACCTTTAATCAAGTATTTAATAAAAAAACAATGAAGTAATGTAGTAAGATTTATAATTTGGAATATTTTAGTCATTATAACAAACAAATCATTGGTTAAAATTGCATTCACTAGTCTCCGTTTTTGAAGATTTTTAAGGGAGAGTAATATGTTTGTTGGCAGCTTTTTAAAAATTGTAGCACGTTCTAAATAAATAACTTCCATAATAAAAGGGTTTGCATTTATATTAAACGTATTTTGTAATTAAGTTTTCAATTTAGTGTTCATCAGTTTGTCACTGTAACTGGTTATATTTGGCAGTTAATTATAGATTCCTATCCAAGATTATAGATTTCAAACCTATTGTCATACTTGGGGTGAACAATTTAAACATGCAATCGTCTTAAGCCTTAACAAAACGCGGTTGCATATCTTAAAACAGCTCTAGCGTACCCGCTGAGGTGTTTTGGTAAATAAATATACCGAGGTGTATTTAGTTTGATAAATTTGTTGGGAATATCCCTGGAAGCTGCCTACTTATATTGCTGTACACACATAGTTTGTTACCAGGTAAAGAATAACGTATAAAATCTCCAAATTTATATAAATAAAATTACATTAGACATATTTTAAGATCCGTTCTCTTTTTTATACTATAACCCTTTCTTTTCTCTATACTCGTGTACTCTTATAGTCTGTTACCAAGCAAAAAAGCATACAACGTAGGGAGACTTCATAACAAAGCAATCAAGAATCATGTTCCCTTTACTAGTTGGACAAAGCGTTACTTAAACCTTAATTAGCTATTTTCTTTCAATCATTACATGTCCTAATTCTTTACTTGCATATGCTATTTCCACAAGTAACCGTAATATTATGTCATGTTCGTATAGTCCAAAGATGGTTAAAAAACCAGGGTGGATTGTACCAACGAGGAAAATATCTAAGACAACTTTTTATATCCTGATCCAGCAGTTGGCAGAGTCGCTGCCAAATATTGGTCAATAAGTGTTGGAATGCGTGTAGTTTGATTGCGAGTGTTGCAACCGGTAGTGCTATAACGTGTTAACACGGCCTGGTGTGCAGACCCGTACCGTCCGGTTATGAGATTATATGGAGCAGTCATCTTTTGGGAGTGACGTAACCTAGTCCAAAGTAGATCTTCTCACTTGAAGAATTGAACATATTCTCGGCACAGTTCATATAAGGGACTTCTTTATCTCATTCTTTGAAATCAATCATCAATAGCAACTGATTAACAACTGATCGTAAAAGTAAATTAAATGTTTTTGTACTGTAGCAAACCCCGTCGTTTACTATACATTTGTTTCGGTTCCATTGTACAGGTCATATATTATTGTACACATTTTAAGATTAAATAAAAAAATAATCACGTAACTTAGAAAGCTTGCAATTGTTTGATCAAATAGCAAATTTAAAACAGTTTGTACAGTAACTGTAACAATGTATTTTAAAAAGGGCAGCAGTTATGAAAATTAGATATAAAAAGACCGTAAAAATTACCTAAACTGTTAGCCTATTGTAAGTCATGTTTCTTCTGAGGTGAGGACCCTTTAGGCTATGTTGGACACTTCCCAGTAATTTAAACTGTCTGTACTATCATTGTATAGAATTTTTAAACGGAGAATCACGGCTATACTCTAAAAGCTTCGAACAGTTATTACAAATTAGCTTTCATGAAACCAAAGACTTTGCTTTTTATTGCACACTAGTCATTTTAGCGAATTTCCCATATAGGGAATAAGCTATTACCGTAGTACTCATGGTAAGACCTGGACCCGACACCGATCTAATTTTTCATTTTGAGGTCCCTAGAGGCCAAAAACACCATTCGTTCAAATTCATATATATATATTCATTTTGTTATTGTATATATCAATGAGGGCTACTTTAAATGTTACTAAGCAAATCAAAATACCACATTAATGTCCGAAACATGTAAGTAATATAAAATAAAATGTTTTTAGGGTACTGTGGTATTTTGATTTGCTTAGTAATATACAGGGTGTTCATTTGAAAACTTTCCATATCTGTTGTGTGCAAAGGTAAGGCTTTTAACACTTGTTTGTTCTCATTTCCCCCTAATTTGGACATGCCAAATCCAATAAAATTATTTTCAATTTCGAAAAATGCCCCAAAAGGGCCCAATTTGGGGGGTAGGGGTGCTTTTTGAGAAATTTTCAAATGTAAACATGGGTTGTGTGATACATCAATTTAAAGGTCTAATCGCCCCGACTATTTTGGTGCAATAAAAATGTAATTATCTTTAACCGTATTTACAGGGTGGGTCAAAACGTTTTAAAAAAGGACTTTGAAGTTAAGTACCGTATTACCCGAACTACTGAACGGAACAGCGCCAAATTTCTTTCCAAGCTTATTCTTGATCTACTCTTTAAGATAACTTGTAATAAGGGCATTTTCCATGTTATTTTCTAATTTTTAAAAAATCTCAAATTTTAAGAATAAAAGAAAGCTGAAAACTCAAAATTCTTAAATAGCAAGGTATAACAAATTTCATACCACGTGAAATGTCCTTTTTTAACAAACATTTTACGTATTTAAGTTTTCTTTCTATCTCTTACCGTTTAAAAATTGCAGTAGAAAAACTGAATTTTCTATGGTAAAATTATAACTAGTTTTCTAACAAAACACATTGCACTTTGCTCAACGATGTATTATGATTAATTACAAATTGATCAACTACTTTTACTTGTGTCAGTTCATCTTGGACCCTTCATCCTGTTCTTTTCTCATTGGTAAATGAGCCAGTTTCAGAAAGTTCTTAACTAAATCATTTACAGCTTTATGACTTAAGGTCTTACCTGGATATTTATTGTTAAACACTTTGCAGTTATCCTGAAACACTTTTGTTCTGCCCAATAAGTAAAAATAAAGTCTATTTTTTTAAGTGTACACCATATTCGATTAGATACTACAGAAAATAGTACTTTTTGAAATTAGTACTACCATTGACTAGTCAATGGTACTACAGAAAGCGGTCCACATGTAGGTTGTCCTCATCAGCTATAAGACTTGTTTTTCACAAAGTAAAACGTAATGACTTGTTTGTCAATCAGGGTATCAATAATCATGAATTGTTTCCTTCAGTTAATGCACCATTAAATGTGTCTAGAGACGAATTTTGTCTGTTTTATTAGAAAACTAGTTGCAATATTACTATGGAAAATTCAGTTTTTCTACTGCAATTTTTAAACGGTAAGAGATAGAAAGAAAACTTAAATACGTAAAATGTTTGTTAAAAAAGGACCTTTCACATGGTATGAAATTTGTTATACCTTGCTATTTAAGAATTTTGAGTTTTCAGCTTTCTTTTATTCTTAAAATTTGAGATTTTTTAAAAATTAGAAAATAACATGGAAAATGCCCTTATTACAAGTTATCTTAAAGAGTAGATCAAGAATAAGCTTGGAAAGAAATTTGGCGCTGTTCCGTTCAGTAGTTCGGGTAATACGGTACTTAACTTCAAAGTCCTTTTTTAAAACGTTTTGACCCACCCTGTAAATACGGTTAAAGATAATTACATTTTTATTGCACCAAAATAGTCGGGGCGATTAGACCTTTAAATTGATGTATCACACAACCCATGTTTACATTTGAAAATTTCTCAAAAAGCACCCCTACCCCCCAAATTGGGCCCTTTTGGGGCATTTTTCGAAATTGAAAATAATTTTATTGGATTTGGCATGTCCAAATTAGGGGAAAATGAGAACAAACAAGTGTTAAAAGCCTTACCTTTGCACACAACAGATATGGAAAGTTTTCAAATGAACACCCTGTATATTCATATATAAATATATAAATAGATTATTACTAAGCAAATCAAAATACCACAGTACCCTAAAAACATTTTATTTTATATTACTTACATGTTTCGGACATTAATGCCATGATCACAGTATAGTATATAACCTATTAGTTTCTTTTATTTACAAACATTATTAGATATTTCTTATTAAAGAACAGGTGATAACTTTTATATTAAGGGAAGGAGGTGTTTTCTTTAAGATGTATAATTTCATTGAATATTACGTTTTGATTTTGAATTTGTGTCAAGTTTAGTAAATTGTCTTTGTCATTAATATGGTGAGTATAAATATAAAAGTCTTCCTTTGTATTCATTTTTTCACCTTTATATTCAATATACTGTGATCATGACATTAATGTCCGAAACATGTAAGTAATATAAAATAAAATGTTTTTAGGGTACTGTGGTATTTTGATTTGCTTAGTAACATTTAAAGTAGCCCTCATTGATGTATACAATAACAAAATAAATAGATTATATATAAATTCATATATAAATTCATATATATATATATATATATATATGTGTGTGTGTGTGTGTGTGTGTCCGTTAGCGCGATAACTCGAGGAAAAATGATCCGATTTTGATGAAATTTGGTACAAACGTGTAAACTTACGTTTATTCGAACGAGTTCGCGATCCAGCATAATCGGACCATGGGAACGGGGGATTATGGGGGGGGGGGTTTTATGGGGTAAAAATGGGGTTTTCCCATTTTTGAACCTAAAAACAAAAAAATTTGCGATTTCTTTCTAAAAAGGTTTGTAGAGCCTAAAAAATAAATAATTTAGTATATTGAAGCGCTGTTGTATGCCTAACGGTCACGGAGAAAATTCAAAAATAGTGTAATTAAAAATTCCCATGTTATTCTTATGGAGAAAATGAAAATTGTTGTAGTTTACTTGTTTATGGGTATATTGATAAATTTTGGCAAATTTATTTATTTCATCCTATACTATTGATGTATGGTCAAAAAACACTTTTTACCTTCCCCGTAGCAGCAAACCTAAGCACTTGTTAAATCTAATGTTATTTAAATAGGGAATAATATGTCTTATTTATGGAAATATTTTAGTAAAAATGTAATCAGACAAGTTGAAATTCGCTTAGTCTGCAGGTTTGCTGCGATGGGGGTATTTTTTTTTTCTTAAGTCAGTTCAATGTTTGGTTTGTAACATGGCATACACATAGCTAGTGTAGAATTGTCCATTGCTGGCCAGCTGACTATGCCTTAATAAAAATTATGGAAAAAAACACTCACAGTTTAGGTGATTTTACAAACTTTTTATAATTACAGATATTTTTAAATTATTGTGTTGCAGTTACTGTATAAAACGGTTTTAAATTTACTATTTAATGAAACAATGCCCATGTTTAAGTTGCTTGGTTATTTGTTTATATAACCATAAAATGTGTCCAATAATGTATGACCTATATATATATGTTTTTGGGCACAAACTGTACTATTTTCTCCCATCTAAAATTAGTTCACTTTTTTCATTTATTTATTTTATACATTATTTCGGTAAAATTATGGTTATAATTAATTCTAGAGATATTAATCATTAAATGTATGTATATTTTACTAATAATGCTTATTCATTGTCGACAATTAATTATACTAACTTGAAACGTAAAAAAGTCATTATAATACATAATTGAGATGGCTGAGAAATGTTGCAGTAATCCACTATGGTGAAATACATGACACTTTTTTTAATATTTAGCATAGTCTAGCGAATGGTGCAGAATGACGAAATATTTAGTTCAATGCACATGATTAGAGTATATTTTTAATACTCGTTCACTTTCTAAACTACTGTAAATTACTTGAGCTTGTGACATGGAGGGCTTAAGACTCTTGTTATTTTCTATTATTTACGTCTTGAAAGATTATAAATTGTTACCCTAGACATGTATTGCTCAGAAGCATTTCCATCGTAACAATTGACTTTCAACTTGTATTTCGAACAATTTATACGTTCATGTTCCTGAGTAAAGGTAGGTAGAAAATATTTAAGAAGATGAGTTCTACAGTATCTGATAAATTTACTGGTACCGATCTACCGGCGCGCGCCGCTTAGTGTGAAAGAGGCGTTACTTGTCCCTTGAACCTCATATTACTAGGGGTTGTTATGTCAATGGTGTCAAACACAATAAATAGCTCAGTTGAGCAGCACAAGCCAAAGATGTCATTCGGTACATATTGTGATCATTATTGATTTTCTATATTTTTTGTGTCTATTTTCGAAGGGTTGGTAAGTCCGAAAAAGATGAACAAACAAGGATTGACATAAAAAATTGCGATTGAAATTAAGGTAAAATTCGTTTTTGTTTTACTTAAATGTTCGCTCACTCTAATACCTCTGAATAAACTATGTAGTCTTAGATAAGCTCTCCTTCATGCTTTAACCAATAAAAGAAGACTTAAATCCACCTTTACATCTTAAGACGCTAAGCGGTCACGATATAATCACATAGATTAGTCCTATATATAATGGTGTTTGGTGAGATTTGAACCTGTGACCTGGGGGATCCAAAACCCGTGTCCTTTTACTAAACCAACTTGGCCTCAAATGAAGATGGAAGTAGTCGTCAAAAAGGTGAAGTTGATAATACACACTTTACTGTTTACAAGCTATGTAGCATAATAGGTACTGTACTATGAAAAACTACATTGGAATCGTCGTAATGAAGTTTTTCTAAAATTCCAGACCAACTTCAGATTGCCAGTCACTATTATTTTTATCTAATTCGACAAAGTGTTAATCATATCCAAGATATAGTATTCGTGGTAGTATCTATTTTGAAGTATCTATTTCGTGGAATACGCAGACTTTTTTAGTTCAGTTGCAGTATTCGCTATTGGTTATTGATATGTCTACCTATTTTAAGGTTCAGGCGGATGCAAAAGTTCAGAGACACAGTTTTAGACAACAAAATTTATTTTAGTAATGCGAAAACAAGTGTTCATGGTGCTTTGGTACATGTTCCTCGTGATGATGGTAATGCTGAGGATGGACGTTGTGTTCCCGGTGGACGACGGCGTTAAAGCCAGTGTGGTGGTCAGCTGTGTAGTGGACGACGCGCTTGGAACCGTCCGCCTCCACCAGCTCGTAGCTGCCGTGCACCACATCCCCGTCGCGCTCCTCCCTGTGGCTCTTGATGTCGCCGGTGTGGCTGTCATGGACGCCGTACTCGAACTTGTACTTTGGGTGAGGGTCGTAGTAGTCCTCCTTGTACTCCACGTGGAACCCGTGGTCGTGGTCCTCTAAATGCTCATGTCCGTGGTCGTGGTCCTCTACATGCTCGTGTCTGTGGTCGTGGTAGCCATGTTGTGGGAAGGCGAATGAACAAACCACCAAAACGGTGACTGCAAATATTATCTGTAACCGAAAAATACACTTTTTAGATGTTGTTACCATGTTAATTTTATTTATTGTACTATTGAGGTGCTATCAGGGCAAAAATTGTGCAAGAGTTATGAATGGAAATTAACTCATAAATGGTTTTAATGAACTTATATGTTTTGAAACAATAAATCTCTATACTAAACCTTTGTAATATACGTTAATAAGTTACCTTGATCACATCAAAGGCAAAACAATACATATCCTAGTTTTTATGTGTTCTAAATAATAATGCATTATCAAAAAAGTTAAAAGGTCTCTTACTTTTTACACTTAACTTCATTCGCTTCTATTGATTCTTAATAAAACTTGCTGTATGAGTTCAATGGCTTTTGCCTCAACCATAACTTAAGTACAAAAAATAATAAATATAAATAATCACTAAAATAGTTGCTTGAAATGTAATTGAAATATGTAATGCAACTAAACAACACCTTACCTTTGAGCACATTGTTAAATGAGCTACCCAAGCACTGACTTGACTACTTCTTCACTGATGTTCAAATCTGTTGGACACGACTTTATAGTACCAGGCAGTCACGGTAAATACACTTCCCGTAACAAAGTATGTGATAATTGCATCGTTCATACATTGTACACCAATTAATGTGCTTCCCTGAGCGAGTAAAATGACTGTCGTGTAAGACGATGCGTACGTATTGAAATATTAAAGTTACAATATTAATGGTATTTTTAAGATTTTTCTAAATTTATAACATACAACATTTTCTCATGGATGTATTTTCTAGTGATCATCAACCCTATGAGTAAATATTGTAAAATAACAATTTGAATTTCCCGATCCTCACAGGTATATGGTGAATGTTATCTCAAGTGTAGCATATATTTACGTGTAATTTTTGCACCTAAACGCTAATCAGTGGACGCTTTCATGTAAACCTTGTAGCTGCACCGATACCATACTTATTATATCCTAGTTAGAGTAAATTGACCAGTTTGCGCCCACGTGATTTCAGCCAACACTTTCATACAAAGATTGTTTCTACTATCTAGTCTAAAGCATATTCTGCACCAGTATCTGCAATCGTTTGGCGTCGGTCCTACTCATAAATCTTGGTCCTGCCGACTCTCTACAGGATCGGACCGCCTCATATGCTAATCCTGCAGGAGAAATCGGTCAAATTTGGTTTTGGTTGTGAAAAGTCTTATCCGAAAATTGAAAGAGTGTTGATAATTGATTCGGTCCATTAATCACATAAAGGTCATAAAATCTTATGCGACTAAAATAATCAATTTCCTTGTCTTGGTGGCTCAACTAAGAATATACTTGATATCGTTGACTATAGGATTAGAGGGGTGTGTTTCATTTGGCTTATGTGATCGTTGGTTTCGTGTAATGTTTTTTTTTTATTTATTGGTGTATTATTTGTACATTTTATTTACTTCCAAGTGCAATGGTGCTTTGGAATATATAAGTTAAGTTGTTTAAAATATGATGTATCTAAGTAAATTATGCATGTATTTTTTTCCCTCATTGTCAAAATTAAATACCGTAAAATACGCAAACAACATACCGACAAGTAATAAGTATAAAAATTAATGTATAACTACAATTGAATTTTAAATGTTTTCCTTATCAGTAGACATTACAGACTATTTGTTACTGATATATAAAGAAATGTCCAGCTAAAGGCAAACATCTATTATGTTATATATTTACGTAGGCCTGATGGAGTAAACAAATAGTCAAGTTACAATTCTAAGGCCTTCGTATATAGCGGACATTTTAAGTTTGCATTTAGAGATGTCACAACTGATTGAACATTATCATACTTCTGCAGTTTTAAAATTACGAAGAAAGATAGATATAACTGATATAAACGCTTTTAATTGCAGATAAAAGTTTCTAATTACTGTAAATATCATTTATATAGGACAGTACTTAACAGGCAACCAGTTACTATAGGTAATATTTTTCATACATGGTGGCCTATACTTAACATGGTGCTTATGAGCGTGAACACTGTAAGTTAGTTTATACTGTGGAGTGTTTGTGAATAAAAATTAAATATTAAGAGAGAAATAAAATAAGTCATGTTTTCAAGAAGAACAGAAATCAATAATATTTATTTGTACAGTATGAATCATTTTTTAAATCATCAGCTGTTCTAAGTAAAGGCTAAAGAAAATTATTAGGTGAAAGAACTGAACATACTCCCGGCCTTGAAGTGTCCTCACTTCAACAGTTAGTTTAGAATAAAACACATTAACACAGTTTGTCGTAGGCTGGCAATAGCAGCTGGTTGCTTTTTTCTACTTCTGCTTTTCAACCTAAGCCATCTTTGCTGGGGATACAACTTTAATACGTTTGCTGGAGACCACTGAAGTCCTAATACGTAGCAATTATGATCATCTGAGTTTTGAAGACCCTTTGGAGTTTCATTATGAGACTGAAGAATATAAGTTAACAACAAGTCTTTAGAGTTCATAACACATTTCTTCAATTCAAAAAATTCTGGTTTTAATAATTCAACGAGTTGTGATTGTAAGGCGAGTACTTTTTCTGTAGTTTGTAATGAAGAGTAGGTATTGGTCAGAGCTCCATCGGAAGATATAACCACTTGACTGGATTGCTGGACTGTCTTTACTGTAGTGGTTGCACTGTGGGTTGGGTTAACGACAGCACTGTCTGTCTTTTGGATAGCAATCCGGTCAGTAGGATGGGTGACAGCATTATCAGTAGGGTTTATAACAGCATGGTCACTTGGGATGACAGCAGTGTTGGTTGGATGAATAGTAGCACTGTCACTTGTCAAGGTAGTTGAGCTCACTGTTGTATCTGTCGGTTGAGGTTTTGTTACTGTCACTGTGGTATTTCTAATTTTCGAATTTGCTAACTTAGGCATAGTGTTTGCCACCGACCTCTTTATTGTGATGAGTTTTGTTTCAGGTTGTTTAAGCTGGGTGCCTTTGATTTGAAACTCACTTGATGGTTTCGGTTTGGTTACATTCATAGAGTCATGATAGAGTTGTGAAAACTGATCATTTGAACGAAACTTCCGTTCCATAGCATACAAACGTGTTTCAGCAAATGGCTTGGAATCACCTAGAAAATTATCTGAAGAGTCTTTGAAAGGCAAACGAACAATGTAACGTCCATTTTCATCACGAGTAACAGTTTTTCTGAAGTGTTGGTCACACAGTGCCTCTTCATGGGTTAGACTGGGTGATGTATGGGGTTCTTCTTGCACCCAAAAGCGTTGTAAGGAAGCGTGTAAATCGACGTCACTTTTTGACAGTAAACAAACATTGAGTGAAGTGGCAGGTGTGTTATTGGTAATCACAGGGTTTGTGAGGGAGCAAGGAGCGGTACCCATAAGTACAAAACCGAAGCGAGTTCCTAAAGCAGTAGGTAAGTTAGGCCCAAGTGAAAATTGGTTTTGAGTGAGAAGTTGAGGGAAAATTGCATTTCCAATTATGAGATCAATACGACTCGGTATGTGAAAGTAAGGATCAGCCAGGTTATACTGTTGAGTGAGTTGAGTGACTTTAGATGCAATGGATGAACGAGGAACATCAACTGTCAACTTTTCAAGGACGAGAGCAGGTTGAGCTTCGACTACCATTTTACCAGACATAGTTTGGAGATCAATAAAAATCTGCCCTCTGTTGGTTGTTACATGTTGATTGATTCCTGATAGTTGGATGTTGGACTTGGTTCTTTCTAAATTCAAGATCCTAGCTGCATGTTCGGTTATTAAATTACACATACTGCCCGAGTCAAGAAGAGCTCGAAACACATGTGGCTCACCAGAAGAGGAAGTGATTTTTACTAACAATGTTCCAAGTAAGACAGTAGTATTTTCTTTGAGATTTGTTTGCATAGACTGATGTGGTGACACTAGAGAAACAGATGTGTTTGGTATCATCTTAGACGATTCTTGATCATCAATGTGATTGTTCAACTGGTTAGAACTAAGTGAAACTTGGTTACTTTTGACATGGTCAAAATGCAACAGTGTGTGGTGCTTGTGATTTCCACACTTTTTGCAAGATGACTTAGATTGACAAAATTTTGATGCATGTGATCCGAGACATGAGACACATTTTTGAGATTGTTTAACCAACTGGTACCTTTCATGTGGGGACATGGCAATGAATTTTGAACACGAGTATATTTTATGACCTTGTTGATTACAAAAAAAACATGTAGTTGGTGTTGGTCGATTGTCTTGTTGAGTAAACAAAGGTGTGGCTACATTCACTGTAGTAGTTCTCTGAAGTGGGAACCTTTTGTTAGTGTTCAAGGAATTGGGTGTCATTTGTTGTTCATTACTGGTCATGTTTTGGGACAACATAGCATCCTCAAAATAAGTGCATTCATTATTAAGGAAAGTAATTATCTGTTTCGAAGTAGGCAATGAATGATCTGATGTATCAAATTTGTTACAAACTGATTCTAATTTGTGTCGCAGATTAAGATCCAACTTTCTTAATAGGACTACGGACAACAACAAGTTAGAGTCTTGGACATCATAGTTCAATGCTGATAAAGCTTGAGTGTTTTCATTGAAACGATTGACAAAATCTCTCACACCAGTGATGTTTGAACTAGAAATGTTAGGTAGATCTAGCAGTTGATTTAAATGTAAAAGTTGTAGACGCCTGTCATTGTGGTATCTTTCTCTCAACAAATTGTATGCTACTGCATAATTGGGTCCAGTAATTTGGAGACTTCGAATCAAATATAGTGGCTCTTTGTCCAATACACTCAAAAGGTATTGAAATTTTATTACACTAGACAAAGAGTCATTGGTGTGGATAGTGGAGTCATATAAATTTATGAATGATGTCCAATTAGTTAGATCTCCATCAAATTTTGAAAGTTCAAATTTTGGTAAACGTACCTGAGACTGAGCTGGGCTGCAACCAACCTTGGGCGAATCCGGGCTAGAGCCACTTTCAGGAAGAAGTGATTTTATATAGCTTGTAATGTGGATGAAAAGGTCATTGATTTGATCTTCATCTTGACTTATAGATTCATTATCCAAATCATCTTCACTTGATGTACTTACAATTCGCTGAAAATAAGAATCAAAGTCTTCTTTCTTCTTCTGGGCTTCTTGCATAAGAGTCTTTAGGGCTTCGTGTTGCACAAATGATAATGTTTCTTCTTGTTCAACAAGTTGGTCTAAGATGTTTTTTATTTTGTTCATACGAACTTTAATAAAAGATGTGAGTCTTGTATAAGTCTCAAGTTTAAAATCACTATTTGGAGATGCCATTGTACAAAAATGAGGAGATAAATGTAAAAAATTCAAAAAGTGTAAATGAACAGGTTGAGGAGTCCAAAATGGAAATAAGAGTTCGGTTGGGTAAGAGTTCAAAGGCACATAAAACAATGGGTAAAATGAGGAAATATTAATATAAGAAGAGTTTAGTGGATGTGTGTAATATTCCAAATCGCTTAAGTAATATCTTGGATCGAAGGACCATTAAATAATGTGGAGTGTTTGTGAATAAAAATTAAATATTAAGAGAGAAATAAAATAAGTCATGTTTTCAAGAAGAACAGAAATCAATAATATTTATTTGTACAGTATGAATCATTTTTTAAATCATCAGCTGTTCTAAGTAAAGGCTAAAGAAAATTATTAGGTGAAAGAACTGAACATATACTGTAGCGTGTGCACATTGATATTTCACAACTAACTGGATCTAAGTTTTACTTACACGTATCCATATGCGTCAGTATAAATATATCCAAATACAAAGCATACATTCATGCTTTTTAACCGACTTCCCACTACCAACAAAAGGAGAAGGTTCTCAATTTGTTCATGGCAATGTTTTTTTTCTATGTAAGTTATGTTCACTAATTTCTCTGTGATTCTTTCACCGATTTACGTTGTTCCACCCCCAAAATAACCAGGAGAGTTTCCCTTTGGTACCAGATAAAACAATATGATTAAGTGTAATATTTGTTTTGATGAAAAATGCTGGAAACCTCAAATATTCAACATTTATTTTGTTTCCATTTGCGCAGAGAAGTCAATAAATAATAATAATATTCCTACAGCTGTTAGTAGAAAACATTTAAACTTGCCATGGAGCAAAAGTTTCATTTCTGACAATTCAAATTCAACAACTGTAAAAAAAAATTAAATGTGCATTTTTATAACCATTGATTATGTTATCTAAACAGGTGACTCAAGCAGTTTTAAAATAATAATTGTTCTGTGACATCTGTGATCGGTCCAAACAATTTTGTTTTTCAGAAAACCTCGAGTTAGGCCTATATATAAAATATAACAAATTATATAGTCACTAAAAACCATTAAATAATTAATAAAAAAAAAAAACAACCGACTTCAAACGTTCTAACAAGAATGAAATAAGGTAAACTTTATTCAAGCGTTGTCAGTGTACACTGGACAGTGCAGGTCGGACTATGGCGGAGCGGCTCCCTCTCTCACCTCCCATGTGGTCTAGTGGCTAGGATATCTGGCTTTCACCCAGAAGGCCCGGGTTCGATTCCCGGCATGGGAATAAACTTTTTATCCGCTTCTATTTGTGACACCTATTCCTAGTGCTTTTATAAAGAACGTTTATGACAAATAAATGTTGATTAATGCATTATCTAATTAAGAAATTGTTAGTTTCTTCATTATTATATCTCTAAGAAATTGCTATACAGTAGTTCAGGTTTTTATCATTGACTAGTCAAAGGTTTTATTAATGAAGTAATAATCCGTTTAAATATCCACGATTGTTTTATAGGGCCAAGAAATCTATTATTTAATAAAGTCATTTAGCATGTATTTACATATTTCTAATCAAGATTTCGTATTTGTTACTCATCATTCTAAAATTATTTCGTAGTACGGTTATAGAACAGGTAAAATTTGTCTATACTCCTTCAAGCTCCTTCAAGAACTCCTTCAAGTTCAACCATAATAAAGTCAATGGTATTAGGACAAAAATAAAAATAAATATTGGGCGCCTACATTTTTCTAGCAGGCGACCTTTACTATGTATCAGTTTTGAATTCTTAGAAATGAAGGAGTACATTTTGTTAACTTGCATTTTTCATGCTACTAACTAACTAGGTAAATCGGTTTTGTTACACAAAATAATGATATATTTCTTATCTGAAGTTACCAACTATAATTGTACATTTTACTTCATAATATTTGTCGTAAACAGATTTAATTAGATTTTTTTTTTTTTTTTTTTTTTTAATATAATTAAACTTTTATAACAAAATAGTACCATACATAAGTTTTAGATTGAATTGTTAATTTTACACGCAAGTTGTATGATTTGATACGAGTACAATTATTCACACGGGTTGTTCTGGCGTGCCTCCTAACTGAGTATACAGAAGAGAAAATGTGTTTCTTCAAATTTACTTTAAAAACTAATTACACACACTTGCCATGCAAATTATATAGGCAAATCTCAATCGTACTTATTGTTTCAATTAAAATCTCTTGTGTATTTGTATTAAACTGTGTGGCATAATCAAAACTAATTATGCTTTGCAAGTAAGCTTATACTGAGTTAATGCTTTTGAAACGTAAGTTTAAAGTAGAAATTTAATTGTTTATTCAAGGAAAATCACAGATCAAACTCACTCTATTTCCATACACATTCTATTGGGTACTGTTTTAAAACAATAAGTTTTATTTAAATAAATAAAATTGAAAATTGAAAACCATTTTATTGGGCATTGTATTTGATTATGATGTATTTTTTTACTTAATTTGCACATACTTTGCTCTCTACTGTGATAATGTTTTCAACAAACTAGATGAACTGATTAACAAAATAAAGAAACAACCGTTCACGACCCGTAGATAATTGATAGGGTGTTTTCAAAACAATCTCTTTAGGAGGCAACAGGAAATATAACAATGATAAAAGGTTATAAAATACTCTCTCTCGCGTCACAACGAGCCCTCTTCTAGGTAAATTACTCTCTCTTTAGAAAAATAAGTGAAAGTTAACATAACTTGATTTTATGTTAAGCTAGCTGACCCAACAGACGTCGTCCTGCCCTAATGTGGTTTTATGTAAAATGCTCGTTCTTTTCCAAGATGAGCTCGTTCGCATGGCTCAATCACGTCCTGGTTGAAGTTCGTTCGCTACGCTTACTCAACTTTAGGTTGGAGCTCGTACGCTGCGCTCACTTGCCTTCAGGTTAGCTCGTTCGCTACGCTAACTCGCCTCCAGGTTGAAATTTGTTCGCTACGCTCACTCACCTTTTGGTTGCAAATTAGCTGCAAAAAATAATAGTGCTGTACCTTGTTGGTAAACCCATTAACTTTTTAATGCTATTGAACATCACAGAATTAACTTGTTTAGTTGAACCAGCTAGTTCTATGATTGAAGAAAAATTTCTATGACCCCGTGTGATAGATGTTGATAATCTAGTTTGAATCTTTGAGACATGAGAGAAGAAGAACAACATTGCATACTGATGATATCGGGACTTAATCCGACTGAAACTATTTTTACTCTGTATTTAATCTGCGTTACTTTACCCTCTGACATTTTGTCACCGTTTACATTGTGCTAAGAGATTAACAATTATAATTTTGCGTTTAAGATATTGTTTACTTAGGTGTAAAATCTTAGAAAAATTTTCTTTTTGGTGCAAAAAGATTTTCTGAAGAGGGGTTCAAAAATCTCGAAAACCATCGAGTCATTGTAGTAATCAATTAAATATTTTATGAAATTTTGTGTTTTAAGCTGACTAATTGTAAGGTATTTGTAAACTTATATGAAATGCTTCTGCAGCTTTGTTACTAAGATCGGATGATTCATTAAGCAAACCTTTTTCCTAGTCAGCAGAACAGCAGATATATCTTTGACCACTGTTAAAACGACACGTTCTAATCACAGTTTTAAAGTAATATCCAGTTTAAAAGTAATTACAAACGTTGAATTGAACCACTGCCAAAAGTACTCTGATGTAAATTATTGATTAATTAAATACATTTATTAGTATTGAAATAGATTAGTACTTAAATACGCCGACTGTTCAACCAAGACAAACATAATGGGCAAACTAACTTTTTCATATCACATATCAGATCACAAATCACAATCTTTGGGAAAATATAATTTTAATCTGTAACACTAAGTGAGTACCTCATAGAACAATGATTCATTATTTTTACTTTCTCCTCCTATACACGGTATATGGAGAAAGTATTGTTTTCGTAAACATTTTCGAGCTTGAGTTTTGAGTGGATATATTCGTTTTGGGACCGCCTGAACCCAAAAAAGTAGTTCTCAAAGTGATGCCTGTCCGTGAGTGGTGTTTGTGTGTGTGTGACAGGGTAAATCGAATTAACAAGTCTCACCTTTGTCGTCTGGAGGGGGTGTGTAGTGTGTGTGTGTCCGTGAACACGATAACTTGGAGTAATTTTGGTCCGATTTTGATTAAATTTGCTATGCATCTGTAAAACCGGATAAACAGGAATGAGTTATATATTTCCAAGCCTGTATTTAGTATATTTAGTATTAGATATACTAATATGATCCGATCTTGCGAACTATTTAAAGCCTATCCCGCCCTACACCTTCAAGCAGAAAATTTCATCAAAATCGGACTAAATTTACTCGAGTAATCACATGCATAACACAGCATGCATCACTTATGTTTTGTTACCAAATACTATATTACATTTGGCAGCCTCTTGGTGGTTTTAATCCGTCATAAACCCCATTACTGGGAAACTATAACGAGTCTTTGGTTCCTATGATTATTTTTTTGTTTAATGGTTTAGTTAAAATCTTTAGTCAGACCAATAGAAATTCGCCTGATATGCAGGTTTTCTGGGTGGCGGGGGTATTATTGTTTGTTAGTTATATCTTAAACTGTGTTAGCTCGTCAGGAAAATTTTGGTTATGTGATAATGGCAAAAAAATATAACCACCAAAATCCAGCTTGACACTAGTTTTAATAAATAATCTGACACAACTCAATTGTACATGTTTTTGAACCAACACGAAAAAATATGTTTTCAAATTTCGGAATCATGTGTACTATTTACTGGTTAGTTTCACTGTCGCTTTTTTCTTTACAAATTAGCTGAAGATCTCTGTATTTGTTTCCGCCTTGTTCACGTTCTGTCCAGACTTCTTTACATCCGAGGCCTCGTTTACATGTATTGTATTTGAGCAGCGTACCTGGTGGATGACCCCATCCGTTTATAACGCAGAAAATGCAAGGTTGATCTACCTTCCCATGATGTCTTTGGTAACCGGTAGAGCTGTATCCTAGTCCACACTTGAACAAAGCCCCACAGAGTGTACCTGAAACATATCAGTTATATAACACCGTTGTTTACACTTCCAAAAGACAACTCTGACATTCACATCTAACAACAGCTAATTGTGAAGTATAAGGCTTAAAGAAATTCTGAACCTCACAGCCTCAGATAAAAAAAAAGAGCTCGGATGATCAAGGATCAGGTCAGAAAATTAAGGCAAGTCGAACTTTTATCAACGCGACTGCGAAGCTTAGATAGAAAATTCCCAATGTTATCGAGTTACAGGAGATAATGATGGTGTCTATTAGACGGTAGCTGGAATTTTACCTCCCGTGTATTGTATCCATTGGGAAAACCATTGATATGGCAAAATTGACGTACCAACCCGAGCGCTACCAAGTTTGTGAGCGCGGAATAATAACCTTCTTGACACGGGGTCTAAGGAAAAACCCAGAGTGTGGATATGTTGGATTAGCAATAAAAGCCGGAATGTTCGGCCCGGAATTACCCTTTCGAAATTTTTCCCCCACCCCACGTAAAATCATCCAAGTACCTAATTCGTAATTTTATGCCCTGACAAGAGAAATCACCCCTGTGAATTATAAACTTTGTACGTTATGGGGTTTCTTTACGTGAGAGACCTTTAAACAGTTTACCGCTGAATATATTAATGTCAAATCCTCACATTATCAGGTAGGCCTAATGGTTCACCTTTAGTGCGTAATAGATTGAATTGTGGCTTATAATAAACAGATGTTTTATTTGCTTTATCGTCATTCTGCAGCAAAAACAGCTTTTTTAATGCCTCAGTTGCGAGTCTAAAGTTGTAGCATTATAATTTTTTGTCTCTAGGGAGTAAAAACCAGCTGATGTACATGTAAATAGTTGTAAATTTCGATTGTGGCTATCGAATCGATTTATCGATTGATTTACCAGGTAAGATTTTAACCTATTGTTGTCGATTGCTCGACATATCGATGGTATAATGTGAAATGATTGAATCACTTACTATTGTCGGGACCACGTAAGTTTGCAGTTGGTGGCAGCCAATCACAAGACAAGGCTAGTGCGACGTTGCCACATCGCCCGTTGAAAACACGAATTAAAATATACTAAGCAATATTTTTAAATCAGCTGGTATTATTAGATTTGGCAACACCGCACTGTTCTCATTGGTTCATTCAAAACCATATGGTAAATAGGCTCCTCCCTCAACTGGAAACTTACGTGGTCCCGACTTTAGACAGCTGCTATTAGTAGAATTGAAAACAAGCGGTAAGACGTTTTAAGAGGTTATCTTTAAATAAAAATTATTTCGTTTTCTAGCTTTGTTTGTTAATTAATGATGCAATATGACGAAAATATAGTTCACCACACGGGCAAAAAGTGACTTTTTAACCCTCGCTCATTTTCCAACCTCGGCTTCGCTTCGATTGTAAAAGTTGACCTCGTATCAAAAAGAGTCACTTTAGGCCCTAGTGATGAATAACTCTTCCCCAAAAAACAGTGACCAACCACCGGGGACATTTAATTAGATTTCCACCCTTGCGAATTAATAGAGTAGTTATACTCTTTGACTTAGTATATGAAGAATACGATGATTAATAATTGTGTTAAATGAATAGTGCTGAAAAATATAACATGAGTGAAAATAGTTCCGCAACGTCGGTCAATTCGTTGTTGATGAAGTAAGTATTTTTAGATTTTGTTAATACTCTTTTGATGTTCAATAAAGAAAGTGGATGACTATATTGTGTAGATAAGGAGTAATTTAGCATTACCCATCATCTAATCTTAATCCTTATTTAAACTACTGGTGCAATCGAAAATTACAAATTTAAACACTTACACATTAGAAGCAGGAGAATCAAGTTGAACAAGTACATGATGCCTGATGTAGAGATACTTCGAAAATATAAATGGTAGTTGCAAGAGTACAGCTTCTGGCGAGAGAAAATTACTCTAATTGGATGGTGAACTAATTTATGTTTGTGTTATAATGATGATCGATACATTCTAATTGCCGCAAGTGGTGCAAATTTATATTTTATGAGTACTCATATTATAAATGCTAAAAAACTTTTATTCACTTGACAAAAATTAACAATGACAAAATTAATTCACTAGTTTTTTTTTGTGGAAATTAGTCAGAAAGCGTTGCTTTACAAATGTTATAAGAAAAAATCTACAAGCGTTGACTAAGAAAGTAAAAAAACGAAACAACATAGAGTAAGCAACGTTGTTAACATGTAATATTTTTAAAATACTTTACAACAGCCGTCATTAATAGTGAACATGAAAACTTAAATACACGTAAGCAATAATCATCAGATGACATCATTGACATTATACAAGTGATGCATTTAACTTAATATTTTACATTCTGTAGAGTTAATGTATGGTAACTGATCAACTGACAGGAATTTCCCATATAAAGTACCAAAGGACCAAGCTTGGTCAAAGCACCTACTAAGAGAAATATATCGGGAGACGGACAGCGTCCCAGATCTTTGTTTGGGTTAATCCCCTGATTTGTGGCCTGAGGGTAGTGGTCACCAGTGGAGGGATGGGGAATCGAGAATTCTGAATCCCACCGGAGGCGTTAACTTTTTGTCAAAGATTTCGCTTAGAATGCGATTACTTCTTAACTGTGCATCTTTTGCTAGAATTTAAGGCGTTTATAATTTTATGATCAGAAATATTTTTCGATTAGTAAACCTTTGTACGATTTTTTTCATTATCAGCAAGTTTGGTTGGTTGGGTTAGGTTATGACAGTTTAATTTTACAATAATATACAAATTATCAAAATGAATTTTAGGCATTTGTAGTTTTATTTTATGAACAGAACTATTTTTTATTAAACCTTCATTCGATTTTTAATTATCAGCAAGTTTGGTTAGTTTGGTTAGGTTATGACAGTTAAATTAAATTTAAATTCAACCGACAAACGATACGTTTTGACAGCGACAGTAATAGAGCTAACAATTTGAAGCGAACAGTTCGGCTATGCACGGTATGATGCGGAAGCGTTCGACACCAACCTAGAACCGACAGGTCAACCGACCGTGATTAAGAGGATTAAGCCTGGTGCATGTGCCTACACCCAAATATATCATATTCCCGTGGTATTAATTTGCAAAACATTTGGTTTGCCTTAAAATTTGTTGATATATCTTTTGTCTTCACGTAGATGGTCAGATATGGTGTTTGCTATGGTTAAAAGTATAATGGTGTTGCCTGTTATCCTAGAAAAATGTAAACTAGATATACAAACATACTGTTTAGTGTTTTGGATATTATAAGGTTTCGACTGAATACAAGATCCCCGTCCATAGATTGGGCACTCTGCCAGTATGTTATTCATTGTTATGCAATGTATTGTAAATTATTTATTATTTATTCTCAATATCCCTAGGAAATGTTCGGTCCCTGAGGTCCTGGGTTCAAATCCCGCCAAACACCAATGGGTTTATGTGCGATAATCCCGCAACCCCTAGATCTAGCCTTAAGTAATGTGAAAAACAATACCGGGCTCTTGCCTAGCATCCTAGGACAAAAGATTATCTAGTCCCTTACGACGACAAATGTTTAGTCTAAGACTTCCAACCCCCAACCCCTCCATTGCTGTGAAAATTACCGTTCAAAAGATCTTGCAATTTTGTGATTATTAATATTAAATATCATAGTTACTCTCGTCGCTTACCAATGATAACGGTTGCTGACACGCTAATGGGAGAAAGTATGTGTCAGATTGCTGATACCGTTTATTTTTGTTATTTTAGTAAAATATTGGATTGGTCGATAAAGATGATATGTATCCAACAGTCAATGATAAAATCCAAAGAAAATGCTCAAAAACCTTTACCAATTCGTTACAATGGTGAAAAAAATAATTAATAAGTGAGAGTACCTGTGAACAATGCATCACACAATATACATCCACCATATTCTAATAATTTCACTCTATACTACAGAAAGGGCAGAGAGTGTAAGTGTTATTTGGTTAATTAATCAACATTGTTGGTCTTGCTTCAGCTGAACCATTTGTCTGATGCAAACACACTTCTAACCTGAATGAGGCAACGCAATGCTGCGAGATTGAGTTTATAGTAATTTTCATCAATGTCACTATCATAGAAGATATTTTAAAGTGGAAAATTGAATCACCTTTTAACGTGAAGAATGTTAATGTGGTTTTATTGAAGGAGTTATTTGTTACGGCTTAAAACTAAGTTTTCGCCACATTACTCTGTTTAATGGACTTTCTATGCATGGGTTTTATCCAGAAAACAGTTGTTTACCACCGGCTTAATTAAATGGGATTCTATTACGTACTACTGTACGGTTAGGAATCACGTTGTCACTAACCGCGTTTGAGTATACTATTCAAATGAGTATAATATTCTTTATTTTTAAGAAGCTAATTTTTTACCTATAAAATACTTAAATGTTGGTTTTGTTATCGGTTCAACCTCGTCTGATGTTTAAGTAACTTAAATCAAAAGAAATTCGATAAAAGTTAATTCGAAGTGCTTAAGATCTGTAAAAAGTATACCTACCATTTAAATATTACAACAGTGAGCCTTACGACGTAAAAATAACTGTAGTATTGTGTTAAAAGGTCTGCCTCGTAATGGGCTTGAAAAATGTACAATCGTATACTTATCAAAGAAGTTTTTGGACGGGTAGCATTGTATTTGTAACATTTAATATTCTGGACTAAGTCAATGAAAATGGTTATAATAATTTGTTTAACGTGGGATAGAAAATAATATAGTATAAAATAATTAAAGCCCAAACACCAGCTGAGGCACAGTTTACCACAGCAGATACAACACTCAACACGGATCACGTAACAGGTGTATTTTCGGCAGGGATCTATTAACGTAATTCATTCACTCTAGATTCGTCTGATTACAGCCCAGTCCGGAAATTATCTGCCGAATACTCCAGTTAATTATAACAGCTGGTGTCGATCAGCTGATCAGTCGCCACGCCCATATCTTGTCTGCTCGTTAAAAGCTGCATTTTCCTCTCGGGTCGGTTCCCGCCTAAAACATAAATAACACTTTCTATGTGCGAGCCGATTCGTCTTGGCCCGCCGAGGTATCTAGAATCGAGGTTTGTTATGCCATCATGGACTATAACGCTGGGTTAGTCGCTCGGGGAGTTTGCAAGACAGAGAGGAGTTTAGGGGAGGGGGTTGTTTTACGTGAACTTAATGGCTTACTATTTTACTCCTATAAAATTACATTTTTCTTCTATAAGTTTAAAAATTGACAGATTTCACAATTATATACAGCCTTTGAGAATATTATTAAAAAATGGACATAAAATACAGTATTTTGGAAGCTAAAATTTGTCCATTTAAAAGTAAGCTAATATTGAATAATGCTCATAAAAAATTTATGATTCTTTGTTTTTTTTAGTAATTGCCAGACGTCTTATAAATTTGAGGTTACCTCCCGCTATCTCCGCGTCCCGCCACCTCCGTGTAACGCTACCTCCGAATTTCAGAGTGACCCCTATAATCCTCAGTTACTTCCTGCGTTAAGACTTTCCGTCCAAACCTAACCTAACCCAACTTAACCTAACCTAACCTAACCTAACCTATCCTGACCTAACCTAACCTAACCCATGGGTTAAATTTTCATTAAATCTTCCATCCACGGGGCTTCGCAGCCGTGGATGCAATGACAGCTAACAACGCAAGCAGTGACGGGATTATAAGGGTCACTCAAGAATTCGGAGGTGGCGGGACACATTTGGGTTCGGAGATGGTGGAACGCGGAGATAGTGGGAGCACATGAAATTTGATGTCTTTGTACACAAATCCGCTAATCGTAAACAAAAACTAAAATGGCCGGCGAGTCTTAAGATAAATAAAATAAAATAAAATACCACAAGTAAAAAAAATGTTTGGTTGTGGCATCTCTTGTTTTGGAACAAAGCAAATTAACATTTACCTGATGATTGGTTGAAATAGATCGCACATACACACAGCTAACATAAGTTTTCTTGGATGCATCACAAAATCCAATAATTTCAATATTTTTGTAAGTAATTGTGAGTTGTGACTTGTCTTGGAATGCGCAATTTATTGATAGTAAATAAAAAACCATAAATTACTTTCCACGTGTTTCTTTTTTTAAATTTTTAAATAATTTATGGTAAGGCCTATGACTTTTACGTGGTAGAAGGTGTATTTATAAACTAAAATTGTCCACCAATTGTACACAAAAATGGTTGTTTGTAAATGGTTAACAGGTAGTAAACATATCAATGATAGAAAAGTGAAGAAATTCTGAACTACTAGACTGTTCCTAGTGTACACTAATAACTTTCTTTAAGCAAAGCTCGCTTATGGTCGGTAGACCTAGATTTTGTCTATTGTCGAGTATGTACAATCTATAATTTTGTATTAACTATATCATTGGTTGTATGGGATATTAATTAGCAGCTGTGTCTATTTAGAACATATCGGCCTTAGTGACTACAAGATCGCGCCACTCATCATTTACTCATATTAGGCTTAAAATACATACATTCGTATGGTCACCATTTCAAAGTAAAGTAATTCATGATTTGTGTGACTTTTAATGCTCAGCTATAGTTTGGGTCAAAAGAAATTCAGCGACTAACTCGGAAGAAAAACTATGAAAATTTGTTTGGGCAAAACGCTGTCATTCGCTTAATTATTGCCTAATTCTTATTAACTACTTAATTCAAATCTTTGATGGTTAGTGTTTTGGTTTCTTAAGAATGTAATAGAGGGAGAGAGTGAGAGAGAAATTCTTTATTTATGACAACATAAATTTGTACAGAAAAAAACGAATACTAATACAAAACATATTTTGCAATATACCTGCGAAAAATCATTTTAAGTATTGGTAAATTTATAATCACAAAGTAGTGTAATACAGTTTTCATTTCCTTAAACCTTTAATATTCTGAATGTTATAGTACGCAGCAAAATACAAGAGTTTTCTGCAAGGTGCATGATTGTTTATGTCATACAATTTACTACATTTTAAAATCTAACGCGCAGAGTAAACTGTGCTATTGACAAACCTACCTATAATGTTTGTTTAATACAAATCAGGCGTATCTCCAGGCTACAACCATTATACGGCTGCCAATCTGTCGTGATAGATAACCATAGTTTCACCGTTCCGTTTCAACATAATGTTTGAAAACCCATCCATCTTTCCAAAATATTCTCGAACGTAAAAATATATATATATCTTACGTAATAGTTGGTTGGAACTAGTTTACGGTGATATTTGGTTTACGAAACACAATCATTATCTTGTTCACTTGGAAGTGGAATTCGGATCATTGCTATGTTTATACTAAGCAACCTTATTTGATCTGTTAGCTACTCTACTCCTACTGGAGGCACTCCTAGGACTACTCTTGTCTATCGATCCAGGTGAATTAGTGGTTTACTTAGTTGAGTTATCTAGTGGAAAGTAGTGTATTGATAGCATGACCAGAGTGTCGCCGAACCATGACCTTATCTCTTGATAAGAGCTTGTGGGCGGAGAAAGGTACCGGACCGGTAGACGTTGGGACATGGGTGGACATATATAAGTGGCACTGATCACTCGGCATACCCACAAATCCACAATGATCAGCAGGGTAAGTGTGCCAGTCATACATTTCAGTAATTTAAAGTAAATTAATGTTTTAAAGTTGGCAATACTATAGGGAAACATTTAAGAGAATATCAGCATTAAAATTGCAGATTTAAGTAAAATGTACTTATTGTTGTAAGTCAAAAGATTTTTGAAACCAATTAGACTTTTTATGAGTTTTTTTTTCAAAATAGAAATAAAAAATTTTGAACTAACCAAATAAATGCTTTTTGTATTTGTATACTCGGTCAATTTTGTGTTCGGTAACATTTTATTTGCTTGAAGCCCACATGAACTAAGATCTAAAACTTTTTAGTTAGTTATCATTTCTACATCGCCGATGAAGACAAAATTACAGTACGATGTCCAGAGAACGGTAACAATTGGTTTGTTACATTTGTAGCAATTATGTGTTAATCTGCCTTGCATCATGGTACTATTCAATGGTTTTATAATCATGTTCCATGCCAGCTTTAACAGAAAGCATTACTGATATTTTCCACCATGATCAATATTAATCATAAAAAATTTGAAAACAGGTTTCTATTAAAACAGTGTGTGTTAAGAACCTTGTGAGTGATAGCATCATTGCTTTTTTGAGTTGTATTTATAAACAAATTTCCCCCCAAACAGTTTTGCATCGTCTTCGCCGTGGTGGTGGCCACAGTGTCTGCCCAGTATGGCTACAAGCCCGCCTACGCGCCAGAGCCGTACGCGCCGCCCAAGTACGAGTTCTCGTACGCTGTCAACGACCCGTACACGTACGACGTCAAGAGCCAGAAGGAGTCACGTGACGGCGACGTAGTGTACGGCGTGTACGAGCTGCTAGAGCCCGACGGCTCCAAGAGGGTGGTCACCTACGAGGACACTGGCTACGGCTTCCAGGCCAAGGTGGACAAACTGCCCGGTGGATACCCCTCGTACCCCAGATACTAGTCATATTCAATAATTATAATCTTTTATATAAAAATGAATGTGTTTTGTTTGAAAATAATGCTTACCTTTAGAGCCATAAGACGTAACATATTTTTAGTTCTTTGTCGTAGAGCTAAAAGTATTGTATTTATATACTTGAAATGCTGTACTGTAAATTTTGTGATGAAATTTTGTTTATGGACAACTGGACATTGTCCAGAAATGATAGTTATACTCAGTACAAGTTATATTAAGCACCATTTTCAGTAACTGCTACTAGTTCAAAAGACATTTTTACAACAGCTATGCAATAGGTACTCCTAATTTTATCATAAAGCGTTATTTCTGTCATCTATTTGGTTTATTTGAGTAATTTCTAGAGTCAATCCAGTCAGATTGCTCCTACTATTTAAACTAGCAACTTGACAGTATGAAAATGATTAGCTTTGTTAAATTTGTGTGGTTTGTCATTTTTTCACACATTTGACAGTACAGCACAGCGTATTAAATAATTCCTTGCCAAACCTAAAAAATGTACAAAAACGTATTTATTAAAAATTTACTATTTTTGATTCAATTTGCTTGATTAATTCAAGTATTTATGGAAATAAAAGTGTGTAATTTATAAAGATCATCCATTTTATCTGTGATAATTCCAATGATGAATACTGATGTTTTCATGTTATACAAACTGTATGACAGTTTTTACTATTTCTAAGCATGAGGTATAATATGCAGCAAGATGGCAAGCTACTCAGTATATTGGTACAAGTGCCAAGTGCCCGAAGCGTTCCGTGGCTGTTACGGATACTGGACCCAATAGGCATCAAAGCCTCGTTAAATCTGTTCGGTCGCATGCATATGAAACAATCTACAACTGTTATATAAAGTTCGCACACGTATTGTGAAATCGATCCCTAAACATTTCAGCATTTGATCAAATACTTTATAAGTTATTTAATGATGAAAAAAAAACATATTCACTTTCAAAATTATCGGAAAATCAACAATGATATATTTTATTTTTGCAAACAGTTTTTTTATTTTGTTTATATTATACCTAAAACGACAACTACATTGTTAAAAATGTAGATTCAAACAAAAATGTAACTTTTCAATATACATTGTGTATTTTGTAACTATTAAATTTGAACTAATTCTTGCCAAAATAATCAATAGACAATGAATAAAATTAAGTAAAACGACAAAAACAATTGCATATACGTTTTTGAAGTATACTATTTTATATTCAAATATACCACTAGAGCATAAAAAACACTTAAAGCATAGATAAAAGGAGTATAGACAAAGGTATACACAAAGGTCAAACTTTTAAAAATGTCTTTAAGCCAGGAGAATAATAATGTGTCTTAAAGAAAAATTGAAATTTTGTTACTCTCTGAGAGTTTCGTGTTATGTATCCGGCCTTAATAAACAAAAAATGTCAACTAATAAGTTTGTTTATTAAGTATTTAGTTAGCATGTTCTCAGTAGTGGTGGGAGTACGTATTACTATGGTGTGGGACATGGTGGCTAGAAAAGTGTCCATGATGCTCTGGTACATGTTCGTGATGATGACTTTGATGATGTACAACTGGCAAGTGCTCCTGATGATGATGGTAATGTTGAGGATGGACGTTGTGTTCCCGGTGGACGACGGCGTTAAAGCCAGTGTGGTGGTCAGCTGTGTAGTGGACGACGCGCTTTGAACCGTCCGCCTCCACCAGCTCGTAGCTGCCGTGCACCACATCCCCGTCGCGCTCCTCCTTGTGGCTCTTGATGTCGCCGGTGTGGCTGTCATGGACGCCGTACTCGAACTTGTACTTGGGGTGAGGGTCGTAGTAGTCCTCCTTGTACTCCACGTGAAACCCGTGGTCGTAGTCCCCTACATGCTCGTGCCCGTGGTCGTGGTCCTCTACATGCTCGTGCCCGTGGTCGTGGTCCTCTATATGCTCGTGTCTGTGGTCGTGATGGCTATGTCGAGGGAACGCGATACTTGTAGCGACAATGCAAAGTACAACAACCTAGAAACAATGAGAAGTTTAATATCCTGTTTACTTTTTGACAAATTACAGTGTTTCTTTGAATAATTCCAAATAGAAAACATCGGTTGAACAAACATGGTTAAAAACATTTCACACTATTCCCTTTGCACCAGTAAAGCTTGGTAAAGCAGCAGTAATGCAGTAAAGCTTGGTTGACACTTATTAAAAAAGTGTTGTCCACTGTTATGATGAATTAGTAATATGTTATGACATCAACGTAAATGGTTTCCTATAAAAAATGGCACGTACGTAAAATGGCAGAAGAAGCTATGTTGCCCATCAAAAGCCCATACCACATGCAGTTTGATCCTCTTTTGTCATGTCAAATACCTAATTTATTTGAAAAAGCTTCTATATTCTGCTCATCTGAGAAATGATCAGATTTGTAGTTTTTCTTTTTCAAGGCAACTGTTGTATAACGTGTGGCCTGGATTAGATTACCATGCATAACGTTTGTTTAGTAACAAATGAGGAACTCAGTGAGAAGTGTATTATGTTTATACATTTATAAGCTATTTATATTTAGTTATGTTAAGTTATTGATATTTATAAAATTATTTTAACAAATATTGACTTGGTAATGCATTATGATTCTTTACAATATGAGCTATCAAGAAAGACACTTTCCGTGAATAGATTTGTTATTAGTTCAGTTATGAAATAATATCTGGTCCTAAAAAAAAGAATTAATCATTCATATTGGATTACAGATAATAGGCCTAAATCAAAATATGTATTACATCAAAATTTATAAAGGTTCCTTTGGAAATATGACAAGAAATGGTTATAAAATTGCACTCACCACAGTCAACATTGAAGACATTTTGAATTCCTCCGTGGATACACTTAATACCACGAATGTACTGTAAGTAAACTAGATGAACTGATGCTCTCTCTTTGCTTGGTGCTTGTTTTATAGTCACACGTCCTCACATTCTTCACCCTCCACTGCATCGAATCATCACTTAATTTGGTTACGGAATAGTTTACATTGTAGGAAGATGAAAAGTAGACATTACATTTCGTAGGTTGTAATGGCATAGAGGAGTTTTTTTTCAAAATATTTATACTATTGTGAACCGTATGTATGTATGATTTAGCGAAATACGTTTGAGTGAATAAAAAGATCATCTTTGTTTTTCTATGAATGAGGATTCTTTCTACATAATTAATTAGGCTATTTTTTAAGCTATTTTTATTTGATCAATTGATTTTGGGTACTTTTTTACCACATTAATTGAAAAAGGAGGGCGAATAATAATACACTTAAACTCGGTGTAAATAGATGGTAATCAAAGATTTCCATTAAACCACTAAGATAGCTCGGTCTGATTAAAACTACCTATTGGTATAATTTTAATCAAAAACGTTAAATATTAGTGGTTCGATTCGCATAATTGATAGGCTTTATGGATTTTCTACAATTCGACATACTTCAAGAACCAGAGTTTGACAAAAATGCATTTACAAAATAAAAATTATAAACTAACTAAATGAAGATACAGTCAAGGATTGGTTGTTTGATAAGGATAAGTTGCAATTCTTTACTAGTCAACTTCTTCAAATTTCAATTCATCTGTTAATGAGCAACGAAATCTATTTGACAACACAATCTAATTACAAAATAAAATACTCAGTTAATTTCTATCCTTAAATTTAATGTACACGATGGTTTTTCTCGTATCTTATTTTAAATAGCTCGAAAATTTCATAATTATTTCGTATAATTTTTACACTCCCAATTAAACAAAATGAATATCGTACCTAAAGAAAATTAACTTTTAACAATTATTTAAACTTAGTTATACAACGCTTTTAGTTATTTGAGGGCAATGGAAATATTATTATACGTCTACGTATACTAGAATCATAGACGGAGAAGAGTTTGGTCCTCCAAGTAGGGTTATAAAAATAATAATAATAATGTGTAACAACCCAAGGCACCTTTTTTAAGAAAACATAAAGGATAGTTGGGTGTTTTCTATGTTTTCCGCACTGTTATTACAGACGCCGGTTACAGCCGTGGTTGTAGGTCAGTGAGCCACGCCGCGGTAGAGCTGGAGCGGTAGAGGGGCCGGGAACTGGTTATGGCTCAAGGTAGCGGTTCAAGTGCAAGGTCTCTGTCGACTCAGTGTCTTCCCGGTCACGGAGATGTCACTGCCGCCGTGACATCACTGTTTACTGTGTGGTTATTGTGCTCAGTGTGACGTCACTTGATGTATTCCAGTGGTGACGTCACTATGTGCGTTGTGTTATTAATAGTGATGTCTCATGAAGGCGTTAACGAGACCGGTGGCGTTGTCAAGCCATGTGTTTTGTTACAATAATTTCATTAAGTGTATATCTGTTGAGGTGTTGACATGATCGGTGATTATGTAATTAGAGGTTTCTAGTTATGGGTGCTGGTGTCTCTTGATCTCTTTGGTGCTCAGCGTGATTAGTGGTGACGTCACGTGTTCTCTATCATGAGTTGAAAATCAGAGTCACGATTTTTTTTGTGTTAGATATGGTAATCGGCGGAATCTCCACTGTGTACCTCACCTTGGTTGTGATTGGTGGTTTAAAATATTTTTTTGGAAGTAATGTCGTTACTAATATGAAGCCTACGATGAGTGAGGTTGTATGATAAATTGGAAAATTGGATAACTATTCAGCGTAAGTAAACATCTTTATAATTTATTATAAGCTATTTGATACTATTTTTATATTTTATTTTTATAATACGATAAATAATTTATCTACTATTGCCACTGCAGCATTCTTGAATTTTGTAGATAAGTCATGTAAAATTATTTAAGGTACAACATTATGTGACTGTATCGTTAAAGGATGTTTGAAGTAAAGTGATAAAAGGTAGTTCTTTTATTACTGTAGTAACTAATTTATTATTGTAAATTTTTGTTAATATTTTGCATTGTAGGGTCTATGACAACAGAATTTAAGTGTTTTTGATAAATGATTAAAAATTTAACAAACAAAAAAAACTATAAAATAGATTGACAAAAGTTGTTTTAAATATCTTCACTTTTTGGGATCCAATTTCTCTGTCTGTTTTGATAGTGGTGCCTAATAGGTTTTCAGCTAAATATGCTTACAAATCAGATAAGTAAATGCACTTATTTGATAATGTGTACCGATGTGTATTTCGTTTCAGTTTTTGTGAACAGGAAGACTATGGAAAATGTCTTTCTGCATTGGCTATTTTGGATGGCCAGGTTCAATAGTGTACTTTTAACAATTAGTTCAAAAATGTTTAAATTAATTTGTTTTTCTATCTAATAGATGTAATATTTTAAAATATTTAATGTTTTAAATTGTCAGTGCAACATAGATGTGAGAAATGTTCAATGTTTTGACAAAACAAAGAAATTGGGAAAAAAATTTACAAACCCCCTAGATCTAAGATAACTAAGATAATTAAACAGCAATAATGTAGCAAGAAAATAATTCCAGGAAGCTCTCCATGGACACACAATGAAAATAAATATACATTTTTTAGAGGAAAGTTTATTTACAAAAGTATAAAATATTTGTACAATATAGCGAGCACTTGACTAGTATCTGGGGTACGAGGGGTATCCACCGGGCAATTTGTCCACCTTGGCCTGGAAGCCGTAGCCAGTGTCCTCGTAGGTGACCACCCTCTTGGAGCCGTCGGGCTCTAGCAGCTCGTACACGCCGTACACTACGTCGCCGTCACGTGACTCCTTCTGGCTCTTGACGTCGTACGTGTACGGGTCGTTGACAGCGTACGTGAACTCGTACTTGGGCGGTGCGTACGGCTCTGGCGCGTAGGCGGGCTTGTAGCCATACTGGGCAGACACTGTGGCCACCACCACGGCGAACAAAGTTACAACCTTGAGAAAAATATTAAAAATTAGTAATGTTATTTCTCAATGTAGAACTAAAAGAAACAACACTAACTGCTGCCGTACTATATTTAAATTTAATCCTTAGATCGTTAATTTAAATATGGCTGAAATGTAAAATTTCGTTTCTTCGCAATGTAAAATTGTATGTCTAATATTTTTTATATGTAGGGTTAACTATTGCATTTTAAAACTAAAAATGTGTCTTAACTTATGAACGAATTGTTTTAAATAGTTTTCTTTATCAATTGCAAGTTTTAATTACATCTAATATGAAATATTTTACAAAGATTTGACATTAAGCAGTAAACATGTTCAGGCAACAAATAAATAATAATATTTATTTCCTCATATCTGTCGATGAAAACACAACATCGCTAACAATTATTTTGTAAGGAATTAATTACGTTGATGTGTTTAACATGGTTGATTAATAGGGTTTATGTTTATTAACACAACTTAACTTAATAACACATAAGCGGATTACTTAGACTACCTTTTTTAAGTTCTTTTTATTACCGGGGCTTTCAACAAATTTACTCATAGTTCCTAATTAATCACTTATCATGTTGATTATAACAGTGGTAAGAATAGTAAGACAAGCCAAATTTTGAAAATTATTAAACATTTTATTAAAAATCACTACTATTATTTTAGGACAAAAACATGTGTATCGTCAAGCATATACTCTTAACCAACTCATTATAACCAATACAGTAGTAACATTTGCATTTACTACGGATATAATACATTTTAAAAAACCTCTTTAAAAATTGATATAATAATAAAGAAAATAAGTAATGCCACTATATTTCAACGAGTTGATTCAATTTGCAAGAAGGCAATCACAATAATTCGTATTCATTATTTTTAATCAATTTAACATTTGACACAGTAAATAAATTATGGGTCACTAACTTAATTACCAAAAATATAAACTATCAACTGTAGCACACAAATTAACGCACGATCTTTAAAAGCCAGTGATATAGAACCCTGACGATAGATATTTGATCCTATTCAGTAACTAAAATAGTGATTTATTCTACAACAACAAAAGAATTGAGATTCAGATTTCGATTTATAATACTTGTTTAATGAGATAGATAACAAACATTACATGTAGGCTTTAGGTTCAATGAAATTAAAACGTTTTTTTTATTTTAAATTAAATTTGACAATCTTTTAACTTGTACTTACAGTAAGAGCCATGACTGTGTGTAGGGTGCTGGTGCTGGTTGACCAGTGACATGTCCTAGCTTATATACATACTTGTGTTATCACTCTAGAACCCCGCCCTACACCCACTGGTCCACAAACTCGTACGAGTCACTTCGGCTATTGGTCATTGCTCATTCATTGGTCACACAAGTGTCCACTGGTAAGCAAAAATCTGTGCCAATTTCCCGGGGGCTGTAAGCCAATTTTACGAGCGAAAAGGAATTTCGATATGAGTTATGGTTGTGTTTACTAAGTCAACTCTAAACTTAAACTTTTAACTGCAAATGCAAACTTGTACGATACAATTTAGAAGGTAGGTTTTTCTAGTTTATAAAATCTAATGTTTAATAAAATTAGACGTCGCTTAACACTAGGGTGTGATAGCTTTGTTACAAGCTAAGATCAGCTGGTTCATCTGTCAAGACCATAAGCTTAATGATCAATAACAGCCAGGTTCAGTTTCAAACCACTTGCAAGTTTCTGACTTCTCGGGATCGAACCAGCGAACTCCTGATGAATGTTATGTTATTGTCAAATAATGGGGTTCAAGCCTTAACAGATTGTGGCAGTGGATGAGTTGCATTATTGGGTTGGACATTTAATTTTTTTTAACGTGTGCGGAGAAATACCATATGAGAATCACTCTAGAAAAAGGCATTAGGCTATGTTGTAATTCCTGGAAACAAAGATGCCACTTCGCAATATTGCAGGAGTATAAAGCAGCTTGTTAAAAATAGTTATGTACGTGTACTGCTGCTCGTACTGCTCGTAGAACTTCAATGCTGTAGCTTGTTTAACATGTAGATGTAATGTATGTGCGTATACAGAAAAGGAATCAATTCTAAAAGATTTTTTAATTTAATAAAACATGTTTCTATTGACTGTGCTTTCTTTTCGATCAAGGCAGTTTTTAACAGTTTTCAGCTCTTTCAAATGATCAGATTATTTATCACAATTATGTAGAAGTTCATATTCGATTACTAAATTTTGTTTTGTCATTATTTTAATTAATGTATTTTTTCTCATGTACTAATTTCAGTTTAGTTATCAATTATCAATTATCAATTATCAATTATCAATTATCAATTATCAATTATCAATTATCAATTATCAATCATTATAATTATAATTATAATTATAATTATAATTATCGTTATATGATTAGGCGTACCATATTTTTCTGTCCACATATAAAAAATAAAAGTACTTTGATTGATTGGCTGTTTTGTGGTACACTTTTGCATTGAAGTATATTATTGCACCCCTCTATGTCAATCGGATTATTGTTTAAGACGGTTTTGTATATCATCAGTTACCTAAATAGCCTTAAGAAAATAAACATACCTATATGTGGCAAATTTTACTGTATCATCAAAGCAAATCATTTAGTACACTAATAACAATGCTAAATCATATTCCCTTTATGGATATTGGAACCACCTATATTGTTAAACTTACACTTTATTATACCTGTACATTTATTTTAGCCTTATACATTTTCTAATAATATTTAGCAGTCCACGAAAATGACTCGTTCCTATGACTGGTACTACATTATGTACTTGGATTCATCACATTCAACTGTTATGTAAAAATTAAAAGATTCTTTTGGCTATATATTTTAAGAAGAATACCACCTAGCACAGCAACTCCAACTCTAAAACTATGACCTAGCGCTTCCTGTTGAAGCTCCCTTTTTGTTTCATCCACGTTCTCAGTTTGGAAATCCTAGGTAGTACAGCTTAGAGTCACGATTTTGACTGGTTAGTGATAAATGTGTAGGCCCACCTTTCCAGTTATATATCACATTGCATACCAATTGTATAGAGAGTTAAACTTCTCTCAGCTTAACGTCCAAGCAATTTTACACAGTAGTTAGGCACTCAGTGTTTCGGTTTATTCGATAATATCCATAGGCAAAGTTTTTGCACACGTAGCAACATTGCTTTGGCTGACTTAAGTTGTTGTAATTTGTAAAACATGTTTGTAAAATTGTAAGTATTTTGTAGTATTTTTTTAGAACTGGTATAACCCTTGCATTATTAAATTATATTTAAATCGTACAATAGAATTACAATAAATAGTTGTCAAAACCAATTTTTTTATGAGAAAAGGTTATAGTTTCAATTTTACATTTTAAATCTGTTTCCTTGCTTAACATTCTTATTCCACATAAAATTACAAATTATAAACAGAAATGGAGATTACAAAATATATCCATTGTTTCAATTCGCCATTTCCTTTCTTGCACTATCAAAATTATTGAGCAAATCATTTTAATGTCGATCTAAGTTAAACAGGCTTTTCCTCATTGAAGGAATTGCAACATACGATTCGCCGATGAGTAGCAGGACGCTTAGGAATGTATCGAATTACCATGTCACACACCTTGCATCGTCGCTGAAATGCGGTGGTCTGTGTGTAAATGCAGAGGCCTGGTTGAGAACATGCTCCCATATATTAGCTGAAGCGCGTATAATTGGGTAAAGGTAACAGACGGAAACCTGGTTTCGACTTTCGTACTGGTAAGCTACTTACGTAACATTTAATTAGGTAAATATCTCGTCTGCATTCCAACCAGCATCCTCCTTTTGGCTTAACCAGTGTAGGACAGGAAACTTGGAACAGGTAACATATATTTTTTACGAGTTTTATGATAATTTTCACGTACATTTAAATGCTGCCCGAAACAAGTTTTGATATAATAAATAAATTAGAGTGATGATTGTCAATTTATTAACTTATAATGCACTTTCCGGACTCGGTTGAAATGGCCGTTGAATTAGCGAGTTCGTGATTCACACTTATTTGTTTTAGCTTAGACCAAGTGAATAATGCAGTTTAGTACACAATAAGCTGTTCCAGCTGCGATGCAATCCCATGGCCACTTGTAAGCTGGCCCTCTGTTAAAAAAGTGAATAATGCTAGATATCAAAGGATCTTTCTTACAAGTAAAATTTAATTTGTTAATATAAACATGTTTTTAAAGTATACTGTGTTTGTTACTTAACCTTCTATTATTCAAAAACGTGTTGACTTTTTATTTATTGCAATATGTTTTGAAAATGTATAAAAAATACCACGTGATTGTTCTGTAACTAAACGAAAAATAACGTTTACCTGCATGCTCCCTGGCTCCAGATTGTTTAGAGTAGTAGTGTGTGAGTTTATTATACATCATGTGTCTAATATTATAAGGCTCATTTAAGTAATGTTTCAGAGCTTGAAGTAAGGCTAGGATAAAATAATATTTCAACACCAATGTTTTTAGTACGATATTGTTTATTATGGAGATCGGATTTAAAAATGGTGTCCAAAGAAATGCCCATGACGTTCTGGTACATGCATGTGATGATGACTCTGATGATGTACAGCTTGTGTGTGCTCCTGATGATGACTCTGATGATATTGAACTGGTGCGTGCTCCTGATGATGACTCTGATGATGTTCAACGGGTGTGTGCTCCTGATTATGGCTGTGATAATGCACAGCTTGTGCTTGCTCCTGATTATGGCTCTGATAATGTACAGCTTGTGCTTGCTCCTGATGATGTACAACTGGTGCGTACTCCTGATGATGACTCTGATGATGTACTACTGGTATGTGCTCATGATGGTGACGGTAATGTTGAGGATGTACGTTGTGTTCCCGGTGGACCACGGCGTTAAAGCCAGTGTGGTGGTCAGCTGTGTAGTGGACGACGCGCTTGGAACCGTCCGCCTCCACCAGCTCGTAGCTGCCGTGCACCACATCTCCGTCGCGCTCCTCCTTGTGGCTCTTGATGTCGCCGGTGTGGCTGTCGTGGACGCCGTACTCGAACTTGTACTTGGGGTGAGGGTCGTAGTAGTCCTCATTGTACTCCACGTGGAACCCGTGGTCGTGGTTCTCTACATGCTCGTGCCCTTGGTCGTGGTGGCCGTGTTGAGGAAACGCGATACTTGAAGCGATTAAGCAAAGTATGATGTCAACCTAAAAGCAATAATAACAATACAAAATGGTAATTTAACATTTCACTAAAAACGTAATACTAATTATAATATTAGTATTTTATAAATAAGCTAAATATAAAATATAATGTTTCATAAAAATCAAGTATAAAATAATGTGAATAATTTATATCTACCTTATTTATCATTGCAGTAGCTTCCTTAAGTACAAGAACCCACTAGTTACTACTCGGTTGCTAACTGATGACTAAACAAAGTAATCGCGGCCTAATATATACATGGAAGTCACGGTAGATGATCACTCTGATATGATCACATAACTTCTTGTTAGAAACATTCTTTTGTGAAACTCCTTTACCACGTTAGACGATTAGGCCTAAGATTAATTACATATTTTATTTATTAACTCTATTTATTAACTTAAAATAAAAAATCTCTGCAAAGTTATTTGCAACATTTAGATTTCATTTTTACTGCATTTTATACCTATTATCTTAACTTAAGGTCATTAAGAAAATTGTGTTTAATCCTTTTTAAACTTTCAATGTGTTCCCATGATAAGGATGAAACATTTGTTAAATTATAAAAGTTTCAAATACAAATAAATATAAAATTACTTTTGATCCTTAATGTTATTAAAGAAGACCTAAAAAAATACAAACAGTCATTGTATTATAAAATATTCAATTTAGGATATAGGTTAATAGTTGTGTGGATTGGTAGCTATATATTAACGTTGTGTTGAACTTTTATAAATTCATTGAATTAAGAATGGCTCTTACCAAATTTTAAGTTGGATTTGTTTAGTGATCGAATACTACAACAAGTTTCTAACTTCAAATCTTCTTTCACATTTGCGTTAAAATACGCCGAGCTGCAATTTAAATTTTCAAAATTAGTAAGACTTGATTCTATTGGAAATGCAAACGAAAAAGCTTGGAGTTTGAATTTAAAATTAGAAAGGTAAATAAAGAATTAGAAAAAGTAAAAGAAATTGGCATGTAAACGAAGTGTTTTTTTTTTTGTTTTTTTTTGGGGGGTGCTAGCTTGGAAAAACAAACCTCAGGGTGATTTAACTGTAATATATATATTGAATGTAATATTCTGCCACACGTTTACTTCCAATTGGTCTTCATTGATAGCGGGAATGTCACAAGACAATATGTAGGCTACAAGACAATATATACGAAGAATTTGTTTTCTAACATAAAAATTTATGTAATATACCTAGAAACAGAATTTTGTTGTTTTTATCTGCATAAGGTAATTTTACAATAATTGAAATTTAAGTATTGATACTTTGGAGATCTATCACTTTTATTTAATTAAGTAATTAACTGAAACATTATTTTATTATTAATGAAGGCAAATTTTTAATTCCAAAGAATTTTCAAAATATCTACGACGTTTAAAAGAAGTGGCTTTCAACAACCTAATGATTGAGTAACAGAAGCAGCATTCGCGTGTTAATCTATACATTACGTAGATGCTTTATCATCCATGATAGGTTCAGAGTATATAACGGGGTATGTGATACTGTGAAATCATCAGATAAAACTTGCTTCTCGTAGACATTGTAGAACCAGCTTACAACAGGATGAAGATCAAGGTATGTTATAATGTAGTATTAAGTTGTTTAAAATAACGTTATCTTAATACATGTAAAATAGAGCTTACTTGATTTTGTTAACTATGACTTGCTTTCTTAACGTTTAAAATATAAATAATATTATAGTTTTTGGGGAATATTTCGATGTAGGTATTGATTTTGTTTGTTACTGCACAATTAGATTACGTATGTTATTTGTGCTAGCTGATACTGCCTCAAAGACTCAAACTCTCTTCGTCGCATTGGCTTACAAAAAGGTTGTCACACCACATGCATTTTTGTTTTTAGTTGCTCTTTATGATCATTATAATTAATTATTAAGTTTAATATTTCTGAGTCATCTGTTAAAAGTTATACTGCTTTAGATTTCTGTTGCTGCTATCTGCGTCCTAGCATCTGCTGTGGCCTTCCCTCAACATGTCCACCATGACTACGCACACGAAAATGTAGGGGACCACGACCACGGACACGAGCATGTGGAGGAGCACGACCACGGACACGAGCATGTAGAGGACCACGACCACGGGTTCCACGTGGAGTACAAGGAGGACTACTACGACCCTCACCCCAAGTACAAGTTCGAGTACGGCGTCCATGACAGCCACACCGGCGACATCAAGAGCCACAAGGAGGAGCGCGACGGGGATGTGGTGCACGGCAGCTACGAGCTGGTGGAGGCGGACGGTTCCAAGCGCGTCGTCCACTACACAGCTGACCACCACACTGGCTTTAACGCCGTCGTCCACCGGGAACACAACGTCCATCTTCAACATTACCGTCATAATATTGAAGAGCATTTACCAGTGCATTACGGACACCCCTTCTTACAATAGTCCTAATTTATTGTCAAAAAGAAAACATAAAAAAGTATAATCAAGACATTTAATACCTAATTCAATAAACCTTTATTCTTTTAATAGTAAATTTGTATTGTTTTATCAGTTTACTAGTTAAAGTAAGCTAGTGCTGTAAGGGAGTTCTACACAGTTCAATAACTGCACTGACTGAACTTTGTGATCTTATTTACAATTGATTAAATCATATTGCAGAGTAATGAAATTAAAGGAATGTCACTTTTAGACATTATGTTAATATATATTTCGAAATGGAAAAATGTGGTTTTATCTGTATCAGATAATCGTACTTCATACTAATATAATAATTTTGAAAGTTTGTGTGTCAGTTTATTTGAAGTTCAATCACGCATTGAACACTGGTCAGGTTGGGCTGAAATTTGGCATTGTGATAGCTCAGACACCTGATTAACATATAAGCATATTCTCATGTCAAAAATTCATTCGGGCTCCGCCCCAGTGGCTCTGAAATTTCCCATGTTAACTTAATGAGTATTTATATTTAAAAAGATGAATTTAGTCATCTGTTTCAACTAAACAATATGGCATTTAAAAGTTATACGGTTTACCAACAGTGTGCAGCACTATTAATTTGTTTGCATTATTTTATAACAGCAGCTAATTTGAACTAAGCAGCAACAAAAGCTGCCAGACACAATGAGAACTGTCAAAGGAGGTTTGTTTACGGTTATGTTTATTTTTTTAATTCAACTGTCGGCGACGAGTATTCAACAGGAATACTCAGTGTGTGTTTGAAAATTATGCAATGGAATACAATTATGACGCAACATTAGACTATAGACAGTACACATTATTAAAATATATTTTTATAGACAGAGAGTGTATAAACTGCAGAGCATTAAAATGGAAAGATGAGCCTGCTGGAATGAGTTGTTCTGGTAGAATAGTTTCTTTACTTGCATTAGAAGAGCCGGCCGTAGAACGATTGGCACACATTTTTTCCGATTTGGAATAGAACTGGCACAATCACTATAGGGGATTAAGAAGGGTCAACCTGTAAGGTTCGGAAAGGCACGATTGGCACAACAGACCGGTAAGGAAGTAGCAGCCAGGTAGCCAGAATGCGGGAAACGGATATTGTTTTGTCCCCAAAAATTTCCTGCTGTGGTGCTTATTGGAGTAAGGAAGGTGTAAGTTTGCACGACAAATCTGCAGCTACGGTCACTGCGCTAGCTGGATCCAAATAAAACAACACAAACCTAACCTAACTTAACCTAACCTAACTTAACCTTTGAAAATACGCTATATTACCGGCAAATGACTGTAGTAGCAGAGTTGACGGGGAACTTTAAACTTCCTGTTTTCCCTCGTTCGATGGCGTCTACCTGGTCGAGCGGTTGTTCCAATCGTGCCTTTTCCAAGCAGGCGAGTTGACCCTACTTATTCCGCTCAAATGATTGTGCCAATACTGCCATGGGCAGAAGATCCAAAAATGTGTGCCAATCGTCCTGTTCCCGAAGAGCCGATATGAAAGAACAATACCTTGGAGAAACTGAAGAGTATTTTCAGATAAGATTTTACGTTGTAAGATTTTTTATTCGGAGATTAAACATATTTTGGACTTATTATTTATTTAGACTTATCCAAAAGTAAAATAGTTTTCTGTAATGCGTTCTGTGGTAACAGTGTGGCACTACTTAAAATCATGACTAATACAGGATTTGGTAATTATTCAAACCTACGAAACAGATGGTGAAAGTAAACATCTGATTTTAAATTATATTTGTAAAAATCTATATATCTAATTCCGTAAGCCCAAAATTTTACAATGAAATTGTGAGCGAACTGGAGGCCGTAGAAAGCTGGGAGGGGTCTCATTTTAAAGGTCTGGGCATGAAGTTTTGGGGAAAAATACTCATTTTTATTACTTATGCACCAAAAGGTTATTACAGGATAAAATAAATCACATTTAAATAGCATGGGAATCCAGGTCATGTCCGATTTGTTTACTTTAAAACATGTGGTTTAGATTTATTTAAAGCATATGGTAATATCATTGACTATTGGCTACAAAAGTTGTATTAATAGTGTTAAAGGTAATATGTAATATATGTATTGTATGTAACTATAGTGCATTTGAAAGTAAACATGCGTGCAAATGAAAATGAAACAGCATTTTGTGATTGGCTTCTACGCTTATATTAGGTAATGGAATCTTAGAGAGCAATAGGGCAACACCGGCAATTGACATTCCAGATAACTTTGTTCTCTCTGATTGTGCAATTGTTTATGGCAACTCAATAAATCCAGAAAATATTCAAAACTACTCCAATCAAATAATTGTATGTCCTTTAAATTAACATTGTGATAATTTAAATGAAGAAGTATTAAAAATCTACTACAGTAATTATGAAGTAGTTTCAGAAGACCCTACAGAGAGGTTGAACATACCAATTGAGTTTATAAATTCAATTACACCATCTGGAATGCCACTACACAAATTAGTTTTAAAAGTTGGTTCAATAGTGATGCTCATAAGAAATAGGGTCTGGATTAGTTAATGGAATACGATTGGTTGTGTTGGGTATGTCTGAAAAAAGTGTAAAGTTAGTAGTAATTACTGGAGTAGGGAAAGGGAACATATTTTTCATGCCAAAAATAAAACTAATATCTACAGATCCTAATATGCCCTTTAAATTTACAAAGGATTCAATTCCCATTGCGATTATCTTTCACCATTACTATAAATAAAGCGCAAGGCCAAACCTTCCCAAAAGTTGGAATTTATTTGAAAAAAAAAACAGTGTTTACCCATGGTCAACTTTATGTTGCTTTTAGCCGGGTAAAGCGGCCAGATGACGTTAAAATAGAAATAGAAACAAATAAAGACCAAGGAATGGACCAAAATGGATACTACACAACAAATGTTGTTTTCAGAGAGATTTTGTTACAGAATTAGTATTTTACAATTTGGAAGATGGCATTATCTCTATGTGTTGTGTTTTTCTAAGTGAATTTGTCTATATTAAAAAAAAATGTTTATTTAATTAATAGTGAAGATTATTGAAAATGTTCTTTTGCTGTATTATGATTAGAAAATTTATGTTACAAACCCACCACATGAAGAGTCCTTTTGAATTTTTATCCTAAACAGAGCAGACATAAAAATGAATTATGCAGGTATGTGATAACTGTTATACATTATTATAATATACAAAAAATTTAAACGATAATTCAAGGTAGGGTACGGTAACCCATGAGACAAATAATTTGTACAAAATAATTATTAGAATATATTACATATACTGTATATAGGGGCTATTGCCCCTACAAGCCACTAGTTATAGTTCTAAATGTCTGACATAGGCACTTAAACGCTCTGGGGTGACCCTTTCTACGGATCTGCACCAAACTTCACACAAACCATCCTTGAATAATGCTTAGGCCTAATAATGCCTGAAAGTTTCATTACAATCTGTCGAGCGGTTTCGGGGTCCATAGGTTATATACATACACACTTCCTCTTTTATAGATTTAGATGAATACACCTGTAACCAAGCCACTGTAACGCCAACGAGCGTTGGGGAATGTTTGTAAAAGAACATACATTTTTAGTGTGATATTTTGTCCATTTTTCATCTAATAACTAATTATTTTTTTCAGGTATGTCCCTGCAGAATACCCACATACATAGCTAAGGTAAGCAATGACCTCAAGAGTAATAAGCTAAGGTATTAAAGACCAAATACAATGCTTATACTGAAAGTTCGTGTGTTTGTAATTCATTAGTGCAAAAAAATATTTAAACAATTGAATATAATAATAGTCTTGAAAATTTAATATATAGTCAAGAGGTCAGGCACGTTCCATTAAATCCACATTGTTATAAGGATGTTAAGCTCTGAGGAGGCAATCGTATAAGACATGCTGATAGAAAATATGTATTTTCAACTCAATTTTACGTAAAATATAAATAAGGGAAAATAAATATTGTACACCAGTTACAAAATCAAATCATAACAGTATATTAAAAATCATTAACATAATACTTGGCCTATAACAATATTATTTACAAATTATTTGTACCTAAAAAACTAGCAGATGACTAACCGTAGTACGCAGGTGCTGGTGACTTGTAAGCATCTTGTGCATTATGTTCGGCTACTTCATATTTTTTGGCTTCGTAATTTGAACCCTCGTACTTTGGTCCTTCGTATTTAGGCGCTTCATACTTCGGTGCCTCGTATTTTGGTGTGCCATAACTATGCTTTGGTGAATATTCATGCCTTACCGATGTATAATAGTGAGCAGCTAGTTTTGAACCACCCTCGTACTTAGGACTTTCATACTTAGGGGAAGACGAATAATGATTTGGAGCTTCGTATTTTGGCCCTTCGTATTGTTGAGCGTATTGAGGAGCGTCGTACTTTTGAGATTGGTACTTAGGAGCTTCGTACTTGGAACCGTATGATTTCGGAGCCTCGTATTTGTACTCTTGTTTAGGTGCTTGGTATTGGGGTGCCCCATATTGAGGTTTGGGCTCATACTTAGGGGCTCCGTACTGGGGTGCTCCATATTGAGGTTTCGGCTCATAATTGGGCGCTTCGTACTGGGGTGCTCCATATTGAGGTTTGGGCTCATACTTAGGGGCTCCGTACTGGGGTGCTCCATATTGAGGTTTGGGCTCATACTTTGGGGCTCCGTACTGGGGTGCTCCATATTGAGGTTTGGGCTCATACTTTGGGGCTCCGTTCTGAGGTGCTCCATATTGAGGTTTGGGCTCATACTTAGGCGCTTCGTACTGGGGTGCTCCATATTGAGGTTTGGGCTCATACTTCGGGGCTCCGTACTGGGGTGCTCCATATTGAGGTTTCGGCTCATACTTGGGCGCTTCGTACTGGGGTGCTCCATATTGAGGTTTGGGCTCATACTTAGGTGCTTCGTACTGGGGTGCTCCATATTGAGGTTTGGGCTCATACTTAGACGCTTCGTACTGGGGTGCTCCATATTGAGGTTTGGGCTCATACTTAGGTGCTTCGTACTGGGGTGCTCCATATTGAGGTTTGGGCTCATACTTAGGAGCCTCGTACTGGGGCGCTCCATATTGAGGTTTGGGCTCATACTTAGGAGCCTCGTACTGGGGCGCTCCATATTGAGGTTTGGGCTCATACTTGGGAGCTTCGTATTTTGGGGCTCCGTATTGGGGTTTAGCCTCATATCTAGGTGCTTCGTACTTTGGAGACTCGTACTTGTAACCATATTGTTTAGGAGCCTCGTACTTTGGCGCTTCGTATTTAGGAGCTTCAGTCTTGTAACCATATGATTTGGGAGTTTCATACTTTTGTTCGTATTTTGGAGCAGGGTAGCTCTGTTCGTACTTGGGCGCTTCATACTTTGGTGCTTCGTATTTAGGAGCTTCAGTCTTGTAACCATATGACTTGGGAGCCTCATACTTTTGTTCGTATTTTGGAGCAGGGTAACTCTGCTCATACTTGGGTGCTTCATATTTTGATGCTTCGTACTTTGGAGGGCCGTATTTGGGAGCGACGTAGGGGGGTTGTTCGTACTTTTGAGCTTCGTATTTAGGGGCCTCGTACTTTGGAGACTCGTACTTTGGCGCCTCGTACTTCTGGTCGTACTGCGGGTGAGTGCCTTGTTCCTTGTGAACAACAGCGTTGAATCCGTGTTCATGGTCCGCGGTGTACTCTACAGTTCGTTTGGAGCCGTCCGCCTCCACGACGGTGTAAAATCCCTTGACAGTGTCTCCATCGCGCGTCTCCCCTTGGCTCTTGTAGTCGCCCGTGTGCTCGTCCTTGACCTCGTACTCGAACTTGTAGCCTGGGTTGGGGTCGTATGGCTCAGGCTCCTCCTTGTAGCCACCCTTGGGTTTGTAGTCGCCGCCGTACTGCGCCCTCACGGCTACAGTCGCTAGAGCCAGTAGTGCCAGTCGTATCGTCTGAAAAAATTCGAGGTTACTTAGTTGTTGTTTTTGCATGTTATATGATTTTAACTTGATGCAAAGTTAAGATTGTAACTTGTATTGCATTTACTTAGGTTGAAAGTAAAAAAAAATAATAGTTTGCCTTTAATATTTAATATTTAACCTTATTTTTTGAATAATAAAATTTTGTAAAAAATTCTTTTGCTTAATTACTTACATAAACTATCTCCCTATTTTCATTATTATTTAAATCTAAATTTTGTCTCTGAGAAGTTAACCTCTTTTTGTCTAGTACTGTATATTAAAGTCACGTGTTGGTGGCTATATCAAATAAATGAGAAAACTTACAAAACATTTCAAAAATTCCAATTGTATTGAATCGTGCATGCTGAAACCATACGATACACTTTATTCTAAGATCAGATTATCTCAGTGTACCTCAATGTACCTGGCCTACATACCAACATACTCAATTATTAATTTGTAAGCTATTTATTTTATGGCAATTTACCACCTCATTTAGTCTTGGATATATTTTGAGTATGGTTGTAAATTCCCAACAGCTATAAATATGTTTAATCAATACTATGTAAAACATAATGTTTCTCGATTTTTAGTTTACGTTTCATACCATAACAGATTACGACGAATTATTTTCTTAATTTACCTTACCTGTTATATGTAGAGTAACATTAAATTTAAATACTACTGATTTCTATGCCAAACGTTATATAGGAATGTGTAATAGGCCTTTATTTAAAAGCAACATAACTGTTGTCAATTTTTAAATTTTACCCTAATAACGACGAATTTGTTGTCAAGTGTTAAAGAATGAGAACACATTAAGAATTTGAAATTCAACTTAAATAGTTCTCTGAATGCGGCAGAAACATAGATAAATATGTTTAGCTGTAAGAAATCTTAACCCACAAAGTTCATACATTTTAGCCCAAAAAATTCAACATATTAATTGTTCACTTTCATATATTGTAATTAACTGTTTATTCAGCACTGGTTAATTTTTTCCCGTTAAATTTCTCGCACTTTTGACATTCCTATCTACGTTGTGTCATTTATAACCATACCTCTCAACCCAGCCATATAATTAGGGCTGACATTCCACTTTCTGACCTATATAGCGGTTGTGTGATTGTATACACTAAGGGGTTCATAATAGATATTCAGTGGCCGTAGAGAATCTGGCCTGACTGGACCAGTTTAGTCGCAGAAAGTCCAATAAGTACCGGTGCTGCCCTGGTGTTCCGGACCCCCTCCCTATATTGAGCCCCCTCGCCTCTCCCCCCAATGAAAAGTCGTATCACGGGCAGTGACAGTAATTAACTGGTGCTTGTATAAGTACAAGTGTAAATAAAAAATGCGCTGCGAGTTAGCTCCGGGCGTTGAATTTCGACATTTCCAGAACAGGTTGTTTATCAGCTTTCCATCTCGCCCGCGTGTTCTGCATCGCTCGTAGTTAGCAGCTCACGATTGTGGAATTTTAATTGATAAGAGTTTAATGAACATTACACGCTTGTGTGTCGTGTCACTACTGGACAATGTTGCTAGCTATTTTGTAATAGTTGTCATATTTGGAAACAACTTATTTATAATTTTGTAGTTTCATTGTTGGTAAGAATTAATAAATATTTATTTAGAATTAACTTGAAATTCTGTGTATATTTAGTTTAAAACGCTGTTAGACAGTAAATTAGTTTAATACATAGAAAGTGGGCTAACTTTGACCAATAACATTATAAGACAAAAATCATATTCATCCCACTTTTGTTTATATTATAACTAAACACCCTTAATATTTGTATCATTGGTAATGTGACTTGTTGTACTCACAACTAATGAAATATAAATTATTTGTAAACAAGTGTGTTTATGGCAAAACGTGTATGACCAAACGCCTCAATAACCCGAAATAAATTTATTGGCAACTTCTCCCCTTGTAGAAACGAAAAGCAGGCATAATAATATAATAAACTAGTTGTACCCGCGGGTTTCTCCCCGTTTAACTTCATAAGTGAGCTTGTTCGCATGGCTCAATCACGTCCTGGTTGAAGTTCTTCTCTACGCTCACTCACTTAGGTTGGAGCTCGTTCGCAGCGCGCACTTGCCTTCAGGTGAGCTCGTTCACTACGCTAACTCGCCTCCAGGTTGAAGTTCGTTCGCTACGCTCACTCACCTTTTGGTTGCAAATTAGCTGTTGTCATAAATTAAAAAAAAATAATAGTGCTGCACCCTGTCGGTAAACCTATTAAATTTTTAATGCTATTGAACATCACAGAATCAAATTCTTTAGTTGAACCAGCTGTTAAGATTCTTTAATTCCATTTAAATATGAATACTCATAAGGTTAACATGGGGAACTCCAGAGCCACTGGGGTGGAGCCCGAGAGTCCGATCAGAATAAAAATAACTTAGTTTTCCTATTTAAGGCCTAAAGAATCAGTGTACCAAATTTCAACCTCCTAGGTAAATGGGAAGTGGGATAATTAGTGATGAGTGAGTGAGTGAGTGAGTCAGTGAGGGCTTTGCCTTTTATATATATATAATAAATAATAAATAATAAATTAATTAATTTGCACATTTAATGCATTTCTCTGAACAAATTTATTGTAAATAGTAAAACAAAACTCAACATGCAATCGGTGTAATAAACAAAATACTTTGTAGAAAATGTGTATAAACAAAAAATATGTAGCCCAAATTCCTTGACCAGAAATAAATTAAAAACCCATCTCGTTAATAAGATAATAACTATAGTTATTTCTTTTGAACCATCGAGTTCTTGATAACTGAAAGATTTTTGTCCATATGACCATTATCCATAGTAAGCTTATTTATCTAACCTAGCGGTTTAATTGCCCTGTTGTCACCGTATAAAATAATTATTGTGTTACGTGTAAAAACCTTAGAATACATGTAAACGTTATGCATTTTTTATATAAACATACTAACTAACATTAACTGTCGTTGTAAACGACGAGAAAACATTACTGCAAAATTTAATAAATTTTAATAATATTTTAAATTAAGTATAATAAATAGTAATTAAATATGAAAAAGTAACTAAAATACATGTTACTGACATGAATTAAATCAAATTTAATATCTGGATTTCACTTGTGTACATCCTTTGTGCTACGATTATTTCTAGAATGATTTGATATCACTACACGATGAATAAGTTATGAGTAAAAACACGTGCGTACGATTTAATGCGCGAGTGTATCGTTTACTGTAATGTGTTTTTTAAACTATAGTATTTTCTTTTGGACATTTCTTTTCAATAAATCAACCAAATTTAAAGGCATAAACTCTCTCATTTTATTTTATGTAATAGGCGACACAATGACTATAAAACTAATGTAGTTTATATTTCAAAAATAAATTCATTAAATCGTGTATTTAACTGTCAAGAGTGTGACATGTTGTCTGACTTTTCCCTAAGAGGTTAAATGTTTCTGGATAGAATACAACGTGTAAAGTTGCCGAAAATAGTAAAAGTTAACTGAACCCCTGATTTTGGCAGTCAATCCATACAACATGGGGTTTAAAAGATTTTCCAAACAATTAACTTAAGAATAATAATGATGACAAGGGTCATTATGAAACTGTAAACACTCTGAGAGATCATTAGTCACGATGTTGATGTTGCCGGTCATTCCGTCACGGTCAGTTGCCTCGGCCGCGCCCTTGCACCCCTCTACCCCCCCCCTATACAAGGACTCAAAGTGTCCTTCACGCTCTAAATCACAGGTTATCACCATCTATCCTAGTACACTAACTATATCTTTGCTATCTTATCTTTTTCTACTAGCACTCCAATCGTCCGTTCAATGTTCAGTTATCATTCCCTAGTTAAATTCACGTGGTTACCCCAAGGCGACCTAGCGTCTTTCACACCCCTTATACTTGTTATCATCTAGTACTGATTACCTTTAATATGTCCTATTTGTGTCCAAGAGTCTAATTGTCAAGGTGTCACGTGTGACCTAGCCTATTATCAAGATGTACCCAGGGCCACCGAACGTCCTTTACTCCCTAATCTCCGGTTATCATCTATCCTAGTATAGTGAATGTTACCTGTGTCCCCATCTTGGCCCGCACAACACTGCTCGACTGATTGATCCAAACTGGCAATCTGTTTATATACTTGTGTAATTATATGATCAGATCGGCCGCCTTTCACCGGCCGGAATGCGAGCCTTTAGCGAAGACTTTGGGTTTTGTCATGTAACCCGCCGGTTTCCCGCGGTTGCCACGCGGCCCGCCGGGGGCGCCACTTTCCAATCATTATCTCAACACTAGTCCTGCCTATTTATAAGGCGCCAACTAAACGCGGAAACAGGCCCGTACTGAGGATTGAAATTCGCTCAGGTCACCGCAAAGTATGTGATTACGGGAGTATGTTCGGATTTAAATGCCATTCAGCCCGGTGTTTGCGATTGTGTGGAAATGAGAGTTCGCGTTTATTGCGGTTGACTGCTAAAACTTATGTGAAAATCTGGACCATTCTGTTATGTAAATTTAAAGTCGAATTGCTGTAACACTGTCAGTATGTTTACATACTGTCTAAGCTTAATTTTAGGTTTAGACAAACCACGTTAGGCCTATAAGATTGACACAATATTGATTTACGAAACATGATAGAATGTTTCGTAAATCTTAACGATAACTTATTTTACATGGTTGTGGCCATGTAAAATAATAGCCAACCAAGCCTGTATACATGGATACACACTTTCGACCTCCTTTTAGCGAATTTCCCATATAGGGAATAAGCTATTACCGTAGTACTCATGGTAAGACCTGGACGCGGGACCGATCTTTTTTTTTTGTTTTGAGGTCCCTAGAGGCCAAAAACACCATCCGTTCAAATTCATATACATATATATATGTATATATATATGTATATATATATATATATATATATATATATATATATATATATATATATGTGTGTGTGTGTCCGTCAGCACGATAAGTCGAGCAAAAATGATCCGATTTTGATGAAATTTGGTACAAACGTGTAAACCTACGTTTATTCGAACGAGTTCGCGATCCAGCATGATCGGACCATGGGAACGGGTGTTTACGGGGGGTTTTATGGGGTAAAAATAGGTTTTTCCAATTTTTGACCCAAAAAACATAAAATTTAGCAATTTATTTCCAAACCATTTTGTAGAGCTTCAAAAAACAAATAATTTAGTATATTGAAGCGTTATTATGCGCCTAATGGTTACGGAGAAAATTCCAAAAAATGTTAAATTTAAAATTCCCATGTTATTCTTATAGAGAATGAGTAAACTGTTGTAGTTTGCTTGTTTATGAACATATTTTGATCAAATTTGGAAAATGTTTTTATTTCTTACTAACTATTAACATTTTACAAAAAAAAAACAGTTTTACCCTCCCTGATGCAGCAAACCTAAGTACTTGTTAAACTAATTCTATTTAAATCGGGAATAAATGTTATATTTTTAAGTAAACATTTCATTGTAAATCCAATCAGTCAAATGGAAATTCGCTTAGTCTGCAGGTTTGCTGCGGCGGGGGTATTTACCTTTTACCTCTGCTTTCTTCGCCACAATCCTCAGATCGGGGAGTCGTCAAAATTTCTCCTTCTTCATCTTCTTGGCAGCCTTTCAGCTAGCCCAGTGTAAGTGTGTATAAGTGTGCTCTTGTAAGTATTCCTTTGTTGAGTAATATGGTTTGTTTACAAGGTAGTTTTTTAGTGTCTTTAAAAATGTGGTATGATTTGAAATATTTTTAATTTTTTCTGGCAGAAGATTTATGTATTTAGATCCTGTGTATGTTGGGGTGTTGCTGAATTTTTTTAGTCTGTGTTGTGGCAGGTTTATATTGTTTTTGTGTCTGGTGTTGTGATTGTGATAATGTGACCGGAGTGTTGGATTGGATTTTTTTGCTAGGATTATGGTTTCTAGGATGTATTGTGAGAAAACGGTGGGACGGTGGGGAACGGTGGGGAACGGTGGGGCACCCTATGCATTGATTCGGAGCAATATGAATCGATGCCATTTATTATTTATCTAACCACTGCATAGAAATGGCCACAGATTGCCACACCTGTAAATAGACCGCAAAATAGCGCATTGCCGCTCTAAAGCGGAAATGAATCATTCCCGCTCGCTAAATAAGCTGATTTCACAGTTGTCGTTTCCTCTACACCAATCACAGCCGTGGATCCAGTGCGTTAATAATTGGTAAGAAAATAACGCAACATAACCTTAAAAACCAAACATGACCGAAATGTATCATTTTGACAAATTATTATAATTTGTGCAGTTCTTATACTACATCTAAAAAGTAAATATGTGCGTTGTTATGAGTTAATAATGGTGGTAGGAAAAGTCTTGTGTGTATTACGAGCACAGTCATTCGAATGCATGGCCGCACTCAGCTAAGCTACTTGCAGCCATTTACAGTTCCCGGCAATGACGTACTTTGCGCCCTTAATAGATGTTCCCTACCACTGTATGAAAATTATCACAATGCCATGTCTGTAAACAGTAAGCAAAATAGCTCAATGCTGCTCTAGATTGGGAATGGATGATCCCGCCCAGTAGTCACCTGATTTATTGATCGATGGTTCTATCCACTCCCGGGAAGGTTTCTGTCCCATTCCCGTTCCCTTGAAGCTCTGCCTCAGTGGCTCTGGAATTTCCCATGTTTACCTTATCTGAATTCATATTTAAAAAGAATCTATACATTTTGACAGCTGTTTCAAATAATAAACCAATAAGTTGGGTACTATGATGTTCAATAGCATTAAAAAGTTACAATGTTAAACAGAGTGCAGCACTTTTATTTTTTGCTCTCCCCGTTGCAAAGCACGGGTACAGCAGCTAGACCGAATAAAACCCATAAAAACATTGCAAATTTCCTATTCTAAACATTAAGTTCTAGCTGTTACCACTGGCCAACTGTAGTGTATATTATGAACTACCATAATGTTGTCATTTTAAAACGTTTTTATTAGCTCGCTTTCTTGTACGGTACAAATTTTGCAATCAATTTTATACTAACTTCCCGATGAGCTAGAGACTTGAAACTTGAAACATAGCTCACAAATGGAAGACAATGCAATATTATATCATTTAATTTTCATATTTCCCTTGGGCTACGCCCCATGGGCTTGTTTTTATTAACTCGCTTTCTTGCAAATTTCGATACTTCCCGATGAGCTAGAGATTTGAAATTTGAAACATAGCTCACAAATGGATGACAATGCAATACTATATCATTTAATTTTCATATTTTCCATGGGCTACGCCCCATGGGCTTCTTTTTTTTAGCTCGCTTTCCTACAAATTTTGATATCACTTCTAAACGAAGTTCCTGATGAGCTAGAGACTTGAAATTTGCAACATAGCTCACAAATGGATGACAATGCAATATTATATCATTTAATTTTCATATTTCCCTTGGACTACGCCCCATGGGCTTCCAAATTTTTCATGTTTACATTTTGAAAGAATGTAAATATATCAACTAATTTAAGTCAGCTGTAAATACTTAAATTTGACAGTTTGAAGGTTAGGAGCAGGTTATGCTCCCAAGAGATTCTTTACAAACAAACATTACAAAATAAAGATAAAAAATCTGATTGCAGATATAAAGGGGTTTGTTAATAATGTCAATTGTTATTTATTCAGTATTCTATAAAGTAAACAATAAATTAAATAGATTGATATATTTATAGTGAGTAGGTAGGCCATACATTAAATCTAATACATAATTATATATGAAAAGAAACTCAAATTAACATTAGATTTCCCACATGCCTCTGACTTAATCTGATAGAGATGCTTGAAATAGATCCACACACATTAAAAACTAAAAAGTAGAAAATAATCTATAAATATGCGGAGAGTATAAATACTTGTAAGAATTAAAACGAAAAACGTGGGGTGCATGCAATTGATAGTAATATATTAGTTCAATAGGTGAAGGTATTTGTAAATTATCGATTGCATGCACCCCAAGTTTTTCGTTTTAAATCTTACAAGTATTTATACTCTCCGCATATTTATAAATTATTTTCTACTTTTTAGTGCGTTTAAAAACGTTTTGTTTTAAAAAAGTTTTTTATTTATAAATTATTTACCATTATATTTGTCTTATCAAAGGGTTTGCAATATGTTTGGCATTTGTGGCTTGACTGAGATCAGGCGACTGTGACGTCATATCGTATGTTTCCAATAAAGCTCCCTTATATGCTACACCCCATCAAGCCACTATTCCCTCCATGTATCAACCACTTAATAAAAGTATCCATGCACTCCAACCCTCACGATTCCAGCAAACCGTGACCATTGAGTCAGCCGGGTTTTATTTCACTCCCAAATGGTGTTGTTATTTTAAACATTACACTCTAAACGTTAAAAAGACGTATTATACCAAAGTAAAATAGTAATAGTTTTCGTCGAAAGAAATAATTCAAGTCGAAATTGAAGAAGACCTGCTACTCACCCGATTCTCAACAGTTTGTTGAAGAAAGAGATAAATTCATGATAGCTAATCAGATGTCATGTTTAAATGTTTGCTAAAAAAAAATTAAATCTCTTTATCTTTGTAACATTAAGACGAATTGCTTTTAAATATATCAGAGAACATTATGTCACAAAATAAGTTTTTTATGTTACCTCATCCTATACTAAACTGTTCAATTGGCTAATTTGGTTTAAAGGTATAACTATAAGTGAAAGGAGAAAGAACAGGACTAGTATTTTGGTAAAAACATTGTGATTTTGTTCCAGAGAGAGCAGTTCGAAGCTCTTGGTAGAAAGGCAGATAACTTTTCAATTGTATAAATCCTTCCTTAGTTTGACTTAAGTAGTCCCATATGTGTAATTAGCAGAGGTGATTAGGCTATAAGAATGGATTTAACCCTTAATAACTTTACTATACGGAAAAATTATGTAAATGGTCTTGTTAGCCCTTAGTGAAGTCACAACTTCAGCCAGTTCATGTGTATCACTGTTATTTACTTATGTGTATTACTTTATTAGCTGTGTGGCCAGTCTTTAAAAATGGGTTACGATAATGAGGAGTGTTTTAGATGATTTTGTTAAAATTATGTCATTTGAACGAACGTAGCATATTTTTGAACCTTATTTTTGTCAATAAGAAAAAAGTTATGATAATGCTCAGCATGCAATCCTCTATTAGATACATATACGGATTTAAAGGCCGTTTATCAGAAAAAAATCAAAAATATTACAGAATTTCTTGAGGATACTGATTACCTGTATCAGTCCACAGACCGTGTGCTCCCGCTATCTCCGCGTCCCGCCACCTCCGAACCCAAATCCGTCGCGCCACCTCCGAGTTCTTGAGTGGCCATTATAATACCGTCATTGCCTGCGTTGGTAGCTGTCATTGCATCCACGGCTGCAGAGCCCCGTGGATGGAAGATTTAATGAAAATTTAACCCGTGGGTTAGGTTAGGTTAGGTTATTTTAAGTTAGGTTAGGTTAGGTAAGGACGGAAAGTCTTAAAGCATGTAGTAACCGAGGATTATAGGGGTCACTCTGAAATTCGGAGGTGGCGGGACGCGGAGATAGCGGACAGACACCTCGGCACAATAGGAGCTGCACCAGTCACGGTACTGCTCCCTGACCTGCCCTCCTTTGTCACTTGACTGTGCCTTTATAATCGCGAACATACCTCCTTGAGTAATTAAACAGATTAGTTTTGATCTTATAGTGCTGAGATTTTGGAATTTAGTACAACAAAATTATCGTATTATCGTGTTAACGAAAATAATAACATAGGCCACACAAATAATTTAATATATTGCTTATATTATTATTAACCAATTGTCTCGTTTAAAAATGACAACTGTACTCTCTGTTAGACTTCGATTGAAATATATAATGAGTGGTGTGGGCTTGTTATTCCGCGATCCCATTGTTGTGACTTCCTACGATCCCAGTAACTAACGTGTCTCAACAATGCTAGTCAACGGATGTTAAATATCATGATTATGTTGTTGAGGTTTATTGCAGGAGTTCAATACCGATTGCTCGTCCGCTTAAAAATCTTTGTTAAGTAAATAAAAAATAAAGAGAGGTTTGCCGAATACAAATTGGTTTTACAACTTAATTAATCGTAGCAAAACTGAAAACTAAAGTGATATACAGGGTGTTCAAAAAAGGTAGGGACATATTTTACCTGAAGTAAGCTTAGCGAACGAACTTCAACTCGAACGAGATTGAGCTATGCGAACGTGCTTATCTTGAAAATGAACGAGCATTTGACATAAACCCATATTAGGACAGGACGACGTCTGTCGGGCCAGCTAGTCTAAAATAAATTCCCAATAGCTCTTGAAATGAAGTAAAGAAAACTGTGATACCGACATGAGCTTGTTTTGACCTTATAATATGCCCCACGGTATTTGTTATTGGGATTGCGTTGAAAAACACCCTACTATTATATTGTAAGCATACAGTTATCTTGCGAAGACATCATCACTACGTCACATACACCATTGGCACCCGTAACTGTGCATTCCACGCGCTTAATGAATACAGCTATGTGACTACGTGTTATAATTACTGTAGTTAAAGTGTTAACACCTTTACGGGACAACGTTACCTCAAATCTTCTAGTAGAGAGGCATAAATGTGACTTTGCATATTTTGACAGTATTAAAATTAAAAATTAAAAATGTTGTAAACAAAGGAATAATAATAAGAGTAATAATGAAGGGTCCGTGAGCAAATTAAGTGTTTTAAAGGGGCTCCAAAATAAAGCCATATCCAGAGCAAAACGAATGATTCAATACCCATTACTTTAAAAATTTTGTGTTTGTTTAAGACAGTAGGTGAAAAGTGATGTTTATCATAAAAAGTGAGTTACTAATAACAGTCAGGTCAAAATTATAAAAAAACTAGCTGTACCCGCGGGCTTCGCGCCGTTTAACTTCATAAGTATTCGCATGGCTCATTCACGCCCTGGTTGAAGTTCGTTCGCTACGCTCACTCACCTTTAGGTTGGAGCTCGTTCGCTGCGCTCACTTGCCTTCAGGTTAGCTCGTTCGCTACGCTAACTCGCCTCCAGGTTGAAGTTCGTTCGCTACGCTCACTCACCTTTTGGTTGGAAATTAGCTGTTGTCATATATAAAAAAATAAATAATAGTGCTGCACCCTGTTGGTAATCCTTGTAACTTTTTATGCTATTGAACATCATAGAACAGAACCAACTTGTTTAATTGAAACAGCTGTTAAGATTCATTAATTCCTTTTAAATATGAAAAATCATAAGATTGACATGGGGAACTACAGAGCCACTGGGGCGGAGCCCGAAAGGGTTTTTGAGATAAGAATATGCTTTAATGTTAATCGGGAATGTGAGCTATCATCATGCCAAATTTCAGCCCAATCCGTCCAGTAGTTTATGCGTGATTGAGCAACACACACACACACAAACTCACAAACTTTCAGATTTATAATATTAGTAAGATGTAGCCTAATGAAAATCCATTTTCACAATTCTTTTGTCTCTAGTTTACATTCGGACTGACATGAGTTAAACAATCTATTGAAGGGTTAGCTATTAAATTACAGTTCACATTACTGAACCATTATAAAGACATTTAATTAGCATCACCGAATCTTTAAAATCAAAATAACTAAAACGTTGGGGGAAATTACCTTAAAGCCTTAAAGGAAAAAGGCCTTAAGGGTTGGGGAAAATAGCCTTAAAGGAATTACCTTTTTAGTTACAATAAGTTATTTCGCTAGATCATGAGCCTAGATAGAATGGGACCTCAATCGTAACAGTCAGTTGAGTAGAAAGGCTAACAAAAGAATGTAACAAAGAAACCTTTATTGTGTTAAGTATATAGAAAAATAACTTTTCTACTCTTTACTATTGTTATCCTTTATACGTCTGGTATTCAAACTGGAAGCTATATACATATGGAAAGCAATTGCAAGGTTTTAAAATTGTGTAAACCGTTGTTGTTTGGTTTAGATCATAATAAGAATACGAATAACGGTAGTTGTAAGAAAATAGTCAGGGTGACAAATTACGTTTGTTGTACACTTTTTAACAAATTTTATTTACATAAAAACAATTAACTATTTACAAGACTTCTTTATGATTATGAGGTTTAAGGTGAATAAATGAAGATGAACGAAGAATGAAAGTACGGCTTTAACCATAGTAAGAGTATTTTGGAGCTTCGTATTTGGGTTTGTACTCGTACTTTGGTGCCTCGTACTTAGGAGACTCGTATTTTGGAGCTTCGTATTTGGGTTTGTACTCGTATTTGGGTGCCTCGTACTTAGGTGCCTCGTATTTGGGTGCCGCGTAGTGTTCTGGGTGTTTGTTATGTTCTCTGTGGACAACGGCGTTGAAACCGTTTTTGTGGTCAGCTGTGTAGTGGACAGTCCTCTTGGAGCCATCAGGTTCTACCAGCTCGTAGTACCCTTTGACGTAGTCTCCGTCACGCTCCTCCTTCTGGCTGTGGATGTCGTAGGTGTGAGGGTCGTGGACGCCGTACTCGAAGGAGTACTTGGGGTGAGGGTCGTAGGGCTCTTCTTTGTACTCGTACTTGTGCTCGTAGCCTCCGTGGCCGCCGTACTGGGCTAGCGCACAGCTGGCGAGGACGGTGAGTACACAGAGGGTAAGAAACTGTAACAAAATATAACCTATATGAGTTCGACAAGCTCAATGGTAATACTAGATTGTCAAACCTAAAAGTAACTTAACATATTTTATTTAACTTGTTTTCCTTTTTTTCTGGTCGGAATAAATAAGTATATTTCATCATAACGGTGACTTTTCGATACGTCCACGAAGTTTAACGACCTAGGCAAAGTGAAGCCTGAAAATTATAATACGTCGAATATAAACTTCTAGGTAAACAATATTTACACCATACTACGGCATTATAAACTTAACCACAGCACAATAATAGACCATTCTCAATTAGCTACCAAAAGTTATTTTCATATTGTCTTGCTACTGTACATAAATAGCGATTACAGTATTCATAACAAATACATACTATTACGCTAACACAATAATGAATTTTATTTCGTTAAAGTTGTCTTAACGTTGATAGAGGGTACATGTAAATTTAATTCAAGTGAATTGTACGAGATGAAACGATAATAAATTACCCACAACACATTTTTGATAACGATGCAAAAACAGTTTTAAAGAAAAGGGGCAGTTTTCTTCTTGGAAACTAGGGGACGATGTTTCCTTTAAGAAAAATGTACACCTAATGTTCTCCAGGTAGTCTTTTGATAATATTAAAGAAATATTTTTAAATATTCGTAAATGTATACATTTTACATTTTCTAAATAAATAGTACATAATGTTAGATAGTCACTACTCGGTACGATATTTTACAACTCGTAGTCGATTTTTAAGCAAAACAATTTTTAACATCATGTACATACAACTCATCGAAAATAACTTCATTTAATTGCATGGGTAATACATTATCTTTACAACAATTATTACACCTAAACCGTCTAGCAAACGTACTATAAAACTTCTCTTGTCGTTTAGGTATAAGTTAATGGGATAATTTTTTCAAGAGCTATTTTTTCTAAGCCAATGCTTTTCAAGTCTATTGTAACGGGATGGTAAAAAAATAACATTAGGTGAATACATATAAACAATGATTAGAGCAAGTATTTTTTTTCACTAACGACTTAAACTAGCGTGTAATTTTTTAGTCAGTTTTAGGCTATTTAAAGTAGGCCTAAACATCTCAAGTATGATAATTAATTTACCTTAAGATTGTGTTTTGAACTATCAAGAGGTTATACTAGCAAACTCTCGGTATCTCGTTTTTACCGATTGGAAAACTACTTCGTTCGGCGACAGTTGAAAAAAAAATCTGAATTGGCAAGAGTCGCAATATGTATTTGGACTTGAGATCGTAGTTTCACCCCAAATCAATATTTGACATATTTTCATCATTTTAATCATACCACTATGACTTTACACGTGATGTTTATGAAATTTAAAATATTTTAAACTTTGTATTTTGGATGGATATCGAAACTTTTTTTGTAATAACGCGGGCTTAAACATACATCCTGACGACAGTTTCAAGTTATATAGTTGTTAATATTTATAAGTTAATTGTTAATATTTTCTATTGGTTATTTGAACGTTTTGTTTCTTCGTGTAATTCAACAACCACAATCACCAGTTTTCTACATGTAGACCTAAATTCTTTCGCTATGATATATTTAATTATTATTAAAAAGACTCGAGTAATGTTGTTTAGCGACGATTATAAAATGATGACTTTTTTTCTTACAATTTTGTATAAAACTGTAAGAGATACACTGAAGTAAACCATTACAAATGTATAGGTATAATTCTGTATTGTATATTTCTAGTATGTACTTTCTGCGACCATTGTTTATAGTCGTCATTTGACGAAAATATGCTTCTGGAGATGAGCAGTAATAATCCGAAACATAAATAACAGTAAAAAGTAAACAAAATAACATTTTGACACTTCTGCGTTTATTAAGTGAATTACACTAGTATTTCAGTTCTTTACAGTACAAGAAGTAATATAGCGAAAATGGAACCCAACGACATTTTAGGTGTGTAAAGTGTTAACAGCGATATAAGGTGCTGTTAATATCAGCTCGTAATATCAATTCTAAATCACAGTATTTGTTCTTACTGTGAAGTGGAATCATCAGTGGTTAGACTGAAATCCACTTAGCTATTTCAAACTGTGCTCTAATCACTTAGGCTAATTTAGCTTGGCCACTGAGATGACACTTCACACGCAGAGCGAAACGTGTAGCAATTGATTTAATGAGACGACGAGACTGACGCAGAAAAATTTATAGATTTCGATTCCGATCGTTAATTCCTATACGAAGAAAGCTCTTACACAGATTAACCGATAAAATTCAACTTGATTGCACGATATGCAACTTTGTCGTGTTAACACTCAGACCGCCCCACTACACTACACTAACACTGTATCCACAGTCCACACTACCTGAGCCATGATGGTATCACTACACTGACAACACTACTGACAGATCTAACATCCGACTACGTATTTATATCAAATTGTCAACATTAACGTACATAGTCATTTCTCCTTTCACTTGCACATTCACTCACTCGTTTGCTCCAATTAATCCCCTCACTTTGTCAGACAAACTAGTCTTAGTTATTTCCCCTACATTCGACATAGATGTGAAACAGTGGTAATTAGTTAAGTTTGCTTTCATTATTTAGTTTTACCACGTAGGAGCACTATAAATCTATCGATTAAACCTCTAAATAAATGTGTGAAAAGCATACAAAATGGAATGAAAGTGATTTATTCATAGAAATCTTACAATTTCATTCCGCTGCAATAAAATCAAAACACTGATATGTGTCTTTGAACACAATCTTGAATAAACTCAGAACATAGTGAATAACGTCCTTACTTACTGATAGAGGGTTATATTATTGTTGAGATTTCAATAGAGAAATGTGCGCTGGTATGTAACATTTTCCATGCACACGCCATCATGTATTCGGTACAGCGAATGAAAACGGCGGATATTAGGAATACCATCGATGAGACATAGTCACGAAGGAGTGCTCATCTTTGCCGGTGTAATGGTTCGTTAGAAACTTAGCCACCTTGATATGATTTCGTATTCGTTATTGGAACCACCAGTGCTTGGTTGATCTATAAGAAATATGCACATTCCCAACTCTCTTAACTTTGAAGCTAACACTGGGATTTCAAGAGCTTAACAAACCCCCAAATGACTTCCTCAAAAACAGTAGGTATTTCAAAAATCTTTCGTAGTTTCAACAGTACGTAGTTAACTTGAACCATCGATCAAGTGCGCTGATGTAAACTACTGTTGGCCTATGTGTAGAATATGCCTACTTTATAACCCAGAAGAAATAATTAGTCGAATGAATGTAAACTGTAGCATGTATTTTGCATCCACAATCAAAAAAAATGAAAACTAAAGAAAAAAATTATACTGAAGCGCAATTATTGAGTGGCTCATTCAACTAAGAATTTTGTAATAAAAGAATTTTGATACATCTGTTCCATATATGTACTGCCTAGTTCAGAATGTAGGATAAACGTAAATAAATCATGTTATAAATTTGTATAATTAATGAAAAAATGTGTTTTTCAAATATTTTATAGAGGTTTTATGCGTTAATACTTAGTTAACATTTTATTTATTATTTTGTATGTCCCTTACATAGGTCAAGGCGAAGTGATACGCTTAAACTTTTCTAACAATTATTTTTTAAAGACAAAATACTTCAGTAATGCTTGTAACGTACAGGTGAATAGGCTACATGGCGATGATGGTAATGTTGAGGGTGAAAACTTTACAACGATACTTACACTTGAGGTTATTGCGTTAACCTAATCATAAACAATATTTTTGTTTAGTGTTAGGAGGTTTGTTTCAAGTAGATTAAGCCTAAAACTAGGACCAAAGAAAAAACAGGTTTGAAGCAACTTATTTATTTTAATTTATACTTTGTACTGTTTTGTAAACGAGGCATAGGTGTTTTTAGTAATGGCCATGGTATACTGGCGCATGTTCCTCGTGGTGATGATAGTAATGTTGAGGATGGACGTTGTGTTCCCGGTGGACGACGGCGTTAAAGCCAGTGTGGTGGTCAGCTGTGTATTGGACGACGCGCTTTGAACCGTCCGCCTCCACCAGCTCGTAGCTGCCGTGCACCACATCCCCGTCGCGCTCCTCCTTGTGGCTCTTGATGTCGCCGGTGTGGCTGTCATGGACGCCGTACTCGAACTTGTACTTGGGGTGAGGGTCGTAGTAGTCCTCCTTGTACTCTACGTGGAACCCGTGGTCATGGTCCTCTACATGCTCGTGTCCGTGGTCGTGGTTGTTGTAAGGGGAGGCAAAGACTGCCATAGCGATACAAAGTACTAAAACTGCCTGTGAACAAGTTGGATTAGTTTATTAACTGAGAATTTATTGTATTAAGTCCTATTGGTTTTATGTATAGCTATGCAATTTCTAACGGTTATTTTTCACTATATGCCATATGTATTATCATATTATTTTTTTGTGTTCTAAATCCTTTTAACTTTTAAACTTTAGGGCCTATTATAAACTGCCATATGATCAAAGTATTTTTTAAAGTTTACATTTCATTATATTATTTTAATTTATTTCATTATTTTTAAACAATATTACTAAAATACTCGTACTTACCTGAGAGGACATGACTGTGGGCGCTGATAGGATACTGATGACTAGATGTATTCTCCTTCATATATATATCTACTGGTTTACTCATTGGTGCGTAACCTATAATCTCTCCTCGTGTTCTCTTTTCATTGTTATGGTTAAGTGCACTAATTTATTAAACCTTTTCTTAAGGAAATTTTATCATTCGCTGTCAACATGGTGAGGAACGGGGGAACTTGATAGAGGGTTAACAATAACGTACAAGTAACTGTTTTACGCATTACCTAGCATTAATGACACATTATAAATGTGTTTTATTAAGTTAATTGAGTACTTTCGTGATGAAGTCACATGTGACTATGTTAAGAAAAGTGGGTATGTTAAAAAAAAACAGGGGTTTTCAACATAATTGCTAAAAAACAATAAAACAATATCTAATTTACCATTTATCTGAGTAATAATATCGAACAAAAACTTATTCTTTATAAACGGCTTATTATTTCTTCGGTCGTAATCAATTTTAGCCCACTATGGTGCCATCCTATTTGGTCTAAAAATCATCAAATTCGGTAAAAATGTTATACGTTTACATTTTAGACTACCTCGAACATGAATGTACATTATATATAAATACACCGTGTCTCAAAGATAGTGTATCAAATTTACAGCTATACATGTTACCAACGGTCGGAGAAAAGTCAACCATCGTATATTGCAGGTTTGAATTTTCAAAACATACAGCTGTAATTTGGAGATGCAGACTTAACTGTGGTGAAAGTGACACGAAATAACGAACTGTCTATTTTGGCCTTGACTGTAGATTAAAGCCGTATAAAAGCATTTGAGATAAATATCTTAAAGCAAAAAAGTCACTTCAAACTGCTGAACCTTAATAGACAGGTAAGTCGTGGCAGTTCCATACGATGGCCTTCTACATCTCCAGAAATTACGTCGTGTGGTTATTTTGTCTGGGGTATATGAAAGACCAAGTCTGTCGCTTACCGATCTTAAACATGATGAACTTAAAGCAAAGACAACGGAAGTCTTTGGGAAAATATGCAATGAAATGCACCACAATGTGTGGTCAGAGCTGGAACACGGACCTGACTTTCTTCAAGCAATTAATGGAGAAAACGTAAATGTAAAGTTGTGAACCATAATAATTATGGTTCACAATGGAATTATTGTTTCAATTATTGAAAAATATATGAAATTAAGGAATGGATTGTATACAAAGTTAATTCACTAAACTACATCGCTTTTCAGTTGGATATAATTTCGTGTGTATCTTGAATAATGCGAGAGAATAAAATAAATGCTATACATTTGATGATTATTGACATATATCTTTCAATTTGGCATATCAATTAGTTTCTTTATTTGAATTTCCTTTATTTTTAGTAAGTATGTGTTACTGTAGCAAATGACACTCTGTGTGTGTTTCCCTAACAGCTTTCGTACCTTACAGCAACCTTGAGCCAATGATATTTATAATCTTAGTGTCAAACCCCATTCATAGAAATATATATATTTGTACTACTCAACTTGGATACTTTCGTTCGCCCAGTGATTACGTTAACGAGTGAATTCGGTGAATTCACCTAACGATATTCAAACGAATAATTTACTTAGAAAGTGTTATGTGCTCAATGAAGCTCATCTCTAGACCAGTATAAAACCACCGGAGGACGGTGGTACCAACAGATCATCTCAGTTCTTCATCATGAGCTATCAGGTACATATTTACTACCATACGGTTCATTGTATCATCTTTTTTACCAACCACTACTTTTTCCATATCCTGTTTTTTAATGCTTTGCATGGTTTTTTTTATATTAAACAGAAATATTAAAAATAATGCTCTAGAAATGTTTAAACGAAACCGAAAGTATTATCTTAATTATTTATGTTACTTGATATCCTTTATGATTTGAAACTATAAATTTAATTCATTCTACAACAAATTATTTATTTTAAAATCATAAGATCACCATAATAATGGATTTCTTCATGCATCTGCCATATTTTGTTAAGGCAACTACCTTCAATGACTATCGTTGACTTGTGACACAGGGAAATTAATAATAGTGTTATTGCTTGTATTAATTTCGTAAATTGTAATCTCCTAGGTTATCTTTGTCGTTACCTTCGTGCTAGCTGCAGCTATTGCCTTTCCCCGCCACGGCTACCACGACCACGGACACGAGCATCTAGAGGACCACGACTACGGACACGAGCATGTGAAGGACCATGACCACGGGTTCCACGTGGAGTACAAGGAGGACTACTACGACCCTCACCCCAAGTACAAGTTCGAGTACGGCGTCCATGACAGCCACACCGGCGACATCAAGAGCCACAGGGAGGAGCGCGACGGGGATGTGGTGCACGGCAGCTACGAGCTGGTGGAGGCGGACGGTTCAAAGCGCGTCGTCCACTACACAGCTGACCACCACACTGGCTTTAACGCCGTCGTCCACCGGGAACACAACGTCCATCCTCAACATTACCATCATCATCATGAGGAACATGCTCCAGCACATCACTTTTACTCTCATCACTATTGAAATATAATAGTGCTGTTGAAATAAAAGTTCATTTTGTTTTCTAGAAATACTCCTTTTTAATTGTACCCGTAATACCTGTGATATAAATCCTCAACAAGGCCATACGAATTATAACAAGGCTTAGAAACCATGATTAGGGCCTACTTTGAGCGTAGGCTACTCGCTCACGCTGTCTTAAAGTTACCATTGAAAAATGCAATTAGGATATTTTCCTGTTGTCATGCGCATGCTTCCTTAACGTTGTTTTAATGAATTAATGTTCTAGTTACAAACCTTATCATGCTTTAACAAATGCTGTACATCCGTTCTAAAACAATAACTCTTCATTTTTCCTTATAAAATTTAATTAAGATGAGCTTCATAAATGAGTGTGATATTAATAACTTCTAGATAAGCATGTATATGTATTGGTATTGGTGCTTTTACACAAACTAATGTTTATCGGGCCAAAATGTTGGTTGGTCTAACAGGAGAAAATTTATCACCATTGCAACATATTTTTTTGTTTTTACGTAATATTTATGGACTTGGTGCTTAAATATTTTATGGTGTTGAAATACGTATTTTTTTATTCACGTAAATTTATTATTCAGACAGTAAACTTTACACTACACTATCCATGTCATCCATGGCCATCCAGTGGTCGAAAACTTCACCAAAAGTATGTAATGTGCAGAATTCTCTATTTTCACCGCACACTGTAAATAAATCATGTGATTGGAATTTGTTCCATTTCTTTTGATTTTCTTTATATATTTTTTGTTATTTCGTTACCAGCATGGCAATATGGCCATGTAAATTTTTTGTTAAATATTAAATTCATTTTCATTCATTAAATTATTTCATTAAATTCATTTAGGCTTTTTTAGCCTATTTTAACTTAAAAAAGGAATTATTTACATCTAAAGAAAAATATCTTTCTAACTATATACGTCGATTTACCTTGCGATGCACACGAACTAAAAAAATACCTTTCAAAGAAACATGCTTGCATATTAATTTATAGATTTGTTCTGCTTATTTATGAAATTAATAACGGTGACAGTTGTTAAAAAGAGATTTAAAAAATTGCAAAACACTGCCAGATGTTTGATTGTGTTTTCAATAGTATATGAATTCTCAATTTGAAAACATTTTTGGTCTAACAACTGATTTATCATAGCTCAAAACAATTGTACTTGCATTAATTGTATTTAATCACACATATGATTTAAAACGAATTGTAACAAATCGTGAATACAAATAGCCTAACATATTAAAAACTAGCAGAGTACGCGTCTTTCTCACGGCGTTGGCATATTAGTATAAAATGCGTATTGCAGTTATGGGAGACGACACGGTTTAAGAAAATTGGTTTCTTTTGATTTATACGGAATGCTATAATAGTATAGCATAGCACATCTACCATAGCCATAATGTTCTACCACTGCACCTAAACCATAGAAAAAGTGAAGTTCTCACTGTGTACCACAGTTCTTTGTTGCTAGTTGGTTCAAATTAGCTGGTGTCATTAACGCAAACAAAATAATAGTGCTACACCCTGTTGGTAATTCATATAACTCTTAAATGATTTTTAATTTCTCAGAACTAACTTGTGTTGTTAAAACCGCTGACAAAATTATTTTATTCCTTTTAAATATGAATACTCATAAGGTTATCATGGGAAACTCCAGAGCCACTGGGGTGGAGCCCGAAATGATTTTTGAGATAAGAATGCGTCTATATGTTAATCGGAAATGTGAGCTATTATCACACCAAATTTCAGCCCAATCCGACCAGTATATTTTTCGTTTACTTGACACAAACATCCATCCAAAATTTCTCACTTATTAAGGATTAACGGTGTCAGCTGTATAATGGGATTTAAAAAAATCAAGACACTGCCAGATGTGATAATAGTTAGAATGAGGTCAATCAGCTGTATCTTTAGCCACTCTAGATATCAATTTGTTGACATAACATGATTGCGTAGAATAAGCATTGTACAAAGTTGAATGGTGTAATCAGGACTGGGTGGCGAGACCGGTTTTATTAGGTTATCCGTTGTAGTGATTATTATTTTTAAATACTCAGAACCACGTCCCAAATATATCTAAAAACTGTATATAACTCCATTACTGATTTGCTCCACCCTTAATCTTATTTCTCAGTACTTTAATAGGCCTACCTACTGATATACTTTACTTTGAAATGGTGAAAATACGAATGTAGGTATTTTAAGCCAAGTATGAATGGAGATGAGTGTAGGATGAGTGGCGCGATCTAGTAGCCTTGTTAGTGACTAAGGCCGACATATTCCTTAGACACAGCTGTTTTAATCGCCCATACAGCCAATGCCAACTAAGGAACTTACTGTTTTGTTGTGGAATCCGAACCATATTTTTTTGCCTTGTAATGAACGAATTGGTCCAAAGATCATGATAGTACTGCGGATAGTCGTGGTACTCATTACTACGGACGTTAATCCACACCAAAGAGTATCGCATCCACAGTTAATGTCTATAAATATCCACAATTAGTCACCTCCTTTATAGTAGTTGGATTACAAGACCACGCCACCGCCCCAGTCTTGTAATAGGTTATAGCGGGAAAGGCTTATATTGTGAGATTTCTACAGAAATTACACTGTAAAAAATATTTTTGCTTTGCAATATCAGTACCTTTCTTCAGTAACATTTTACTTAAACGTGGCTGTTTTGTTTCCGCCAATATTAACGCTGGTTTTCTAGAAAACCTCATAGTGGGTTTTAACTAATATCTTAAACTAATAATATGCTTATAATGTTTATTATTTACGCAGTTATTAGTATTGAAATGACATTCAGAAACTCAAACTTGTATATCGTAGATCACGTAAAATCGTTTTTCTATAATTCTTTGCTTTTCCAGAACAAAGTCTCTTTTTCTTGAATTTAAACTCTTTCCGACGAAATACCGTTATGTTTTAAGTTAATCCCTTGCTTGGAATTTAATTTTTGTTTAGTGAATCTTAGTTATTTTCGAATATGCACAGCTGTATCACTATACTATATCACCTTACTATTGAGGAAAAAACAATACCATTCGAAAAAGGCAATCCTTCCTCTTATAAATAAGTTTGCTTAGCCATTAGGTGTTGTTAAAGTAAGAAAACGTTTTACAAAAATACAAACAAATATATTGAACACTAATGAAACAAAATGACATGTACAATGGACGATAGTAAATAAATATTCTGACTAGTATTTCGGGCTGTAGTGGTACGTTGAAAACGATGAGCTTGAATATGATGGTTTGTACGAATACTTGGGTTCTTCGTACTTGGGTTCGTACTTGGGTTCGTACTTGGGCTCGTACTTGGGTTCATACTTGGGTTCGTACTTGGGTGCTTCGTACTTGTAAATGGGTTGGGTTGGCTTATAAATACTGCTGCTCGAGTAGGCGCCCTTGTAGGAAGGTTTGTATTCGTACTTTGGTGCCTCGTATTTAGGTTTGTACTCGTACTTTGGAGCTTCGTACTTGGGTTTGTACTCGTACTTGGGCTTGTACTCGTATTTGGGTGTCTCGTAGTGGTAAGGGTGCTGGTTATGCTCTCTATGGACTACGGCGTTGAAACCGTTCTTGTGGTCAGCTGTGTAGTGGACAGTCCTCTTGGAGCCATCAGGTTCTACCAGCTCGTAGACTCCCTTGACGTAGTCTCCGTCGCGCTCCTCCTTCTGGCTGTGGATGTCGTAGGTGTGAGGATCGTGGACGCCGTACTCGAACTTGTACTTGGGGTGAGGGTCGTAGGGCTCTTCTTTGTACTCGTACTTGTGCTCGTAGCTGTACTGGGCTAGAGCACTGGTGGCCAAAGCGGCGAAGAGGCACAAGCAAATTATCTGGAAAATAAAACGTAATGTTAGATTACTTACAAAGACATGTTACATTACCAGATTAAAGAGGTTTAAGAGGTACTTTCCTATCGACACTAACTAATAAACTTAAATTATACTTTACGACTAACTCTTTTATATCCTTGTTTATATCTAGTAGTAAGTGCTTAGGTAAGTGATAATATTTCGTGTGTTTTGCTATCAACCTAGCTGTATGCTGCATTTTTAACCATGAAAGGTACAATAACCAAAAGTTTTATAAATATGTCGTTGACATGGTACTTTATCTAAACATAAGTCAAATAAGCTAATGGTTTACAATGTAATGTACTACGCTTCATTAAAAATGCCAGTAGTTTAAACTCTAGACCGATCCCTCATTTATAAAGTTTACCTGTAAAGACTCCAACTAGTGTTGCGCTTTGTAAAAGCAAGATTTAAAAATTACATTACAATAATAAGTTATGAGCATGTCTGCCACTTAATTAAAACTGTCGGTTCTGTAAGAATACTGTTTTAATTTCGGAAATGTTTAGATCTAGATCCAAGACAACTATGAAAGCATAAATGTAAAATATATTTTACTCTCAAAAACAGTTGTGTACTAAATTGGAGTTAGTTATTTAAAGGGTAAAATGGTGAGGTTCACAGTTGTTCCACAATACTTTACATTGTTCGGCCGCTTAGAAAACGACCTCCTCTAGCATTGGTTTAGCATTAGCGCGCAGGTCGTTTTCTAAGCGGCCGAACTTATAGTAGTTAACTGTTTCCAACCAAAAGGTGTATTGCTTATCTGTACGGATAACTACACTCAAGTTGTTTAGCTGCTGTTAAGAGTTCGAATTATTAATTATTTAGGTTTTGATAGTTCTGTGTTGCTTTTGAGTAACCATGTCTCTATAGTTTGTGAGACTGAAAGGTATGAACAACAACGGATTTCTAATGATTATCTACTGTGTGTTTATATTAGATATGAAACTCCTTTCTTCAAGCTGTTTTAAAAATGTTTGGCTGATACCACTAAAAATTAAAATGTAACATTGTATCTACTGCCTAGCTAACAAACCTTATTATACTTGTAAAGTTATATAACTTGTACACATTCTTAATAGCATTGCTTTTAAATTTAAATTTTAAACATATTATAATGTTAAAGCTATTTATTAAAAGGGCTTATTTAGTTATGTTACTTAAAGTGTAATTATATTTAACTATTTATTGTGCAATAAAAAAGTTCGTAATTTTAGACAAAGAGCTTAGGTACGGTAATAAAAAAACAACGAACGAGTGAATTTGTGATTCTTATGGACCAGTAAGGGATTAAACTTTGAAGAGTAAAAGTTGTAGAAAATTTCAATAAAGTGTACCAACTTGTAAGTGTGCGAAAGGAATATTTTACTCCAAACCTTTAAACAAATTGAACAATACAGAATTACATTTTAATTATTTGAACCTGGTAAAAATATTACTACTTAGTAAGGCAGTTTCAGCCTTTAATGTGCTCGTACTTTTTATGTAATAAAATACTTGTTTGAAAACTCTTACAAACTTAAAATGTATGTTAACTGTTAACATGATCTAAGTGTGCAAAAGATCTAAGTAGGGAGGGATTGAAAATTAAATTACGATGGTATCCTAGTTAAATAAATTGTATCACTAATCAATTATTTTTGTTACTGTATATTAATTTAAGAGACTTTTAACGATTAAAAAAGGACTCTGCCGAGACCAGTTGCTAGTGCCTTTACTCTAAATGACAAAGTGACTTTCGCAGCTCTGCCTATGCATGCTTTAACACTAATTTAACAACCGTCTATACCTCTTCAAAACTGCAATTTACTAAGGTGTGAATTCAAAATATATAAAACCGTATGGAACATAATTTTTGTCAACAGATTATAAAGTACAAGATTATTAAAAAAACCGTATACCGGAACAAAATCTTCAAATCTCATCTCAACTTTGATTTATCGATAACGCTCTTTAACCTATACCACGTTATCCTGGTGTTACATCTATACAATAATAGACAACTGTGTTTTTACGTTAACTCCCTACTCTACCACACTATTACCCACCCGTACACCTATAACTTATTTTACCACATCACTGTATCCACTATCCTCGTACCTGAGTCATTGTGTTCACTGCACTGCCACGAAGGCTTCACTACATTGACTTCTGTCACTAACTACCTCAGTATTTATATAAAACTGTCACCAGTCTTTTCACCTTTCACTGCACAGCTAAGTTCAGACTCAACAATTTTACCAGTTCCAGATATATGTAGTAATTGGCTTTGTGCGGTTACACAACTGTTAGATCCCGCTCCGCAGTGCAGATCATGGCCGGGTTTTTACGTTTCCGGAATCTCGGGAATCTTGGAACTATGAAGTTTCATTTACCTGTATCCCCACTTAGTCAATTGTTATTGTTCTTATGGATTTTCATTAGGTCAGTAGGTATCTATGTAAAGACGGTCTGTTTTTTAGTTGGAGCTTAAGTTATGTTAAACAAGGGCCCCATGAAGTTAATTTACCATTTTTACTGATAAAAATGTGTGGGTACTTAAGTATTATACGGAGGCCACCCTTATACAGCTCACTGCGGTGGTTATGTTAGGCTGGGTTATCTTAAATATACAGCATGACTCATCTGGTATCGTTCGATTCATAACGAAACGAGGAAAGTCCTACAAACATATATAAGATAACCCAGCCTAACATAACCACCGCAGTGCGCTGTATAAGGGTGGCCTCCGTATAATACTTAAGTACCAATGTGTGTTCACTATATGTGTTATAAATATAAATATGTGTTATATTGGTTGCTTATTTAATATTCTTGAAATAGAAAAAAATAAATCTAAGTTGAATTATTAGCACACAGAGGTAGCACTGTGTGCTGTCGTGCAAAAAAAAAAACTACACAATTACATTTTTTAAATAGGAATCAGATATAATGCACAAAAAATGTAATGGGATATCAATAGTTGTGTACTACATTGGAGTTAGTTATTTAAAGAGTAAAATGGAGTTTGCTCATAATTTTAAATAATAGTCATCTGTTAGCTTGGAAAATAATGTCATAGTTTCTGAAGTAATTAAGATGTAAGACTAAGAATGAGTGTAAAGACATCACTAAAAAACACTAAAAAACGTCATAAAAAGACTTGCTAGATTTTCTCTGAGATGTTGTTAAACCTAACCCCCTAACTAGACATTGGAAATGTAACTTAATAAATATGTTTAATATATGGGTAGGCGGGATATTCAAATCAATTCTAAGGTTATTTAACATTTGTACAATTAATTTTATTTACATTCATGAATTATGTTTTGTTCATTTTGCCTACATGTAACATGAAAACTAGTAATTAGAGCCATGTTGCTCCTCAACATGTTCATAGATCTTTGGTGAATGTTCGTGATGATGACTCTGATGATGTACTACTGGCATGTGCTCCTGATGATGATGGTAATGTTGAGGATGGACGTTGTGTTCCCGGTGGACGACGGCGTTAAAGCCAGTGTGGTGGTCAGCTGTGTAGTGGACGACGCGCTTGGAACCGTCCGCCTCCACCAGCTCGTAGCTGCCGTGCACCACATCCCCGTCGCGCTCCTCCTTGTGGCTCTTGATGTCGCCGGTGTGGCTGTCGTGGACACCGTACTCGAACTTGTACTTGGGGTGAGGGTCGTGGTAGTCCTCCTTGTACTCTACGTGGTGTCCCTGATGCTCTTCCGTAATTTGCTGATGGTGTTCATCCTTGATTTCAGGATAGTGTTCCTCATGGGTTTGATGATGTGGAATATACTGTTGTTGTTCGTGTTCCACCGCTGGGAAATGTTGTTCATGCTGAACCTCAGGAATGTGTTCTTGTTCTTCATGCTGAATTTCTGGAATGTGTTGGTATTCGTGCTGGACTTCTTGAGCTTGTTGTTGATAGTCTTGACGATGATGAAGTTCTGGAATAACCATTAGCCGTTTGTGCCGAAAACTCCTTTGGTGTGCATAAGAAGGGAGAGATGAAGCTACGGCGAAGAGTGCCAGTAGTGAGGTGAATATCTGAAAAATATAATCATAATTAAATAATTAAAAATATAATTAAATCATGCCAATATTATTTCTGCAGTTCGGGATCAGTACCCTCCTTCGTCTCTATTAAACCCGGTCAACAGCCTTAATCCGAAGTTAGATTGTAATTTACGAACACTAACTTTCAGTTCATATACCGAATTATGTACTATGATAAGTTTATCTTCGAAAATCTTTCCTTCGCTGGGTCTTTGAAATAACTTTGTAATAAATATGTAAACGTAAACGTACTTAAACTTGTATTTTGATTAAAGTTTGATCCAATTAATTGAAATTATGTTAGATGAAATATAATTTCTAGTAATATTTTAGTTTGTCGGTAATACAATATCCAACGCAAACACAGTACACCATGATTTTACTTTTTAATTTATAATCATAACTTTTATAAGGTTTCATGGATGACATAAATTTTGCGTTATCGGTTTTAGCAATTCGTTTTTATGCTGATCACCGAATCATTATAATCACGTATACATTCTATCCACAAAGCTAAGTAGTTATATAATTTTAAAATGCTTTAATTCCATTATCTTTTATAACGCTAATTCGCATTTTAAAAGTGACACTGAATCTTTGATAAGTTATTATTTTAACGATGAACGAACTTAGAAATATGGGAAAAAAACTTCTCTACATGAACCAAAACGTATAACTGATGCTTATAATACATAGGATGATAATATAATATGCAATTTTAAAACTTTCAACTGTTAAAATGCTGTATATTACATTAACGAACTCTCTTCATGAAGGTGACTTTAAATCCTATGCCTCTATGTAACCATCTACAATTTGAGATTTATATTGTCAAATATTTCCGATTGCTCGGTGAATAAAAGTACTATATGTATTCTGAAGGTCTTAGAAGAAGCAAGTAACTTACCTGAAGTGCCATGATGGTGTGCTGACTGAGAGGATTGTAGCATCCTTTATACCAGACAGGAACAGCGTGAAGGAAGTGCAAGGGAAACTTCCTTTCACGCAGGACCTCATGTGAGACCGACCAATGCTGATGTAGATTATTCACTAATTGCAAATGTCTTCCTTCAGCATTCCTTATGCATATCGGATAATGATTTCTTCCAATGGATATTTGCATATGTTTTTGCACACTTTCTACTATCGTTGTTGATTTGGATATTTTTTCAAAATTAAAGTACGAAATAAACGTTCTTCTGTCCCGTGGTAAACGCTGTGATGTTGTTTATTGTGCTTTATTGTGCTATTTGCTAGGACAAATTTAATCTCTATTGAAGATGTTTTTCGATTGAAGAGTGTAAAATCCCTCTGTTTTGGTTGGTTTAGATTTAAATTCTGTTAAATAGACAATTATATGGGTTCAATGAATATAAGCATGAATTTCATATCAAATTTCGTCGACCTAATCAAGCAAATTGTAGTACACCAGCGTCCAGTGGTTTGAAAGGAAAACACTAAATTGCAACCTACCATTAATAAAGCCATGCTCAATAAAACCTAAACTGAAAGTTAAATAAAAAATAGTTTAGCTTCTTTAAACGATTATGATATTTTTTAAAACGTAACTTGTTTGAAACTGGTAGGAAATAAGTTAGCTAAGTAATATGAATTTAGTTTTTTCCTAAACTAGGATTTGAATATTGTTACTAACCATTACAAGATTTCATCGAGTACTTTTTCGTTATAATCAATCATGTATTTCCCTTATAAAAGCATATATGTATACTATTACATCAAATTTAACTTGTATTCTAATACTTTCTAATATTTCATCTGTTGTTTCAGGTATTGATATTTTATTCACTAAAATAACACATCAATTTGGTAAGTCAACTTCACATACTTTGACCTAAGTATTCTGCAATTTTAAGTTTGCTACTGTCCGATAACGCAACAATATCGATAGTTACTGTAAACTTGACGACGTACCAGTGGAGACATTCCTCTTAGTGCTGCAGAAGGAAGCGAGATAGAGGTTCCCAGAAGTCCTTACCAGAGTTACGTTTGACACGCAAGACCTCCTACTGTGACACTTGTTTATGTTTGACACTTGCTGGCCTTTCACGTGTGACACACGCTTGGCTCTTAACTGTGTTTGACACTTGTGTCTATCTTTCAGACGTTGACAGTGTTTAGAAAGATCCTTTTTCCGTTTGAATTTGAAATAGGATTGTGATGATTGAAAGTTTGTTTAAAATATGTAATTGAAATTGTAGGTTATTAACTCTGACAATGTTGAATGTTTTATAAAATTTGTATACGTAGACTTTTGATAACCTATGGATGTCAATAATGTTTTGTTTCCTCATACATTCTGGCGACTTAGCCCATAATCTATACTATTATAAAAATGAACGGTTTTTTCTATCCATCATCTAGAAAACCACGGGACGGCATTAATAAAAATTGTGCAAAATGATTTGATAACCTATTGGTACTATACAACCATTTTTTTATTTTAAAACAAAGTCATAAATTTGAAGCTGAGCTTTGAGACGTAAATGTTTAATACCATCGTATGTGGCAAGATAGGAAAAGCCGTATCGTTGGAAGTTTAGTTTAGGTTTATCAAATACTAATAATTACGTTGTCGCACAAATAATAGAAAAAATCAAATGTGTTTTTGTAAAGCAAATTGAGACGTTTACTTACTCCACAGTTTTTGTGTGATATTTCATTGATTTTATAATTTGAATAGTATTCTATAATCGGTAATGATAGTCCATTTTCACATTATCTTGAAGGGCCGTTTCGGGTTCATACCCAATCGGTAAGCACATGTAAGGCTACTAGTTAGTTGCAAATTTTGCCTCACTCTGTAACCCAAATATACCGATGAAATATAAAAATATAAAATAATTTTAAATTCATTTCAGGAGGATTATGTGATGAAACTAATGTAATTAAAACTATCTTAGACATTTTGTAAAAAGTTCACTCCTTCGTAATATGGATAGTTCTATCCTATGAAGTAAGCAGAAATAACACATACGAAAGGTTATTTTGTAAATAAAATGCTTTACCATTGAACTGTGAAATTTAAATATAAAAAAATTTAATCATCGGTTGAGTGTCGATTGGCTTTTTCCCCTCCAAATGAGCAGTTTTCGCCCCAGTTGGCGGGAGCCGGGAGTGCCACCAGTGGGTGGACCTTTCACCGGGCAATGTCCAGTGCAGCTTTGGTCCTGCGCCGCACAATACAGTAATATGGACCTTATGCAACATTTCCTCCATGGAAACTTGCCCGACACCTCCGGACCGGCTAACTGTTACACTTGTTCTGTAAAAAGTGATCCAACGTGTTCCTGAAAAAATATCCGGTGACTCAGTATTGTGTCTAAAAACATTGGTTGCGTTTAAGTCTCCGTGATTTACTGCTAGGTGCACTAGTGAAATAAAGATAATCATATACAAGATCTTTCAAATTCTTTGATTTGTTAACGCTTTGAAGTATGCATCACAATAATACATTGGGATGGATTTGTAAACACTAATAGATCAAAACTTGGCAGATTCTTGTCTATAAGTTTGTAATCAGGATGTTTACCTATTTATTTGCTTTTACGACACCAGATACTACTTTTCCTTTTTCCATATACAGTAAAATTATTAAAACTATGATAATGCTATGATATGAGTTTTTACTGATGAGAGTGTACATCATTCCATAATGTATGACTACAGTTTAACTATAAAATATCACGTATTATTTTACTATGTCAGGACCAGTAATACGAATATACATAGTTTATGAACCGTATGGTGTTTTTATTTGAACGCATTTTTATAAAACCATCTATGTAGGCTCAAAGTACTTAGTCTCAAAATAAAAATATTTTTCCTGTGCCAGTGAAGTTGCTTTAGAGCTTATTTTTAACATCTTATGGTTGAACTTTTAAATGCTCCGTTAAATAAGAAATGTGTGGCGTTTATTTTTTAGAAACCACTTTTTATTGTATTTCATGACCCGGGCCCCAAAAACCGACATCACGTAGCAAAACACTGCTTTTGATTTATGGAGATCAAACAGAAGGATATATATAGACGAAGTCCCACGCTCCGACCACTTCGGCCTCGCCCCACAGCTCTAGGCCGGCCATTATCTGACGGCAATCATAATCAAGCGACGACAATCTGTAAACAAAACAGAAACGAATTCCCTCTTACAATCACTTGAATAAAACAGCGTGTGGGTTTCTGGACACACGTTGAAAAGTCTCGAATGGCAGACCTAGGACAACACTTCATGACAGTCCACTCAGAGGTCAAGGCTGGCCTGAGCTGGTGGTACAGTTCTCGCAGCTAGTCTGGGCGCGCGGACCCTTGTGTACTAACCGTCCCCCACGCCAAAGCCATGAAGACAGCAGTGAGGCGCTGAACAACCCCAGTGTGCAATGTGGGCCGTGTGGGCCGAATGTTTTTGGAAACGAGCAATAAACACTCCCCTCTACACCCCCTGCCCTAGCGCGGCCGCGCGCCCAGACTAGCTGCGAGAACTGTAGCTGTGTGTGTGTGTGTGGTTAGGGGGGGGGGGGCGGAGTAATGTCTACAATAATCACGGTCATTTTCTCGCCCAGTCCTACTGCCTCCAGTCATGCGTATCGCTACCTTGTGTATTTAGTAGTTGTATCCACGCGGCACTGTCAGAGTATATATGACCAAAGAAAACTATTTTTGGGGACAAACAATGTACGCGTGTCCTTTCATTTTTAAATATGCTTGCTTAGTAACTTTTAACATCTAGTAATTAAAGTTACTCATCTAGTAATAAACATACCCTGTATTACTAGTATTTAACAATCGGTTGTTTTGAAAATGTATTGCATTTCTTTCTGTAGTTACTGACAAAATGTGTTAGATACAAAAATTCAATCCTTAAAATCGTAGATTTAAAATACTTTTGTAACTCATGGTATAACAAAATAAACTATCAAGAAGAGGTCTGAGATGAATCGGCAGCTTATCAGGCTCAGAGGACTTGTCTCAAAACAAGCTGTGTTTAAAGTCATATCAGACAACTATGGTTGTTGGTATGAATATAAAATCACTTGTTTTTTGTTTCGAACTTCCTACGAAAATATCCGACACTGTAGCTATTAAGGATAGCGGCCCTGTGAACTGTGTAAGTGACATGATCAAACTGGTCATTTATTTTACTAAAATGTTTTTAAAGTTTGCTGTAAACAATAAGGTCGTGAAAGCTAAAACACTTACTGGATGGCACACAAGTAACTTATCATAAAATTTTACTTGAAAAATTCATCTTAATTCTGGTGTTGACAGTGGTTTGTTATTACAGTACATTGTATATAGACTGGTCCTTACCAGTACTACTACGTGTGCTGGAAAAATCTAAGTTTATCCACTTATAAATTGTGGGATATTTCAGAACATGCTATATTTAATAACAATATGGATCCAAGACACCAATTAAAATTCTTTTATATAAAATGTAGACATCGATACATATAAACTGTGTAATCTTATGCTGTATCAGAAAATAAAACAAAGCTACGAGTATAATTATTATCACCCTTAAATGTCCCATGACTGGCTGTAAACGACCAATTAAGATCCAGAACAGTCCAACAAGGATATTAAAACCGACGCTGATTGTCAATTTAGTCACTCGATCGCTAATTAGAACATTTATAACTCAGCTATACTGTCGAACTCGTAAAAGTTGATTTTATAACTTGGTGTTGCGCAAAGCTGTCCCGTATAAATCAGGTGACCGAGTGCCCCAGGCTTTGGTATTGGCGGGCATTTGACATCTGTGCCGCCCACTACCACTGGACCGCTCCAAATAAGAAAAACCAGCAACGGAATAAGTTATGGTTGACACGGTGCATTACCACTCCATTGCTCAACAGCTTGCAAAAGCTGTTATAATTTCCACCAGACTTTATATGTTAAAGCCGATTGCCTGTTTCCGCAACGGTTTAGTTTGCAGACATATGGGTAATAGGATCACATCTCAAAATTGGAGGGTTCAAAAGTTTATCCTTTTTTAGAGTGTGTTATACCTTGATAGTCAAACAAGGCAATTAGAAGGCTATCAAACTACAATATATTGTTGACATTAGCAATGAATACTTTATGCATGTGGGCACTTAACGTAGAAACAAGATTCGTGATTTGAGAATGATTATCTTAGGTATTTAATCATTATTTTCTGATCAATATAAACAAATCCTTGTGGCATCCATTACAATTCTACAGTTGCTTATTTTAAAAGTTCCAGTGCAAAAAATGCATTAATAATTGTTAGTCAAAAGAGAAAGACATGTTGTTAAACACTTGAATTAGACTTCATGGAAAATCTTGCACCTTTGGAAAAAATACAATCTCCAACTTCACTTGAAGATTTGTTTCAATAAATGTAATGTTAACCACTCTACCTTATCGGTTAAGGAAGTTCAAATAACACCCATCAAATACAATAATTTACATTTATTTTCTCGGTAAAAAACAACTAGCCTAGCGATTGTGCACGTATTTACAATGTACATGAGGTTGGTGAAAATGCTAATGACTATTTGACTTTTAGTACTTGGGGTATGAGGGGTATTTGGGGGCTGAGTAGGAAGGGTAAGCGGGGGCGGCGTAGGGCTTGGATGCGTAGGCGGGGGCAGGAGCGTAGGCGGGGGCGGCAGCGTATCCCTTAGCGGGTTCCTTGTGGACAACAGCCTCGAAACCGTATCCCTGGTCGTAGTACTCGACGATCCTCTTGGTGCCGTCGGGCTCGTACAGCTCGTAGGATCCCTTAACGTAGTCTCCGTCACGCTCCTCCTTCTGGCTCTTGATGTCGTAGGTGTGGGGGTCGTTGACGGCGTACTCGAAAGCGTATTTGGGGTGTGCGTCGTAGGGCTCAGGCTCGGCGTACTTGGCCGCGTAGGGGGCGGGGGCGTAGGGCTTGGGAGCGTAGCCGTACTGAGCGGCGGCGACGGCCAGCAGGCAAGAGGCGGCGAAAAACTGCAATACACGTACAATATATTAAATTTCCATTTCATCATTCAAATGAATAAAGTTATACAAATTAAATATATTACGGCGTTTGATTTACTTCAGTGTAAATGTACGCCAAATTATTTACATATTTTGTAATTTAAGTTAAACTAGTTGTAGTTCTAATCAACTGATAAGAGGTGAGAAAGCTACAGCTTATCTTTACTTTACGATGAATAATAAAATGTTAATATAAATTTTTGAAAATCCTCTAGCATGCCGATGAGTAACAACAAGACTATTTACTTTAATTTAGCCATTGATGGTACACTTAATTTAATTCATCTAGATCATTACAAACAAAGACTTTTTCTGTGTATATAATAGAATAATCCTCCTTTAATCAATACATATCGTAAACCTAATTAATAATACATATATAGTGAATAATTAATTGTCGTAGTAACACCCTAGTATACGATACCATTTATCAGATTGGCCTTCATTATGATCGTTGTAGCTGGTTAAATCAAATATACGTTCCATTAATTAATAATTTATATTTGTAATAGTTTTACGTAAATACACACATTGGGTGTTCATTTAAGTATTTTAATTGCTTGATTAGCTGAAAAATCACCTGAAACCCAATGAAACCACACAGGCATTTATGTTCAATAGTAGTTTGAGTTTGACATTTTTATTCTTTGAAAAAAGTGGGGATTATAAGTTACATTGATTGTGTTAGGCTACGCAAATAATCTTAATACAAATTAATAATTTATTTGTAGGTAATTTATTATTTTCTTAATTGTTTGATTGTAATCTAATTATGGCCTAACAATTATTTTATTACACAACTATCACTTGCATATCAAACTTCAACATTGCATTACTGTTAAATTACATTTACTGTTTATTGCCGTTAGTTTATTATTGTTTCTTGACCTTGGAAAGTAAAATAAAATAAAAACTATTATTTAAGATGTTTGTATGTTTAAGGGTTGTATAGTTTAACAATTTTAAAAATCATCTGTCCATATATTTTATAATGTACTGTATTGTGTTTTATATAGTTAAAAAAAATAATGTACCGTGCATACATGAATCCTACAGTATAATGTACTTTTCGAAGGCTATTAACCACCATAAGAGTAATTTTAATTGAATGTGTTTTCTAAAATATCTAAATTATTTATTTAAAGAATTTCTCCAACCACGGTTAAGGTTCGTGACATTTATTTATTTTAAATTATAGTTTTACGATAAAGATTATCAAGGAAAAATGCTAAGGCAAAATACTTGATTGAATTAGTTAAATTTGAAGTTAATAAAATATTAATTTGTTCAATTTATAATTATATTAATAAAAGTCTTGCTTCAATATATCAAAAGTACCATTAAAGGTTGTAACTCACCCTAAGAGCCATGACGATGTCTGAGGAGCGAATGATGTCATGTTTGATCTTGGGCTCATATTTATAGTTAACATTTTCGGGGGCTGGAGGGGGCGTAGGGCGTACCTTTCACTGCAGGTGTCGGGGTGGCCCCCGCCGAAACATTGCTAAACGCCGCCGCGACAAGTTTCTAGTTCAAGTTCGGTCCGCTGTCCACTTACAGCGCTGTTGTAGTTGTCCACTACACTGCACATGTGGATCAGATTGAAATGTACTGGTTGGACGAAAATTGAAGTTATATTTTTTAGTTTTAATATATGGCTGAGTACATAGGTTTCCCGTAGGAAGGGTAGTATTCTGCAAGCTTTTTGGTAACAAATTCTATAGCCTACGATTTAAAACTAAGTACATGGGTGTATGTTAGTTGAAACATACATCTAAAGTGACTAAGTGGGGCAATCAAAAATAACATTTTATTTTTTTATTTTTTGGTTTTTATTTTTTGATCTGCTAAAGTGATTTTTGGCTAGTGATATCCTTGGTAATTTTTGATTAATTTGGCTGGTTAGCTGAGTGGTTGTAGTGCTCACCTAACAATTAAAAGGTTGCCGCTTCGATCCTGCGAAAAGTCAGTAGCTGGTTCAAAACCTGGTCCCAGCTGTCCCTGATCATTTGGCTTTAAAAACATTATCCTGACTGATGAAACAGATCTTAGTCAGTAACAAAGCTACATAGATCATCTCACGCCATTCTACAATCATCTTTCACTCATATTGGGGTAAAAATACGTCCTATCTCATAATGATAATAATAATTAACTGGTTTAAGGATAATTATTTTCACACGTCTGGTTTGTTACTATTAGCTACAAGCTGTATTTAGTAGTTTAATTATGTACTTTAGTATTCAGTACTTTAATTGTAAGAAATGTGTTTCCATATGATTATATTTAATACTTGATTAGAAATTCTGGTTTTATAGTTCATAATTAATGAGGTAAAGTCACCACAAACTGTAATGAAATACATTTTTGTATGAGCACAATCAAAAATACATTTTAAATGTGTGATAAAATCCCATTATCTAAGGTTATTGTATTACATGATTCGTGCCACTATATGTTATTTCAAGGGGTATAGGAAAATTTGAAAACACAAAGCTCTTAACAGTAATATAACGATAACTTCCTTTGTAATTATTGCATAAATATTCTGCATTATTGTATTGTGACGTCTTTTGTTTCGTTGTACTCCAAGCTACGTTCTTAAAGTGTACGAGATGTGCCATAGTTGTCAAAGTAAATTTAAAATGACTGTTGATCAGTAGTACAACATATTGCGCTATGAAATCAGTACATGTATAAGTTTTGTTCCGTAAAATCGCAATGCATATTTATGGAGATTGTGTTTATTAACTAGACTTCCAGTGCTCAACGCTAGATTTAAGAATGGATTGCACCTACTAAGTTAGAATAGATACTTAGCGAGATTCTAGCTGTCTTTTATTTTTCTAAAATTACTATGTGTAAGAGGATTGAAGATTTATTTAAGATTTTACTGCAATTAAAACTAAGAAGAACAATACACTTTCTTATATTTAAAACCTGTTATTTATTATGTATTTTTAAATTATTTAGGTTTTTGAATATACAAGAACACGTAGACCTTGGTTATAAGTGTTATTCTAATAGTTTTGTTTAGTGGTTTTCCTTTTTTTGCTGCTAGATGTTGTTTTTCGATCATATTTTTTAAATCACATTTTATTATTTTATAAAATGTTAAAACGAGTAAAATATTTAGCACAAGGATCCAAAATAAATAGTATGTTGTAAAAACACAATGTAAACGTACTTGATACCAACAAGTAGGGGGTAGTCCCCTAAAGTGAATAGTCAGGTAGGTAACAGTTAATGCTCAGCTTTAGCTTTCTGTCTTCCTCTATCTGCTAATTCAGTTCCCTTCCTTAACAAAACGTAGGCTGTGGTTGTTAGTGGCTGTAAGATTATTGATAATTATGATTTATTTTCCCAAGTAGTGTTTAATTAATAATCCTACTATCAGTTGTAAGTGAAAGTGACTCACCTAATTTTTCTTAATCAGTACTTTATACGCAATACAAATTATTGCGTTCAAAAATCTATTTCTGTGTCAATTTTAAATACACACCCAAATTAGAGCGTATTTTTTGTAAAATGGTGCAGACGGTAAGAAATGACTTGTGTAATAAGTAATGCAACAAAACAGGAAAAACGAGGAATGAGTAGGTGGATAGGTATTTGGCAACCGTCCACATAAGTGGACCACACGCATCATACCCGACATGAGCGCTCCAATGCCACCTTCATAGCATCAACGTATCTCTGCCAATGCCACATTCATACCATCGCCTTGTCCTTGCCAATGCCATCTATATTGTCGTTCACATTTAAGTGGACCATACGCATCATACGCTCCACTGCCACAAGCCATCGCTGTGCCTCTCCCACTGCCATCTATATTAATCTCCAACATATGAGTTATTGACTTGCAGGCACATAGCGATTACCTTATTTTCCGGTTTTGACTTCTTATGACGCTAATTTATACTTTACATCGTAGTGCGTGCATTCCTTTCGTAACTAGGAATACCTCATTAAGATTCCTACTGTGCAATTAAAATTATCTACCTTTTTCCAACAAGACACTATAATTATTAGCCTCTTTCATCTTCGTTTACTAGCAGTTCCTCTATTCATCAGAGCCTAATAGACTAACAGTCTGTCAGATTGTTGTGTCTACAAACACCTCAAAAGACACGTATTGCAAACTTTGTATATGTGAAGTCATTGCATTATTTGATAGAAATGTGAAACAGTCAGTAAGAAGTAATAAAATCAAGGAGCCATTTTTATCGCTGAATTTAAAAACTATACGTAATTACAGTTCGTTGACTAAATTAGAATATTCGACAATTTTTTTGCGGAATCATTTTCAGCAGATTTCATTCTATTCGAAAATGTATATTAATTATTCAATATAAATTATATTTAATGGTACATAATGATAACACATCGATATGAATTTCCATTTATTATATCGAATTCTACCCCCACACAGTAGTACAGAAAGTGGTACCTATGGATAATGGAACATAACAAATGACGTAAATACCCTGCATTATACAGGGTGGCTGAAAAGTAACTTGCACCCCCCCCCCCCTTAACTTTTCAACCATTTGAGATATTTGAAATCGGTTTGCAGTAACCTTCTTTGATATGAAGGGCTACAATAATTATGGTCAATTTTGAAAATTTTGCCCTTAGGGGTAGCGGGGGTAGGGGGTTGCTCAAAATTTTCAAAAGACAAGTATATTCGAGTTTGGTATCATTTTACAGGTCTTGACGAAACATAAACATTGACATAAAGAAAACCGAAATCGGCCCACTAATAACAAAATAGCGCCCTAAAACGTTTCAAATCCAAATAACCATGAGGGTGACAAAAAAATTAACTTGCACCCTCTTTAACTTTTTAACTATTTGAGATATTTGAAATCGGTTTGTGGCAACTTGTTTAGATAAGAAGGGCTACAATAATTATGGTCAGTTTTGAAAATTTTGCCCTTAAGGATAGCGGGGGTAGGGGGTAGCTCAAAATTGTCAAATAGCAAGTATAGTCGAGTTTGGTATCATTTTGTAGGTCTTGACCAAACATAACAATTAACATAAAGAAAATAGAAATCGAACCATTAATAACAAAATGACAGTTTAAAATTACTTTAAATAACCATTGTCTCAATAGTTTTTAGCTGCCGTTTGGTTATTAATGGTCCGATTTCTATTTTCTTTATGTTATTTGTTATGTTTCGTCAAGACCTGTAAAATGATACCAAACTCGACTATACTTGCTATTTGAAAACTTTGAGCTGCCCCCTACCCCCGCTACCCCTAAAAGCAAAATTTTCTAAAGTGACCATAATTATTGTAACCCTTCATATCCAAACAAGTTGCCGCAAACCGATTTCAAATATCTCAAATAGTTAAAAAGTTAAAGAGGGTGCAAGTGAATTTTTTTGTCACCCTCATGGTTATTTGGATTTGAAACGTTTTAGGGCGCCATTTTGTTATTAGTGAGCCGATTTTGGTTTTCTTTATGTCAATGTTTATGTTTCGTCAAGACCTGTAAAATGATAGCAAACTCGACTATACTTGTCATTTGAAAATTTTGAGCTACCCCCTACCCCGGCTATAAGGGCAAAATTTTCAAAATTGACCATAATTATTGTAGCCTCTCATATCAAAGAAGGTTGCCGCAAACTGATTTCTTATATCTCAAATGGTTGAAAAGTTAATGGGGGTGCAAGTTACTTTTCAGCCACCCTGTATACTAATAACATTACATATGGTTTAGACAGTTCCGTTTAAGCAATGTTTAATAATCTTTACTTTCAGGCCAGTAACATAATTTCTTTATATTTATGACCCATGCCGTTTCAGTTCTAGTATTCGTGATTCTACATCTGGCTTTATTGTAGGGCTAATGTACTATTTACTAATTTAATATCTATTGATAATTATTCATATTATTTTATAACTGTTTGGTTTTGATTGAGTGCCTGAGCTTGGGTGCTCAAAAAGACAGTATATTATCAGCCCGAGTATCATTCATTCACAGGGAGAATATTTTTACCTGATAAACTATGTTTTACAAGAAGGATATCACAATAAAATGTAATCCACCAAAGTACTTTTATTTAAGCCAATGTCAATGAAGATTAATGTAACAGCTGACGTGCTAAGCTCAGCTGGTGCCAAAGTCTAGACGACTTGTACATGTGAACTGAGTTGTGCGTTTGCGCCTTGGTGGTAACAGCCCGGCCTGGTTATAGATCTACACGGGATACCTTTATCTTTATAAGTCTTGTTTGGTAATCTACAAGTTGTATAAATTTCAACTGATATTGGCATTGTACGTTTGACCTGCTCATTGCGTAAGGGCAACCTTGTCCGCTAACCATGCCCAAAATACCATTGGTGCATTTAACGTTTGCATTCAAAATATACTTGG